GATTCCTGATTCAGGTCAAAAACTACTAGAACTTTCACCATGGAGATTTCACCAACGAAGCCGAAAAAGTAGTACACGCAGCCACCTACCTCCGAGGAAAGGCCCTCAAGTGGTTTGAACCAATCCAGGAAGAATACCTCAAATGCGAGACCCTCGACGAGTGCACCACCGAGACCCGCGACATCTACGCCAATTTTAAAGGATTCGAGGATGCGCTCAGGTCACTCTTCCAAGACCCCGACGAAAAGCGACAAGCCGAACGAGATCTGGCACAACTTAAGCAGACTAAGTCCGCCAAAGACTACTCCGCCAATTTCCGACAACTTAGCGTTCAACTCGACCTCACCGAGGAAACCAAGATCTTCATGTTCTATCAAGGACTAAAAGACGAAGTCAAGGACGAGATCATCAAGATTGATCGACCTGACGACTTTCTCTAGTACGCCGAACTCGCCATCAAAATCGACAACCGGCTTTTCGAACGACGAAAGGAAAGAGGCGAAAAACGACAAAACCCCAACTCAGGACGCAAGTACCAGTGGCAGCCTCAGCACCAGTTCAACAACCAGCGAAACGACAATAGACCCCGCAACAACTGGAACAACCCCCGACAAAGTACTGCCTATGGTCACTATAGTGGACTAATGGACCTTAGTGCTACACAGAGAAACGACAAAAAGAACGACAGTTAGAAGAAAGATAGACAGTGCTATAACTGCCAGAAGATTGGACACCTAGCATACGAATGCAGGTCACCTAAGAAGGAACGCTTCCAACCGGTACCAGAGAAACGACAAGCGAGTATCGCCACGAAGACGATCCCTCATGAACAACTCAACTGGACCACCTGCTTCGATGACAACTGCCATATCCACTCTAGCAGTAAGGAACACGCAGGATGGTACCCCCAGAAACCTCAAGAACGATCTGGTTACGACACCACCAACGCACCTAAACGGACCCTCGCTGTGGGATATAGAAGCAACAGCAAAATCGAGCGCAAGACAATCGAACAGCTCGACAGTATGAACGACAACGAGGAATTAGAACAAGACAATCAGCGAAGACTGAACCTCCTCTACGCAGGACGACAAGCCAACCTGCAGCGGATTCAACAGGACTCACAAAACCCTATGTGGCAACGACAACTCGGTGCGCTGGACGCACACATCGAACGACGACAACATGCACAAGGAGATCCCGCACGGATCCGCCAAATCAACCAAGAACTGGAAGAACAGGTCGAATCAGAAACGACCAAGAACACCCCCAACGACTCGGAAACACCTCGCGATGTTGCCCGCCAACATGCCCAACTGGAAGTCGCCTTTGAAGTCGCTTCAGTCAACGACACCAGCTCTGGAGAGGACTCTGACGAAGAAATACAGTGGTATCACTGCTACCAAGACCAGCGCCGAGTCCACTATATCAAGAAAGACGAAGCATGGAAGAAACAGCAAGAAAACGACGAACAAGGAACGGACGAGCAGTCAAAAAACTAGACTCGCCTACCGAAGACAAGGGACAACGACAGGCAGTCCAGACAAGGTCCCTATGTAGCGCAACGACGCCCACGACACAACGACACGAGCATGTACAAGTCTAAATACAGCTCAACGGAAGAACAGCTACCGCCATGATCGACAGCGGAGCCCAAGGAAACTTCATATCACCAAGAACGGTGAATGAAAGAAAGATAACCTGGAAAAGAAAAGCAGCCGAAGACTGCTACGAACTCAGCACCGTTGAAGGAGAACAAGTCCAGTACGGCGGAGGACGCATTGCTATGGAGACAGCGCAACTCCCTTTGCAGATCCATGGCCGGAATGAGCGACTGAACTTCGATATTACGGAGATAGGAGACAAGTACGATGTCATCCTTGGAAGACCATGGTTATACGACAGTAACCCACGGATAGATTGGAGAACAGGCCAACTCCATTGGGACCAGGATTCAGTCACTGAGAAGCAACCACGGAACGGTGCCTCAAACGAACCTCTCAAGACTCCTGAAGCGAAGAGATTTCTAGCATACCTACGGATAAAGGATGCAAACGCCAGGACGTTATCAGCAACAGACATCGGCAAGGAAGACCGACTTCTGTCTATCCCAGAAGAATACCGGCAATACCAGAAGCTATTCGCCGAAGAACTCGAGACCGGACTCCCGGAACACAGCAACTACGACCACGAGATACCCCTTAAGGAAGGGAAGGAGCCAAAGCTAGAAGCAATCTACGGACTCAACCAGAAAGAAATGGAAGCACTCGACGCTTACCTCAAAGAAAATCTACAGAAGGGATACATCAGACCCTCTACATCACCAGCGGGATACCCAATCCTGTTCGTACCAAAAAAGAACGGCAAACTACGACTCTGCGTCGACTACCGGAAACTCAACGACATTACGATCAAGAACTGCTACCCACTACCGCTCATCTCCGAACTACGAGACCTGTTGCACGGAGCACAGTGGTTTACAGCACTCGACCTAAAAGGAGCCTATAACCTGATCCGGATGAAATCAGGTGAAGAATGGAAGACAGCGTTTCGAACACGCCGAGGACATTACGAGTACCTTGTGATGCCCTTCGGACTCACCAACGCACCCGCGACATTCCAGACGATGATCAACCACGTCTTACGAGAATTTCTAGATGTGTTCGTCGTAGTTTACCTCGACGACATCCTAATCTTCTCCAAGACTCTGGAAGACCACAAAAAACACGTACACCAAGTACTGCGGAAACTGCAAGACGCCAAACTCCTAGTGGAACCCGAGAAGAGCAAGTTTCACGCCAAAGAAGTCGAATTCCTAGGTTTTACGATAGCCCCAGGAATCCTCAAAATGTCCAAAGACAAAATCGCAGCAGTACGAGACTGGCCTACACCACAGAACGTTAAGGACGTACAATCCTTTATTGGATATGTGAACTACTACCGACGGTTCCTAGAAGGGTACTCAGACAAAAACGACCCTCTCACGAGACTCTCGAAGAAAGATGTTCCCTGGCAATGGGAAGAAGAACAAGAACAAGCCTTCAACGAGATCAAACAACAAGTCACATCGGAACCAATACTTGTTATACCAAACCCCGAGAAACCATTCGAAGTCGAGACCGACTCCTCAGACTACGCTATAGGAGGACAACTAGGCCAACGAGACGACGAAGGACGACTACACCCTTGCGCCTTCTTCTCACGCAAGTTACACGGCCCAGAACTCAACTACCAGATACACGACAAGGAACTTATGGCAATTATCGAGGCATTCAAAGAATGGAGACCGCAACTCTCAGGAACCAAGTACGAGGTCAAAGTATACACCGACCACAAGAACCTCGCACACTTCACCACATCGAAAGATCTCAACAAACGACAAATTCGATGGTCCGAATTCTTGTCAGAATTCAATTTCAGAATCATCTACCGGAAGGGCAAGGAGAACGGCAGGGCCGACGCCCTCAGCCGACGACCGGACCACGAGGTCCAGGTACCTGAGGAAACCCGAGTTATCCTCAAAACAGACAAAAACGGAGACCTTGTGCCAGCAGCCAGACTCTTAATGATGGCCAGAAGAGACAGTACCAGCACGCCTGGAAGGATGTCTCCTGAAGCCATTAGGGAGATACACTCCGCACCCGCACATGGTCACCAAGGCGTAACCAAAACGTGGAAACGCATCCGTCAACACTACGACAAAACGGCTACACGACAAGAAGTATCTTTAGCGATTAAGGACTGTGAGGTTTGCGCAAAAAGCAAACCCAGCCGACATCAGCCTTATGGAAAGATACAGCCGCTCCCAGTGCCGCAAACCGCATGGGAATCCATCTCGCTGGACTTCGTCACTAAGTTACCTAAGTCCCGAGAACCGATGACCAACGTCCACTACGACAGTGTCCTCGTCATCGTCGACAGACTCACAAAGTACTCATACTTCATTCCGTACATGGAGTCAAGCACTGCAGAAGACCTCGCCTACAAGTTTCTGCAGGTGATCGTAAGCCAACACGGAATGCCGAAGGAAATCGTATCCGACAGAGACAAGCTGTTCACTTCCAAGTTTTGGAGATCCCTGATCTCGCAGCTAGGATCTGACCACAAGATGTCCACCGCTTTCCATCCGCAAACCGATGGCCAGACAGAACGAATCAATCAGATCATGGAAACCTACCTACGCTGCTACGTCAACTATCAGCAAAACAACTGGGTCCAACTGCTACCTATGGCCCAGTTCGCCTACAACAGCGCAGTAGGAGAAAGTACAAAAGAATCACCATTCTACTTGAACTACGGATTCAACCCGACAGCCTATGGACAACCCCGACAAGGCCCAACAGCTCTGAAAGCTGTGGCAGATATCAACAAACTCAAGGAAATCCAACGAGATCTTCCCAGAGACCTTGAATTTGTGCGCGAACGCATGCGCAAATACGCTGACAAGACAAGAGTTGAGGGACCAACTCTGAAGGAGGGGGATAGCGCATACCTTCTCCGCCGGAACATCAAAACAAAACGACCAAGCGATAAGTTGGACTTCAAGAAACTTGGACCCTTCGAAATCACGAAGAAGGTATCCAACGTCAACTTCAAACTCGCACTACCAGACACTATGAAGTGTCATCCAGTTTTTCATATTTCACTTCTCGAGCCAGCACCAAAAGGATCACGAACTATGGACCACATCGAAGTCGACCCGGAACAGGACTACGAGGTCGAAAGGATCCTCGATCACATCGATCAGCACGATGACACAGAAATACAATACCTAATCAAGTGGAAAAACTACGGACACGAAGAAAACACATGGGAACCCGCATCAAACTTGGAGCACGCACAAGAGGAACTTCAAGAATACTGGACGCAATGGGAAACACGACAGCACGCCAAAGTCATGCAAAGACCAACACACAACCCTCGCGTCAGAAACCCTCAACCCAAGTTTCGACCAACCAAGAAACCCCAGGGCAACAAAACGTTTCTTCGCCTAGGAACACCTAGCCCTGAGTAGCCGAGGAACCTCCAACACTCCCCGCACCCGCGCCATCCACCAGAGGACCCAAACCCACAAACTCGTCACCAAAACCAAAAAGGGACCAAGGAGGATCATTCCCGAGACCCACTGCCTGGAGGTCACTAACGACGAACCTCTCGTAAGCATCCAAGGCAGGTAGGACTTCGTCGTCCGCCAGGACGCCATCCTCCCTGTCAACCTCCTGCATACCACGCTCAAAAACTTCGGTCTGCCGCTCCCGAACCATCTTACGGACCGTCCGAATCCGTTTCAGACGACCCGCAGCATCCGCCATTTGAACTTGCAAACGAGCAAACTCTTGATGAAGCGCGAATAGCTCCTCACCCGCTTTCTCTTCTTTCTCATCCCACTCCTTTTGCTAAGAGTTCAACTTCTGAACTAGAAGCAAACATTAGCAACCCCCAGAACAGCGAAAACACAAAAACACGACTTACGAGTAGACGCCACGAGGACGCCGTCACAAGGTTTCTTCGCCTCGATGCAAGTCCTACAGCGTGTAGACTTCTCGCCAAAACGACACGGGACCTTTGCACGGAAACAACGAGTGCAAGGCATGTCGCTAGCAATCGATCGGGACTCCACGTATTCAATAAGCGCAGCTCTCTCACGATCTTTTATCACAGTCAAGTACGACTTTGTCTTTCGAACGCGACCTGACATGGTGTCGGCATCATGAAAAACAAAGGAAGCAAATTTGTGGATCCCCAACCTGGGACCAACGACCTACCTATACTCAGGTCTCGAGGACAAGACCTTTAAGAGGGGAGCTGATGTTACGACCCGACAGTTAACAGACCACTGACGACGACCCCGCAGGGGCTCAGCGGTTATAGGGACGGCCGTCAGCCGTTACGTCGTAACAACCCCCACGGAACGGAAGAACTAGGATACAGGTCACGTGACGATAAGCAGGACCGACGGACGATAAGCGGTCCTGGGACAGGACCGACGGTGCCAAGGGCGGTCCATGGCGATGGACCGACGTCCTGGGTGTCGGTCCCCCAGGATCAGGAAGTGTTCAGCATGGAACCAGACTTGTATATAGTTGGGACTCGAGTCCTCTCGAGTCCTACCTTTCCTAGTTCTTCAGCAATCAACTTTGTGATTACCCTAACCGGTACTTTCAGCTATACCTAAGTGACGACTACTCTACGACTCTTGTTGAGGCCTTGACTGATCACCAAGACCTTTGAAGATCTACGATCTATTCGACCAGGACCACGGAACGACTGTTACTACTCTCAATCCCTGGCTTACTGTTAACACAAACCCACTGTCAGTTAGCTGGCCGTAACAATAGTGCCCACTGATCATGGCGGCGACGATGCCACGAAATAGCCCGCAGGCATCGCCCACCACCCAAACCGGCGCGTCGAGAAGCCTCAGATTGCCGTCGACCTTCGGATACCATCCGACTCCCTCGAGAGTTGGGCCGATCAGCGTCGCCTCCTCGTCATCTCCCAAGTCGTCGTATGTCCGCGCAAGCCGCCGCAAGCCGTCGGCCATCTTCCCGACCAGCTCCGGGCCGTAGACCCCCTCCATCGCCGCGACAACCTCAGCATCGCCCCGCAGCAGGCCCTGCGCGGGAAGCTCGAAGTGCCCCTCAGGCCGAGCCATCGCCTGGAGCACGCGGTCCAGCGACCTGCGCGCCAGCTTCTCGTCCAGGATCCGCGTATTGAAGCCCGAATTGGAGCGCCCCGTCGGAGCGGGGCAGTCGGACCGTCCCGAGACGGTCCATAGTCCATTTGTCTCCGTCAGGCACGTCTCGCCCTGGCGGCAGACGCAAAACGTGCGCCACTCCACGCCGCCGTCTGTTTCGCGCACGCGGAGCTTGGGGTCGTGCTGCGGCATGGAACGGAAGAAGGCGCGCTCGCTGCGCTGTTGGATGCGGAAGCCAACCTCTAGACGGCGGAACTGGTGGTGTGCAGTCATGTCGCGCAGGCTGACCTGGAGCGGCCCAAAACGTCCTGTTGCTACGAGGAGTCTGTTTGCAGTGAGTCCGGTGATCTGGCCCGTAGCGCGATGCTCCACGGCGACGTTGAAGGAGTCTGAGTCTGGGTGGTACGTGGCGCTTCGGACATGGCACTCGTTCATGACGGCGCCGTCGATGTCGGCGACCATGTCGGCGACGAGCCGCAGGCGGGCGTCGAGGGGTAGGTAGTCCGAGGGGTAGTCTTTAAGCTTCCACTGTTCGCTCTCCACCATGCCAGCTACGGAGTAGGCGTCCGGGTTACTAGGGAAGGGGGGCGTGTCGAGACCGGCGCGGTTCAGGACGTTGCATGTCCAGTTATAGGCCTCACGCAGGTCGGCCCCGCGCGGCAGGGACCAGAGCTCTGAGGCGGATGGGAAGAAAGAGAACTTGCCGTCGGAGAAGAGTCCTGCGCCGCCGTGGCCGCGGGTAGCATCCTCGGGGAGGTGGCGATCGCGGTCCTGCACGGACTTGCCGCCGTCGACGATGGTGAATTGAATGCCAGTGCCCTTGAGACGAGCCGCGGCGGCTAGGCCGGCTGGACCCATGCCGATGATGATGATGTGACGTTTTGGGCTGATGGTCATCTTCGCAGACACCTTTTGGACGATGAAGGAGATCGTTACGAAGGTGTGTGAAAAGGAGCGAGGTTATGAGTAGGGGAATAGAGGAAGAGAGGTGGAGGGAGAGAAGGAAAGCGAAACAAGAAGAGTAGAGCATGAGAGCTTGAGCTTCCTATTATGGAGAAATTCAGAGGAACACATGACGTCTTTATACCCATTGCCCCACGATTCTTGCGGTCCTTGATCCGTTGGTTGAAGAAAACGCATCGTGGTACAGTCATGCACACACAGGGGGCGCAATCCACAATGTCCAAGGTCCATCCCATCGAGACATGACATGTTTCAACCGGGGACTGCGTCAACTGAGCTGACGGTAACGATTGGGGAAGTGTTGGTCATGACCAGGACAGGAGGAGAAGTGCCTCCAACGCCGGCAAATTTGATGATATTATAGACCGCAAGAACGAAACCACTGCAGTATTCTTTCAATATAGATGTTCATATATCCCGAAGTAGCACCTTAAAAAGACGTTAATAGTTCATCCTCTCCAGCAGGGTATGTTAAGACCAGTGATGAGGTGTATGATGGCAGGGTGTTGTGGTCAACTCTGGATGCACGGAGGAATGGCGGACGCCCAAGAAACCCCCCGCAGCAGAACCCATAGCAAAAACATCCTTGCCTCTGCATGTCCGGCGGTCAACACGAAGTACCCTGCGGCATTTTCGTTGCGTAAGTCTGATTACGGAGAGATTTTGGAAGAAAACGGAAAAGATGAGGGCTTGATGCTGTTCGCAGAAGCACACGCATTCCTGTGGCTGGGGTACAGATGAGCGAGCCCTGTCGAATTTGGCGAGTTTGTCCAGATGCGAACGCGGCTTGGACCAAGACACGAGCGGCAGATCGCCGCAGATGGGACGGGCCGACGCCTCCCGTCCCTGCGCGCCTCCTCTCTGTCGGACGTGAGCGGAAGTCGTATACACTAAGCTCCAAGAGGGACGGGGTTTCGTCGCATCTGACCGCAGACTGCATATCACCTCCTGTTCGCCAAGCTTGCTAGGTAGGTGACGAGCCTTTTTTGACCCCAGGGAGCGTTGATGGTCAGTGTTCAGGTGGTCTTGAGTGGCGTGGCTGGGGGACAACTGGTGATCGATTGGCTGAAGTACTTGAGTTATCGCCAAGTCCCAATTTCACATTGGTTCCACGCGCGTATGTGCGGATGCTTCGCACTGCTTGGCCATACAGCTTATAGTACTTTGCAATACATGACAAATTTCGAGGCCCTTCGATTCTTGTAGTTTCATTATGATGATAGCAAAACGTACGTAAATGCTGTACATAGGAGTAGGCCGCGTGAGCCCATAAAGTATACTATATATCAGCTTGTATCTACTATATGTATTACTAGTTTACAAGCTGGCCGGTCGTTACATAAAGTAGGACCTCACAATCCTCTTCCGGAAATTGCACCTTAGACGTTTGACTCCGGCCAGAAATAAAAAAGGGACCAGGGGCCCACCTGTCCCGCTCCCGGCAGGCGACCCACATTCGTCCGGACCACCGACCAGGTGACGACAAAGGAGAGGGGGAAAGGAGGCTGTTGCTCTACACGTACTATACTTCTTCAAGAGCAGGAATTTCAATTATGGGATGTATGGGACCGTCTTTGGACACAAGCACGCTACCTCCTGCCAGTTTGGGAGATGAATGACTCGGAACCAACAAGTGCAACTGTGAACAAGTCGTTTGAGTTGCGAATGTACGCCGACTTTCCCCGGTACCCATCATGGAATTTTCCTTTCAGCGCGTATCCCGTCGCGATCTTGAAACCTCATTATCACCAGCACCAAGTACCATATCACCAACCAACCGCCGTCCATCTGCTCACGCCAATATCACCTCCTCTGCTAACCCGGCAGCAACCCGCGCATCGGCGTCGGCGCCGTCGTCCGCGACCCGGTCACCGGCATGCTCCTCGTCGGGCGGCGCCTCAGCAGTCACGGTCACGGTACCTGGCAGTTCCCTGGCGGTCATCTCGAGCACGCCGGGTCCATCTTCGCCTGCGCCGAGCGCGAAACCCTCGAGGAGACGGGCCTTGCTGTCAGGGTTACTCGGCTCGCCGCCGTCACGAACTCGGTCGTCGTCGAAGTTGGCAAGCATTACGTCACCCTGTTCGTTCTCTGCCAGCCCGTCGACACCTCCGCCAAGCCGTAGGTCCGTATGAGTGCGAGCGCAGGCGTGTAGTTTGTGGTATAGTGAACAATAATATACCTAACCTTGTAAACCAAATACTATAGGCTATGGAGCCCGACAAGGCTGGCGACTGGCAGTGGATGGGGTGGTCCACCATCTGCGACTGGGTCCGCCACCATGACGATAATAGCGGCAATTAGCCTGCGAAGCGTCTTTTTTGGCCATCCGCGAACTGATCGATGGGAATGAGAATGAAACGGCTTTTACGGGTTTCTAGGACTGGCGTGGCATTTTCCGCACGAATAGTTCTCAATTTGGTAGCCAAAACAGCCCTAACACTCTATCTAAAGTCTCTCAAGGCCGCACGGGTGCACTTTAGCTTGCCTGAGGGTCAATGGAAATTTTGTTTCTTGTTGCTTCCCCTTGGAGAACCAAATAGTCAATACCCAATAGAGTTGTGTTAGGAGCTTTACCCAGCTGATGTTAAACCCACGACCTGAATGTAATAGTAACTACATGTACTCTCTTAGGTGGACAAGAATGTAGGGAAATTCTGTAATGACTATTTGTTAGTAGTACCTTCCTGCAGCACAGTCTCGTCTAGCTCGTTGCACCCCCTTACCCTTGACCGTTTGACCACTCTCGCCTGCGGCACGGCACGCCTCTGAGGCATTTTCGGAATACTCCCCGGGTGGGGCCCCGGATGGGGCAAAAGGTGGAGGCACCGGATAGGCCCTGGAAGACGGGGCAACAACCACGTTGGACCCATTTATCCGCGGAATTGGCCGGTCTATCAGGGACCGGGGGGTTCTTATTTCTCATTTTCTTTCTTTGTTTCCACCCCCAAACAGCATTTACACTTAGGGTTAGAAGATGACTCAAGCATCCATCATGTCAACTCCGAGTAACCCTCGCTATTCCACCTTTCTCGCTATCTCCTCTCTCGCTCCCTATTTTTCCTCCCTTCCACTCCCCATCTCTCACCGTTCGACCTGTTAGACTTGATTCGGCTGGCCGATATGGGAAAAGAACCTAACCAGATCATAGAGATGTACCAGCCCAGGGAGACAACAAAGATTTCGGGCACGGATCCGAACACGGAGGGAGTCACAAACCAGAACATGCCCGAGCAAACGGGCGGCAACGTCGACGACCACAAGCTCGCCCCAGCACTACTGGGCCCCGTGACAGACGGTGCCTCCTCCGGCGATGATGCCTCCCCCGACGAAACCGACGTCATGGCCACATACAGCTGCTTCGCACCAAGCCAGCGCATTATCATCATCGCCTTTGCCAGCACCATCGGCATGCTGAGTCCCCTGAGCTCCAACCTCTACACGCCCGCCATCCCCGCCGTTGCTCAGGACCTGCGCGTTTCTACCGACGCCATCAACCTCACCATAACCTCATACCTTGTTTTGCAGGGCATCAGTCCCACGCTCTGGAGCGCCATCGGCGAGAGCACCGGCCGCCGTCCGTTATACCTCGTCGCCCTCACAGTTTATCTCGCCTCATGCCTCGGCCTCGCTCTATCCGGGACCTACCCGGCTGTCATCGCTCTCAGGGCGGTTCAGGCCGTCGGCTCAGCCTCCACGACAGCCATCGGCGCCAGTCTCATCGGCGACCTGGTCCACGTCAGCCGCCGTGGGAAGTACATGGCCAACTACAGTGCCCTCGGCGGCGCCAGCACCGCCCTCGGGCCCGTCGTTGGCGGCCTTTTTGCACAGTATACCGGCTGGCGCGGCATGTTCGTCTTCCTCTCAGCGTTTACCGGCTTCCTTCTGATTTTCACGGCGTTGTTTCTCCCCGAGACGAAGCGCAGCATCGTCGATGACGGTTCCGTTCGTGCCCCCCGGTACCTACGCGCTCCCTTGAAATGGCTCGACGCGCCGAAGAAAACACTGACACCCACAGCCCCCGCAGCTGCCAAATTCCGAATAGACTTCGGCGCCCCCGTACGTCTCCTCATCAAGCCCGAATGCCTGTGCATTGTTCTCTTCACGGGAGTTAGCTACACGGTCTGGCAGGTCACCATGGTCGCCACCGCCACGCTCTACGCCGAGCGATACGGCCTGGACGAGCGGAGCATCGGGCTGACGTACATCTCCAACGGCGTCGGCTCTGTTTGCGGTAGCGTGCTTACGGGGAAGCTGCTGGACCGGGGGTACAAGCGCCAGCTCGAGAGGGAGCAACGGGCGGTGGCAGCCCGGCCGGCAGACGATGGCTCGCCTCGTCCCGCAAACGAAGTACAGCACATAGAGCTTGCGCGTATTAAGCCCGTTATCATCCCCACCCTTGTCTATGTCGCCTCCGTCATTGCCTTGGGCTGGATCATCGAGTCCAACGTCCACATTTCCGCCTCCATCATCGTGGCCTTTTTCGTCGGAGGCCTCAGTACTGTAATCTTGGCCGTCTTCTGTAAGCATCGATATGTCTTTCGTAATGACCACTGTTTAGCTGACGCAAGTGACTGTCCCAGCAACCCTCATCGTCGACATCTTCCGGGCCCAGAGCTTCAGCGCAACCGCCTCGATGAACTTGTCGCGCTGCCTGTTGTCCGCCGGAGGAACGGCCGCCATCGGGCCACTGATCCGTGCCGTCGGCGTCGGTTGGGCCTTTACGCTGTGTGCTGTTGCCGCTCTATTGTCGTGTTCATTTGTCGCGTTGGAGCTGTGGCGGGGGCGAGATTGGCGCGTGAGGCGGATGGCCGCGGCGGCTCAGAGGGTGTCTCGCAAAACAACTATAACCTGAAAAGGATCTCGCAATGTTATAAGACTCTTGAAATGTTTCAGCTCGATGATTTTCCCAGTATCAAAATATGTTTTACGTTAAACTAAAGATTATCTAGTATTACTACACATTGTTGAATGGGCCTTGAACCCTTGGGCAATATCCCATTGAGTGTTGCAAGACGCCATTATCGCCAAGCACTAAAGTTCTCACCTTTAGAGCCACTTTTGCCCCTCACCACCATCAGTATGTAAGCATTCATTTATCCCTATGTTCCCTGTAGTGCCGTCATCATACAAACCGTCATTCTGGTTAATGCTGCGATGTCTTCTAGTAATTGTAATGCCTCTCATGCCTCCGATGCCTCCCGTACCTCGGTACGGAGCACTATTGTTGTTGAGGTCATTCCAGAAGACCTAGCTACCGTGTGTGCTGCTGACTGTACACTGGAGCAGAGGTATTAACTCTTTAGGCATATACTGCGATTTTGGGCTACGCCATTTATCTATCCTGTACAGTTTCAAAAGTTCTCACATAGTAAGTTATAATATCTATAAATAAGGTACTTAGTAAACATTTAACTATATTCTTCCATTGATCTCGTGAACTTTATGAACTTGAAAAATCTTCAGGGAGTATTACAACAGTGAGATGTGAGTAAATAGACCCACTAAACGCATCAGAATCGCTTGAGGACATCGTGACAGTTCACCATGAATTGAAATATTGATTTGGGAATAAACGTAGCCAAAGAAAATATAAAACCGTGGAGGCTGATGACATATCGTCATATATCTCTGTTAAAAAGGGAAGAGGTGGATAGAAAGCTGGGTACTATATACCTGTAGCCAACTAGCAGTCGATGGGATACACTCTTAATGTTCTAGCCCGGGGACCCCGTAATAGTGCTGTGCTCGTTCACTCAGCCCATTTCTCAACAAGGCTCCGAGGGATATACCGGAGATATAGACCAAGCGGGCCTGCTGGTAGTCCCTGTACCTCTCGGGCCCGGGCCGGCACATGAAAGGGAATAAAGGAGCCCGGGGGCCCACGCTCTAGGCCGGACCGTACTATTATCGGTTCGGCAAGTATTGACACTATTGTTACAGTATACGGGAGTTCTTTGCCCTCCATTCACAAAACGGTATGCAGATAAGCACGTGGCCGACTAATAGACAAACTAAACTCAAGAATAACGTCTATGTATTTGCTTGACTTGGCAGCTAGAAAGGAAAGGCCAACTTCGGAACATACAACTCCTCAAGGTACTCCACCTCCTGGACACTTAACTCAATTTCAGAAGCCATAACAGCTTGATCAATTCTTTCACGTGTCTCTAACTCGCAAATGGGTACGCAACCCTTGAAAAGCAACCAAGCCTGGGCAATCTGAGCCATGGATAGACCCTTCTTGGCTGCCAGCTGTTCAACTCTTTCAACGATCGACTTATCGGCGCCGTTGTTTGAGCCGCGGAATAGAAGTTGTAGAAAGGGATCTTTCTGCTCTCGTGGGTCAGTGCGATCGGTCCAGGGGTGCGCGAGGACGCCAGCGGCGAGCGGAGACCACGGGAACAAGCCAACGTTGGTGGCGTTGCAATACGGGTTCATCTCTCGTTCTTCCTCGCGATAAAGAAGATTGTAAAGGCACTGCTTGGAGATGAACTGGTGCCAGCCGTTCTGCTTGGCTACGTTTTGGAGCATATGAAATTCTCAGGCCGCCATCTATTGCATTATCGTCAGCGGAATCTTGAAAAGTTGGCTTGAGGAAATAAGGCTTCTGTATTCTTGAACGAGATAAGAAGATTCGGCGCACTGCAAGTACTTACTGAGCTGGCACCAAGGTATCGGACCTTTCCACTTTCAACAACATCATTGAGCGCCTTCATCATTTCCTCCGGGGGCACGTCACGGTCCATTCGGTGGATTTGAAGAACATCAATATACGTTCCAAGCCGCCCAACACTGCGATACACTGCATCAAGAATGTGCTTCCGAGACAGTCCGACCTGGTTCACCCGAGGGCCTTTGTTGCATGTAAGGTTGGCAGGGTCGATGGGCCCCTTTTCGTCGTCGACAAACTGAAAACATTTAGTCATGATGACCAGCCTCGATCGCGGGATTTTGTATTTCGTGACAGCAGCTCCTATGATTACCTCAGAACGGCCATTGGAGTATGTGTCGGCAACATCCCATGTGTTGATGCCTTTGTCAAAAGCGTATTTTAACACAGGGAGAGCTTCGTCTTTGTCGAGAAGCCACGGCTGCCAGTTCTTATCGCCGAACCTCATACAACCTAAGATAATTTGAGACACCTTTAGGCCCGAATTACCCACACTGAACGAAAGCATTGTTAGAAATATCCCTGGGGTTAAATTAAAACCCTTGCGAAAATACTTGCCGGACGTATTTTATCGATGATTCAGACATGTCTAGTATTATTTGATGATCGGACTTGGCGAGAGACAGAGATGATGCCGGGATAGTTGGCTGATAAGTTTTTTGTGTTCACTCAATCGCAAACCCGTTGGTATGTACACTTAATCCCTTATACGGTATTTTCTCGTGGGCTTTAGAAACTCTTTGATAGCTTATTTTCACAGTTGACAGCCCTTGACCATCATTTCACACGTCGACCGTGAGCTAGTCTGCACAGGTTTAGACCCACAAAGTAATCCAAGTGCATTAGCGCCGTTTGCAGAGTGCCCGGAGCTAAAGACGGGAGATAAGAAAAGATGCTGACAGCCCTGCTAGGCCATTCTCAGACAATTGTTACGCTTAGCTAGAACTTCGCAAATCAAGAGGTGCGTGGCACAGTGATTTTTGCACACCAAGAATTGTTCACAATTGCGTGGAATGTTCTTTATGACCAGTATCATTCTCTAAAAACAATCACCGGCTCCCCGCGTTTCCCTCCCCAGTAATTGGTCGTTTCCAGCAATTCAGGACAATTCCCTACCAGAAATCCCCATTTTTGGAAAAATGCTTCGTTGGCTTCCCAGGCCTTCTGCTCCCATGACTTGCCCCAAACAATCAACGACGGCCTCCTCTCAAGGTCTTCGTCCTTAACCTCCAGGATGTCAGCGCACAGTTCATCATCGAACACCACGCCAGCTTCCATTCCAAGTAAAATATTGTCTCGAAAGGTCGGGAAGGGAAAGAGATCGATCCACGGGTGATGGATTATCTTTCGTTGTAGGCCAGTCGGGCACAAATCTGGGTAGAGACACATGAGTTTTTCATCGAGGCCTGGCTTTGAAGGTCCCATGGAATTATGAAGCGAAATAGAGTCTTCCCGGCAAAGACCATCGGGGGGGGGGGGAATCCTATAGCGACAGCATTGTTGGCCAAAGCAGCAAGGACGCGCAGCCGGATAAGCATATGAAGGGCTGTTGGTCGCGGGCAGTTGAGGGTATAGTCTTGATAAACCTCACTTATGCGGTTGTGAGCAAAATCGAACTTTTGAGGACAAGCTGTAAGAGAACAACCCTCTTGAAGGTTTGCTAGTATGCTATCCTTGCCTGTCTTTCGATTAAGGTTGACTGTCTTTGTTGTTCGCAGGCCCTGGCCATTCAGGCTCTCCTGGATTTGTTTCCTTCTTCTACCTTCTATCAATTATTTTAAGAGTTTTCATCAATCTCATGGTTGATTGACTTACGGTAAGCGCGTTGGTTCAGCTTGTTTTGCAGCTTCTTTCTGTGCGCTTGATCTGAAGTGCTTATCCAGACATCGCTTGGCTCCCAAATATCACAAAGCATCGACATAATAGGCGTAATTTAGACAAGATGTCAACGAAGGCAAGCAATGTTCAGAACCAAACGTTAACGTTGGTCAGGGTCACAGCTCCTCTGGATAGATTTCGATACGTGCAAGGTGTAGGTTGGATGGACCTGCTTTTGTTTAGAGGGAAAAAATCTAAGTCTCAACACGGGGCAAAAAAAAAAAAAAGATACGGGGCTGACTGAGAGCGCCAGCTTACGTCAGGTACTGAGTCGTGCATTCCGTTAGGAGACGAAGCTGCCGCCCCAGCAGGACCAATTTAGGGCGAGGCGAGAAGAAAGCGGAGAGTATAAAGCTGGTAATGAAGGAAAGTAGAGAAAGGAGGGAGATAATTTTCTGGATGCAAGACTAAGTAAACAATATACGCGACACAAGTACTACTCAACCATTACTATGTAAGTGTACACAAAAGTAGACCTATAATTACGGTAGTATAATTTGGTTCACATGCACCATTAAAGCAAGAAAATCGAATATAAAATTAGTTGCTCTTTACTTGTTTGACAGTCTAGTCGCGATTCCGTGTGATCAACGTATTGTAAAATGCATATCACTGACTACTTACTTATTAGTAGTTAACTAACGAATTAAAAAAGAAGATATAGCTGTCTACTAGCCATCTAACATAACTGTGAATTTTTCTCAACAAATATTGTATTCCATGTTAGATGCCCTAAAGCACTTTCACTTTCAAGGGTATTATGGTCTTGTGGGCGCACATGCTTCGCTATACTTGCCTACTGTGACGAACTGGGCACATAGCAATCAGGCTAACAGAGTGACTTGATGTAGAAAAAGGGTATATGCGTGAGGAAGCATATACTTATCCCATCGACTGCGAGTTGGCTACAGGTACATAGCCTGCGGGGTTGTAGCCATTCAGGGATAGACAGTGTAAACCTCCTTCCAATCCCATACCTATTCTCCACGGAGTTTGGAGAAATTGTAGACCGATTTGTGACTCACAATGTACCTGTAGCGAACTCGCAGTCGATAGGATACGTCTACAGTGTGCGTTTCATGTGGCTTACGTAAAAACAACTCAGTCGGTGTGTTTAGTGATCGTTGACAGTATCGTCATACCTACTTTACTACCTAACTAGTTAAGGCTCTAGGTGCCGTAGCTATATAGGATAGAGTAGGGGATAATGGCAACGGGTTGTTATGACCGAACAGTTGGTTGCCCAAAAATTGCGCAAGACACCTGCTTTCTTTAGGTCATATCGCGATCAGACCTAGCCGTATTTACTATATTCGTTTTATAGGAAGCTAAGTTATATTCCTAATAGTCGTTGGAGTAGTAGGTAGCAACGCGGAACCCATTGTCTAATTCCTTTAGTAGGACAAAGTTCAATACATTTTAGGTGCTCCTAGTGGTCATCGGATAGAATAGGCATGTTGCTGTGGGACACTACTATAGGACATAGTGCACTAAATTAGTGACTGGTAGTTATGTAGCATATAGTTTTACCCTGTTAAAGCTCCTTAACATTTTCAACTTGCCAGACTGCTCCCTTACAATTAGGCTCCCTAAATCTTGCCTCTTCTCCTGCCGAACAATGGTATAGGTAGCCGCTGAAATTGGCGCATCCAACTAGAACTGTTGAATCGACTTTGCCAGCTCGGAGCATAAGCTGGCTCTGCTTGTGGACAACAGTAGTTCCAGAATCGCCGCAAAAGTAGACATTGTTTTGTTTTAATACGCAATTCGACACCCTTTTGTATTCCCCGTTGCCATTAAAGGTTCCTTGGCCGCACTTAGCAGATACCTCCCACAACAGGCAGGCCAAGGTAATGATTGAAGCGGTAGAGATATACATTGTGAGTTTTTTTTTTACGTAGGATATGCTGAAGATTGCTTGTAGACATTAATACAATGCCTCTCATATGTCTATGTTGAAAGATAACTCACCTCGTTTAAGTCTGAAATTTTGTCAAGGACTCTTTAGTTTTTTGATGAGATTCAGGGTTAGGCTACACTTCTATTTAAGTTTCTTAGGCACTATTATTAAGGCATGGCTTAAAAGCCTATCCGAGGCATCCGAAGAAGAAAGGTTTATTTAATTAAGGCCTAGACTATTAAAGCTTAGATTATCGCAGTATCGTTTCCTACACCTGACATTTGACTACAGACTGCTTCCATGACTCGTACTTAATTTATGCTTGATTAAAATCTTCTGCAATCTCTAGGGAAGGAAATTAAACTGAATAAAGTACTCATGGGGCAGCTGTCACTTTCGATTACGAATACGATAAATTAGTGTCAATTGGCAATTAATTTAACAGTCAAAGCCTTGAGGGATTCAACATTGCAGTTATCTCGTTCGTCCCTTAGCCCGTCGGACTCGGACTCGGTCTTAGCTACCGAAGGAAGAGGAGGCGCAGAATCGTGTAATAATTAAAAGAAACTTTAAACGTAAAGTACGCATCTATTCTAAGCTACCCCACTTGTAACATCTTAATTCAGTAGACTTGCTCTGCTCTTATATATGCTTAAGAGCCAACACCATCTTCACCACAGGAACAGTTCCTTTCTTAGGCATTTTAGAAATACTTACTTACTTACTTTATTTTAGTTAGCTGAAAACACTTCTAGTTGTTACGAGCTATGCCTAGTTGATAGCTATGCTATTATCCTACTTAAGTATAGCTAAGCAATAAGTATATAACTTATTATTACGTATCGTTTTAGGCGTTTAGCTTAACGGGGTAACACCTCTATTATTATTTTATACTAGAGGCTGGTGTGCGGCTGCTACTGCAACCCTGTAGGGGGGGTCTGACCCTTCACACTGAGTACCAGTTTCCAAGGAACACGTGGTTAGGCAAGAAATATAAACATAATCTAAGTATAACTTTCGTCTGCTCGAACCAGAATCATGTTTAATGTACTAAAAAGACTTTGTATAAACAATGCTCTGTGTTTAAATTGAGTATATTGACTTAATCCCCTACGTGTTACTAAGTCACTGTGTTATTGAAACGTGGTTAAAAGATGTATCTAATATAATAATAAATCTGTCTCAAGTGGTTACCTTTAGAGGCTCTTATTTATATAAACTTCCCGTTACCTCTCGGCGCTTATATAAAGACCTATAGTTTATCTAGGTTAGTAATAAAAAGAAAGATAGATGTTGATTTTGGATCTACACCTAGGCCCTTAGGATAATAACTATAGGTAAAGATTTTTTTTTATAATTATAAGACTATAAACTTAGACCATCTAGAATTTCTAATAGCTCTTGCCTCTGCGTCTATATTAATAACCTTGGAAGGAATTCTCCTGAATTGAATACTCTCTACTCCTAAGTTTTGATCTAAAATAGAAAGAGTTAAGATGTAGATTTAAAAAGTTTATTATGAGGAGCTTTAATTCGTCCGTCAGTTTTGATTAAACAGTAGTTATATTCAAAAGATTCACTAATTACGATTACGACGGTCCTAGAGCTAATATTACATTACCATTATTATCTACCAGCTTGATCTCGCATTAGTAGTAGATACTGCTATATTTTTTAACTTGCTAATCTATTCTCTTTGACACACCACATGCTGTTGATATCGCTCACCCCGCCATTCCAGCACCCCCAAAGTCCCTTGACAAATAGGAAGAAACGAAGACGTCAGTGTTACGACCCGTTGGACATGGTCGCCAACACGACCCCGCCTGGATCCCGGCGGCTAACGCAGGGCATATGTAACCCAGCCGGACAGGTGTAACCAGGGATCCTCGGAACGGAAGAACTATGGACAAGTCACGTGGCCTCGGGGATAACGCGGGGTAAGGACAACCCGGGCTGGATATGTTGGATATGTCAGATATCCAACCGATCCCCGGATATGTTGGATATGTCAAATATCCAACATAGCCAAGATAAGGAGGACCGTTCAGGACTTGTATATAGGATGGACTCGAGCCGGGCTCGAGGACAGACTTCCATAGCTCTTCAGCAATCAACTTTGTGATTACCCTAACCGGTACTTTCAGCTATACCTAAGTGACGACTACTCTACGACTCTTGTTGAGGCCTTGACTGATCACCAAGACCTTTGAAGATCTACGATTCAATCGACCAGACCCCAGAACGACTGTTACTGTTGTCAATCCCTGGCTTACTGTTAACACAAACCCACTGTCAGTTAGCTGGCCGTAACAGTCAGCTTTGGAAAAAGCTCTCATCCTTAGGTGCAGTTTCAATAAGCTCTTCGCGCAAGTCAAGGTCCAAGGCCCCTCGTGGCGTCGATAGCCAGCCTTCGAAAGAAGTCTTGTTGCGTCCCAAAGAAATAACCACAAGCCCTTAGTTACGAATTATCGATGCTCCCAATCATGTGAATAGGCGCAGGAGAATCATTTTCCTGCTTCCCTCCTTTTGCCACCCATTCCCAAGCCAGAATGGGTCCTTCGTCCTCTTCTGCTCTGGACGAACAACATTGGACAGAACATGCATAAATAATGTTTATCCCATTCGGTATGGAGACAGCAAGCCGACAAATTTCATCGTCGCCATCTATTGCCCTTTGCAGGAAGGCGGTAGCGGCTAGAGGACATGGGACATTTTGACCCAAAAGGCGGTACCGCTTGTCCCAATTATCGGCGCGTGAAACTTTGTAGATGAATTGGAGTCCTTGAGAAAGCAACTCTTCCGTGCACAAATCATTGTACTCTTCAGAGTATCCTGCACTATACTCTCCCCACTCGATGTTGTGAACAGCTAGGTCATTGTATGCTATTTCGAAGGTCAAAAAAATTCATATGCTCAGGGTCAGTAGCAAGTAAATGGTACGAGCCAATGCATCCCTAAAGAACTTTAGGTAACTTTTACTAACCTGGAGCAACTAGCCGCCATAGGCTTTCGTGAACACAGCTCGAGCTGCTCGTTTCCCCACGGTGTCGACGCGGGAAAAAATAGCATTTGCGCTGCTAGAAAATCGTCGTCTGTATCCCATCGACCACGGCTGGACCTCATTTTTGCCAAGCCCTCAGATTCCCACTTTTGAAGCCACTTTTACTCCTCACTACACCCAGTACATTAGCATTATGATCTTTCCACGCATCTTCCCTAGTGGCTGATATATAGCTGTGTACCTACGTTAACTACTGGTACTTCTAACACACTGAAACTTGTCGGGAAACGATGTACTCTAAATTTCAGAACATTAGTTAACAAATCTAGGAAACATGGGAGCTCTAATTGGCTATACCATACCCCACGCAAAAATGAGGTCTAGCCGCGGTCGATGGGATAGTTATCTGGAGGAGGAAATATAGTACAGTATAATTCAAATCGGTACAAGGTCTGCTGTACACGCAATACCTCTGCCTTTGAGACTGGCAAATTGCATGTGGTTTGAACGACAGATTCCTAACGTGAGAGATATCCCTCTGCGATTTCTTCTGCTAAAACCATGATAATCTTTTGAAGGTGTATCAAAGCAATACCTTCGGAGAGTGTCCAACGATAGGCGGGTAACTCTTTGCTAGTTCGGTTAAAAAGCTGTTGAACTGCGGCTTGTAAAGAGCGATTTTTGTTATGGAGCTCTCGGGCTACGATGGTACGAACTGCATTGGGCAGAACTGTAGGATGAACCTCTTTTTGAATAACATTCGTAATGATTGGGGCTGGGAACGAATGAAAAGCGTCATATATCGTCCGGCATGATGCGGCAGCAGCCAAAAGGCTACCGAGATCGCATGACCTTGGAAGAATACTGCGCAGAATCTCAGTCGGCAGGGAAATAAGAATTGGCTTGCCACCAGAAGAAGACATTTTCATCGCGAAGAAGTACTTTGGCTTTGCGCTACTTGAAAGTGGAAAGACTTTTAATCCTTTTATGTTGGTAGGAGTTCAACAAGGGAATGTACTCTTTCTCATTTGGGCGCTCAATAACCACCAACCATACGCCCCGCGACTGAACGAATGGTACTTGGAGACGGCCACACCTCACCATTAACTAAGTTAGTGTCCGTGCAGGGTAGCTGTTTTCATAATGGGTCGTCATTAGCTACCCATCACAGGTGCAGGCGATCTTGGACACCTACAACCCTGACCCGGGTTAGGCGTATCGCTCAGCTTGTTACGCCAGCGGCAGTCACTAACCCTCAAAGTAATTACCATACGCAGTATAATTGCGAAATCTGCTGTCATCAAGTGAGTTTAAGGTCTTTACACGCCTAATGTTGCCAGCAGACGTGCGGCCGCAATGGCAAAAAGCGTTTGCCTCTGCTGTGGCCAAACCAACGTATGGAATAGGAAACGTCTCCATGTGCGAATTGGACATTGACGACCATTCAGGAGGTAGATGATTGAAGTATTTAGGTCTGAAGAATGTTCCTTTCAAATTGGACACACGAAACCAAACTACATGCACCTTTAATTTCGAATCCCTTTAAATTACGTTTTCTATTCCCACAAACAAGTATTGAATGCTTTTTGCTGTGCTGAACCAAGATGGGCTCCGCAAACTCCAAAAACAAGACTCGGGGTCCTAACGAAAAGCATGTCAAACCGACGCAAGCCGGCGGCTTCCCCCTGGAGATCCTCTCACAGCTGCAGTCGCAAATACTGGTTCTGCTCCAGTGTGGACTGGTTTCGGCGCAAGCTAGCACAATGACCACTAGTTACCGTAACTCTTCCGCCAAATACCGAGACTCCAACACTGGAACTCTAGAAGGGGGACGTTTGTCTGAAAATGTTTGGTTCAACAGTCAGCATTTACACGGCAAGTCGCTAGATGAAGCAGCCAAAGTGAAGGATCAAACTGTCAAGGCATTCTTGAAGACAGCTGGCCAGACGAAACGTAACCGGGCTGAGCCATATGGCGGCAAACCTGAGGAGTCTCGATCTTGGCACCACAGTGCAGCCGACCAAAGGATACAGGCAAGTAATAGCTGGAATGAGTAGGTTTCTATACTTTCAACAACATAGCTAGATTCTGACCGTACTTTACTCGAAGGTCTGCAGAGGCAAGACAGACGGTAGCAAACAACTTTGTCGGCTACGATTCTCAGCAAGGACATAAAGGTCACCGAGAGAGGATAAGGACATGTCAGAGAAACGCAAGTGTTCATGAGAGGAAGATAGAACCTCATCTTCAACGGCTTCGGTAATGTATAAACTTAGGATAAGATTAGCTACCATTACTTTTTGTTATTTGTCTTAATTAACTCTTTGAGGACGCACTATTATTCTTAAATTTTACGCTTTGTTACCAACATGTAAAGTAGAGTAGAATGGTGAGTAGACAGAGTATCTGTCACCATACAAGATTTAAGGCTGGGATTGCAAATAGGAGTTATTCAAAGCCTGGCCGTATTTAAATAATGTTTAATAAAGTAATAAAAGTACGGAGTGGAGGGTAGTCATTTAGGAAGGGGATTTCAGGGCAGCTACATGAAGGTGTGGGACGTTACCTAGTGGAAATAATTAACCTACATACAAATTTTGAGTTGGAGCATGCTAAATCCCAGTCCGACGGAACTAAGCGCAAGCAGTCTGGGGCTTCAGAACTACTTCGATAATACTCAGTTGGCTTCCTAGTGGCGTAGTAACCGTTTCCACGACCAAACGCTGGTCGACGGTGGCGAACAGACGCTTCCATTCCTCCATGCTTCGCTCCATTCCATTCATTGCCTGTAGCATAAATACATCATGTGCGCGATCTATTGCCTCTTCTCTCGGCCCAACATCCAGGCGACTTGGATCGGAAGGCGGATTTAAAATTTTCGACATGATCAAAAGCCTTGTTGATTTGGGCTGCATCTCAAGCGAAGGCACCAGGCTTGCCAAAATCTGTCGTGCATGTTCGTCCGGCCAGTTTGCCAGGACCTGACGCATAAGAAATATCGTTGGTTGGGAGCTTCCTTTACGGGTTTGTGGCTGGAAGAAATTGTGCGCCTCAAATGTCACGCGAGAAGCGATTGCTGCAGGAAGGTTGGCAGCGGAGAGCTTGCCTTTTTCGACAGGCCCAGGTAGATCTTGAACGATAAAGGAAAGATCCGGATGTGCTTCAGCCAAAGCAATGCTAGCGTGACCCAGGGAGCCACCCATCTGTATCCCACAAGTCAGCAACACACAATCCACGACATTAAAAAGGGGATACTCAGTTGGAAAACGGGGACATACATCAACAACCACTGCTTTGCCAGACTTGGCCCAATCGTAGCCACTCACAAGATGTTTGATATGAAGCTCCTCGCTACCGCCAACGAAACGCATTGCTCCAGCCATCTTAGCCATGACTCCGGGCGTCTGGCTTAGATAGGAATAGAATGATAGGTCTGTGTTTCTGGCTAGGTTGTGTGCCGTATGGATAGTCGACCCTGAACCGTTCCACTTCTCCGTCATATCAGCAAATCGCGCCGCTACGGGTGCGTTTGAATCGCCCATCCACTTCATGGTGGCTGAAAAATCTGGGTTTGTGCAGAAACTCGCTGACATGTCGTTGTGAAAAACTTCAATGTTGTTTTTCTCACTAAAAACGCCGTTGGCAATGGCTAAGCGAACAGCCCGTTGGAGATGGATAACAGGAACCCGAGCCTTTTGTGCTAATTTATCATAGGTAATACTGCCAGTCAGAGGCACATGTTCGGGGATATCAAAACGAAGAAGCCAGCTCAAACAAGCCATCATTTGGTACTAGAAGGATCTCGTCAGCGGAGTGACAATTTCTGCTCTTGACGCACTAACATTGATAATCATTTCCTGATGGAATTCGACTGGACCGGATACAAGCTGACGAAGTTTCAATGCGCCATTGAGAATGGTGTTTTTGGCATCTTTGACCTCAGCGGGCAGAGCTGCAGATTGCCTTAACAATGCCATGGTGTCCGTAGTAGACGCAGATGCATCCCTTTCATGTTCAAGGAACCGGCTGATTGCTTGCGCTGCATCAGAAATGTTCTCACAAAGTTGAATAAGAGGATCGGACGACATCTTTTACTGATTCAAAGTGGTAATTTGTACCAATGCCTGATATTTTCAGGGAGGGTCAGCTATTTATGAACAATGAGCTTTGGGGCTGAAGCTGAAAATGGACTATTTCTAGTGAGACAAAAGTTCCAAGACATGTGATCCAACATTGGGCCAATATTACACAGCCTTCGCTAGTTGAGCAAACGAGGCGTAATCTAGACTTAGTTAGAAATTGCTTTTTTCCGTTCTCCTCGCAGTTAGGCTGTGGTTTGGCCGCAACATTTATTTTTCGACATGTCACTGATCCACGCCTTCAAATAGTATTGTGAGAGTATCATTCGGATAGTGATAATGGCCACGCGGCCGTGGAAAATAACTTGACAGCTCCACATGGCATAAGCAGACGTTGAAATGTAGACTACGTAGGAAATCGCCGACCTACATATTCTATGAGATTGTTCAATAAGAGCAGCTCCCTAAAAAGAATTATTATAGTTAATAGCGTTAATAATTAATCGCGGCAATCAAATACTTTTAAACTACTCAAGATAACTAAATATTTTTAAACTCCTTATTATGGATTTTCAAGATTTATACTAATTACGAACTTAGTTATACGCTAGTAGACTAAAGCTTTAATAGCTAGTATATATAATATTCTAGTAATACCAAGTAAAATAATGGGATACTTTATATAATAAAATAACTAGCTTTAGCCTAAGAGGTTTGATTTACTTATCCCTTACCATCTTTAAGTTATTTATGCGGATCGCACCACCCATCAGTGCCTAAAACCGTTTTACAATGAGATATAAACAATGGCTCGTTAAGATCAATGATGATGTTGCATGTTGTGGCTCCATTATAAGCCCTAGCTAATGCCGGCAAAACCCAAACAATCAGTCGTTTAAAAATTATATGGGAAGGTGGCTAAATAAGTACTTACCAACAGAACCATAGAACGCACAGGCAGCGCGGGTCTTGGTAGGATCGTTACCATTTAATTTATGAACACCGCAGTAGCAATCTTTGATGTCATCATATCCGGGATCGGCGGCGACGACGGCAATACTGGAGAGACCCCTATAGAGGTATATAGTTAGCCAAGTCGCTCCTCGAGATGGTATAGGCTTTTATATAAATAACAGACAAGAGGGTCATAACAGTAGTATAGCAGAGCATTGTAATTGGGTTGACCAGTGAGATGATGAAGGCAGAAGTGTTTAATAATTATTCTTGTGTCGTGGGAGCCGGAACCCCGCTATTTTATAACTCTGGCTTTCTTAGGACTGCTTTTAAAGGAAAGTTTATATAAAACCGCTGGTATTATCTGCGCTTGCATTCAATTAACATTCAAGACTCAAATTTCCGGACAAATCTCCGCCTACTTAATGATTAGGTCGTCACTACTAATCATGCTGGCTTTCCTAAAAAATTATAATTAAGTTTAAACGTATTGTTTCAGGCTAGTAGGGTAATAGAGCTTAAACTAAATATAATTTCGTACTAAAGGTACTAGTTATACTAGTATAAGGATCTTTTATGACTCGGGTTTTTAATACTCGATAGGGAGCAGTGGTTTCTCTTCCTATCAATTTGCTCTATTATCGCCGAAAACTTACCTAGAGGTTGATCAGCAACAATAATATAATTAGCTTTAACTTTATTTAATATTCCTCCCGTTGTGAAAGGTTTAATTATCTATCTACGGCATCTAAGCTTTCACTTAGTTCTACTATTCTAATCAGTTTATTTTTATATTTAAACCTTCCTACAGGCACAGTAACCTTCTCCATCTGTAGTAATAAGAAAAAAAAGGGGGTGTCAGCAGGCTACATTAGCTACGCTGCAACCATAGCGCCCGTCATTACGGGAGGCCGTCACGACGATCGCCTTATAATCTAGGATTTAATCTAAACTTTTGTTAGTATAAACCTTCTTTCGAAGGTTGGTGTTACGGCCAGCTATCTGACAGTAGGGTTCTGCTAACAGAAGGTGCAGTAAGAGACTAACACTGGTTCGTAGAGGTCGTTCTGGTAGATCGTAGGGTTAGGGTAAGGTGATCAGTCTTACACTATGGTAACGAGGTTCTTAGTATTCACAATACTGAGAGGTAAGCTGAAAGTCATTCGAGGATGAATCACAAGTTGATTGCTGAAGAACTATCTAGAAGGCTTAAGCAGATGCTCAAGTCCTGGTCTATATACAAGTCCCGTTTCCCAATGTCTTAGAGAGTCTATAGAGTCGCTCGTCGACTCTATCGACTCTCTTCTGATTGGTCCTTTACAGGAGTCTACAGAGTCGCTCGTCGACTCTGTCGACTCTGTCCTGATTGGTCGATTGTCACGTGACTTGTAACGTAGTTCTTCCTTGCCGAGAGGTTTACCCTTGTTCCCGTGATCCTACGTACATATGTCCTGTCGTAGCCGCCCGACCCAGTGGGTCTGTTAAGTGCATCTGACGGGTCGTAACATCAGGTCTCCCCTCGATGGTCTTGTCCTCAAGGCCAACATAAGTAGGTCGTGGCTTCCCAGGTTGGGGAGTCGTCAATCGTGCTTCCTTGTTTATTCATAATGCTGACATCATGTCAGGTCGCGTTCAAAAATCCAAATCAAAGAACCCTGTGGCTTATAAGGAACTTAGCCAGCTTGTCGATTTGTTCGGGTTCATCATGCCTGTCCCTTGTTCCGGTTGCGCGGCTGCCGGTGTCGACTGCGTCGTTTCCGAAGTTAATTCTTCTCGTTGTTCGCGTTGCGTTGCCGATAAGCATTCTTGCGACATTCACGGTCCTTCCGCGGCTTCCCTCATTCGGGTTCGGCAACAGAAAATAAAAATTGATGATGAGCTTGAGAAAGCTGAAGAAGAGCAGTTAGCTCTTATGGCGAAGATTCGTCGTTTACGAAGGCGTCGCAAGGACATCAATCGTGAGGCGACTGATCTCATTCGATCTGGTTTGCGGCGTGTGGAGGAGGTTGAGAATGAGTATCGTTCCGAGGTTCTTGGTTTGCAGAGTGCTAGCTCGGAAACTGTGGGTGCACTTCATTCCCTGGGTGCTATTGGCGTCGTGGATTGGTCTGGCGTCGGTTTGGACGACTGGGGTCCAGAGACGTCCTCTGGTGCCAGTATTGTTGGAGTTCTTCCTGAGCGTGTTCCAGGTTCTTAGCTGGTTCCCACGAATCGTCTTCGTGTCCATAGTTTTTCCACTTAATGAAGTATTCTGTTGTTTCGTCATTCCTCCGGTGGTCTAGAATGCGTTCTACTTCGTATTCGGTGTCATCTGTTTCCACAATGATGCAGTCTTCGGTGTGTATACCGTCCGGTGCTGGTTCTAATAATGAGACGTGAAAGACTGGGTGACATTTCATTGTTTCCGGTAGTTTCAACTCGTAGTTGACTTCGGAAATTTTCTTCGTGATTTCGAAAGGTCCTAGTTTTTTGAAGTCGAGTTTGTCGCTAGGTCGTTTCGTTTTGATGTTTCGCCGTATGAGGTAGGCGCTACCTCCCTCTTTTAGGGGTGGGCCTCTCACCCTATGTCGGTCGGCGTGTTTCTTCATTCTTTGCCGTACGAATTCGAGTTCTTGGGGTAGTTTTTGTTGGATTTCCTTAAGTTTCTTGATGTCTGCTACTGCTTTTATCGCGGCAGAGCCGGTTCGGGGTTCTCCATAAGCGGTAGGGTTGAATCCATAGTTGAGGAAGAAAGGTGATTCTCGCGTGCTTTCTCCTATTGAACTGTTGTATGCGAACTGTGCGGTTGGTAACAACTTGACCCAGTTGTCCTGGTCGTAGTTTACATAACTCCTTAGGTACGTTTCCAGGATCTGGTTGATTCTTTCCGTTTGTCCGTCGGACTGCGGGTGGAAGGCAGTGCTGAGGCTGTGCTTTGCTCCGAGCTGCGAGATCAGGGATCTCCAGAACTTGGACGTAAAGACTGATCCTCTGTCTGATACTATTTCCTGGGGCAGGCCGTGTTGGCTGACAATGATCCTGAGAAAGGTGTATGCTAAGTCTTCTGCCGTGCTTGATTCCAAGTATGGTATGAAATACGCGTACTTCGTGAATCTATCCACAACCACTAGTATACTGTCGTACTGTACTTTAGTGAGTGGTTCTCTCGATTTTGGTAGTTTGACGATAAAGTCTAGAGAGATTGAGTGCCAGGGTGCTGGTGGTGCTGGCAATGGTTGTAATTCTCCATATGGTTTGTGTCTGCTGGGCTTACTTTTTGCGCAGACTTCGCAATCCTTGATTGCGTCAGCGACGTCTTTTCTTGTTACTCGCTTGTCGTGGTGTTGTCTAATTCGTTTCCAGGTTTTCGTAACTCCTTGGTGACCGTGAGCGGGTGCGCTGTGTATCTCCCTGATCTGGTCGTGTGTCATTCTTCCAGTCGTGCTGGTCTTGACACGGTCGCCGATCATTAAGAGTTTCGCGGCGGGTACGAGGTCGCCATTGTCTTTTTTGAGGATAACCTGAGTTTCTTCTGGGACTTCGTCCTTGTAATCGGGTCTTCGGCTGAGCGCGTCTGCTCTGCCGTTTTCTGATCCTTTCCTGTAGATGATTCTGAAGTTGAATTCTGAGAGGAATTCTGACCATCTGATTTGTCGTTTGTTGAGCTCTTTCGAAGTGGTGAAGTGTGCCAGATTCTTGTGATCCGTGTACACTTTTACTTCGTACTTTGTTCCTGATAGTTGGGGTCTCCATTCTTTGAATGCGTCGATAATTGCCATAAGTTCCTTATCATGGATCTGGTAATTCAGTTCAGGTCCTTGGAACTTCCTTGAAAAGAATCCACAGGGGTGTAGGACTCCGTTCTCGTCCCTTTGGCCTAGCTGCGCTCCTTCAGCTTCGTTCGAAGCATCCGTTTCGAGCTCGAAGGGCTTCTCAGGGTTCGGAATCTGGATGACGGGTTCCGATGTGACCTTGTCCTTGACTTCTTGGAACGCTTTCTGTTGTTTGTCTGTCCATTCCCAAGGTGCATTTTTCTTAGTGAGTTCGGTAAGAGGCAATATCGTTTTGGAGTAGTCTTTGAGGAATTTTCGGTAGAAGTTGACAAATCCTAAGAAGGATAGTATGTCCTTCGGGTTTTCTGGTGTAGGCCATTCTTGCACAGCCTTGATTTTGTTAGGGGACATCTTGATTACGCCTGGCGTGATTGTGAACCCTAAAAATTCTACTTCCTGTTTGTGAAACAGACTCTTCTCTGGTTCCACAAGTAGCTTCGCTTGTTCGAGTGCTTTGAGAATCTCGTGGACATGCTTCTTGTGTTCTTCCAACGTTTTGGAGAATATAAGGATGTCGTCGAGGTACACAACAACAGACTTGTCCAGATATTCCCGTAGTACTTGGTTAATCATAGTTTGGAATGTAGCCGGTGCGTTGGTGAGTCCAAATGGCATGACTAACGTTTCAAACTGTCCTCTTCTCGTTCGGAAGGCTGTTTTCCACTCATCTCCTTCTGCAATTCGGATAAGGTTGTAGGCTCCTTTAAGGTCCAAGGCTGTGAACCATTGGGCCTCGTAGAGTAGGTCTCTTAGTTCCGATATGAGGGGCAGTGGGTAACAGTCTTTGATCGTAATATCGTTGAGTCGTCGATAATCGACACAAAGTCGTTTCTTCCCGTTCTTCTTTGGTACGAATAGTACGGGGTATCCTGCGGGTGATTTCGAAGGTCTGATGAATCCTTTCGCAAGATTTTCGTCAAGCCATTCGTCTAAGGCTTTCATTTCTTCTTGGTTGAGTGGGTATATTTTGTTAAAGGTGGGTTCGTGTCCTTCCTTAATTTCGATCTTGTGATCCCACTTGCTGTGTTCCGGTAATCCGGTCTCGAGTTCTGGTGCAAAGAGTTTGCTGTAGACCCTGTATTCAACAGGTATCTTTGACATTGGATCTTCCGTGACTTTGTCAATCGTCGTGGCTGCTAGCGTCCTAGTGCCAATGTCTTTTATCCTTAGCATCAGGCGTGGTCTTGCTCTGGTTGCTGCTAGTAATCCGCATGAGGCCTTCGTCGAGTGCTTCTCAGAGGCTGGATTGAATTTTATTCGGCCGGTAACCCAATCGATTTGTGGGTTATGTCTTCGTAGCCATGGAATTCCGAGGATAACGTCGTGGTTTCCTATCTCCGTGATGTCGAGGCTGATAAGCTCCTGATGGCCATGGTAGAGCAAAGGGAGTTGCGCTGTCTCCTGATCAATGCTGCCTCCGCCATACTCGACTTCTTTCCCTTCCACATTCCTTAGTCGGTAAGGGTTTTGCTTCTGATTCCATGGTATTTCTCGCTGTTGCACTATTCGGGGTGCGATAAAGTTTCCTTGGGCTCCTGAGTCTATCAGGACCTGTGTGGTGTATCCGCCCAGGTTTACTGTGATCTTCATTTGTGCGTCGTCGTCGAATGTAGCACATAGGGACTTGCTGGGGGAGCTCGCCATGTGTCCCGGACAAGGCGGCTCTCCTAGTTTTTTGAGTAGAGGGCCTTCTCGCCCTTCTTTCGGTCTCTGCCGAGGTTACTTTCTCTGATTCCTAGACGAGGTGGGCTGGGCGTCTCGCCGTCCTGTCCTTGCTTGTCTAGTTCTTGTTGTCGGAATCTCCAACTTTCGCTTTTTGGAATGTAGTGGAGTTTGCATAGGTCTTCCCTGCAATTCCACCAGACTCCCGTGAAGTGGTTCACACACTTCTGAGGGTATTCGACGCTGGGTCGTAGGAATGCTATTCCATTGTTGTTGGTTTTCCATTCTCCGGGTTCTCCCCGTACTTCCCAATATGAGAGTTCTTGTTCCTCATGGGCTCTGCGGATTCGCAGTTCTTCTTTTCTTTTGGGGTATAGTTCGTTTTCTGCTTTCTTTAAGAGATGGTAGGCGCAGTGATCGAAGATGCAGTAGATCCATGCTATCTCCTTGTGTTCTCTGTGCTGTGTCGTAATCCTGGGATCGTCTTCCAAGAATATTTCTTCATCCCGGGTTTGTGTGATTGTTGTAGGGATTTTGTTATGATATTCTTCTGCATGGAAGGCGATCTGTTGGCAGTCGTCTTGGGGGTCGATGTATTTGTATTCTAGTACTTCCTTAATTTTTTCCATTCTGTCGAGATGGTGTTCTTCTTCTGCGTCTTCCGGGTCGGTATCGTCTATCGACGTTCCTTGTGGACGTACTTCCGCCGAGGGTGGTCCGTCTGCGACGTCTTCAGCCCATTCCGAGATGGGTTGAGGAGTAGCGCGGGTTCTTTGTGGCAATTCAAAGGTCGAGTCGCTGGCTACCGTGGTATATGGTGAGCTCCATCGTTGGCTTAGGTTGTCCTTTGCTTGGTATACTCGGGTCTGGGTGCTGGCGTCCCTGAATTGTTGTTGTCTCAGCATTTCATCCAATTGCTCGGTGGCTTTGCGGGCGTATTTGCTGGCTACCGCGAGGGTTCGTTCCGTCTTTCCATCGTTTTGGGGTCGGTAGACAAATTGGGTTGCTTTGTACTTGAGTTGATACTGTCCTCGGGTGTTTCCGCGTAGTGCGATGCGGCGGTCTCGGGTTTTCCGCATGTGTTGGAGGGTGTCTCCAACTTCGCTGTTGTTTCGAATTTGCATCGTGTAGTTGATGGCGTCTTGTATCCGTTTGATGGCTGTCTCGTTTTCTTCTTCGAGTTTCCTGGCTTCTTCTTCTGAGAGACTTTCCGGGGTGTTTACTTTATTCGTCTGTCGATAGTTGGCGAGGCGTGGGATGTCCCATAAGAGTCCCGGTTGGTACACAATGCTACCATCTTGGAAGGCGTTGTTGAGTTCCGCGGCCTTCTTCGCTTGTTCCCAGTCGTCGAGTGGCTCTTGTCGCTGCTTAGTGTAATCCGGTCCACCGGTGTATCGGTCTATCACAGCAATGGCCTTGGGTATGTTGGTGGTGTCGTATCCCGATCGTCCTGCTGGGTTTTGAGGGTACCATCCACTATTCTCTTTTGCATGCCTGTGCGTAGTGCAATCATTGTCATAGCAGGCTGTCCATCCCTTTTCTTCGTGGCTAGGGATTTTGGTTGCAGCGTTGGCTTGCTTAGGGGTTGCCGTAAGTTTCTTAGGCTGTATGCAGTGTCTGGCCATGTGTCCTGGCTTGTCGCAGTTGTAGCATTTGAATTCTCTGCGTCTGGGTTTGTCTTTTTGCGCGACGCTCAGGTCCATGGGTCCACTGTGTTGTCCATGTGCGGTGCTCTGCTGATTGTTGTTCCTGTTGTTCTGGTTTTTGTTGTTGAACTTGTGTTGAGGTTGCCATTGGTATTTCTTTCCTGAGTTGGCTGTTTGACGTTTTTCTCCTTTTTCCTTGCGTCGTTCAAACAGTCGGTTGTCAATCTTAATGGCGTATTCGACATAATCAAGGAAGCTAGGTGGCGTGTCCACTTTGGCCATTTCGTCCTTGACGTCGTCCTTGAGACCCTGGTAGAAAGCGAAGACTTTGCTTTCGTCGGTCATGTCGAGTCTGGCTGCGAGTCGTCGAAATTCTGCGGCGTACATTGTAGCTGATTTGTTTTGTCGTAGGCTCGCCAGTTCTCTTTCTGCTTGTCTTTTCTCATCGGGGTCTAAGAAGAGAGATTGAAGGGCTTTAACATATCCACTGAAGCTGAAAAAGATGTCCTTCACTTCTTGACTGTATCTCTCGATAGGGGTGTCCAGCCATTCTTGTTGGAGGGGTTCGAACCAAGCGAGGGCCTTCCCTCTCAAGAAGGTGGCGGCGTGGACGACACGTTCGGTATCGTTCTGGAACGTGTTGATGTGGAAGGCTTGGTAGGTCCGTATCTGTACCAAGTATCCTTTGAGCTGTCCAGGGGTTCCGTCGAAGGTGGTAGGGGTGTTGAGCTTAAGGCGTTCTCTTCCTTCGACAGGAGCTGATATGACGTTCGCGGCAGCTCGAAGGGTTGTGACTTCCTTCTCTAGTTCTTTGGTGCGGCGGGCTTGTTCCTGTAGCTCCTTGAGGGCTTTGACGTTCTGGTTGAACAGGTTTTTCATTTCCCTGAGCTCGTTGTTGTTCCGCTCAAGTTGCCGCTTAAGTTCTTCATTGTCGTCATCGCTATCGGATTCCTCCTTCATTTCCTGGTCTTGAATCTCTTGGGCCAGATTCTGGGGAATACGTCTCTCGGACGTGGACGAGGTTCCAGGAGTAGGGTTTTCGGTAGTTCCGTGCGAAGACATCTTGTCTTATACTGTTCGTTAGTCTCAAAGGGCAACTTACTGAACAGGAGCAATCAAAGTGTTACGGCCAGCTATCTGACAGTAGGGTTCTGCTAACAGAAGGTGCAGTAAGAGACTAACACTGGTTCGTAGAGGTCGTTCTGGTAGATCGTAGGGTTAGGGTAAGGTGATCAGTCTTACACTATGGTAACGAGGTTCTTAGTATTCACAATACTGAGAGGTAAGCTGAAAGTCATTCGAGGATGAATCACAAGTTGATTGCTGAAGAACTATCTAGAAGGCTTAAGCAGATGCTCAAGTCCTGGTCTATATACAAGTCCCGTTTCCCAATGTCTTAGAGAGTCTATAGAGTCGCTCGTCGACTCTATCGACTCTCTTCTGATTGGTCCTTTACAGGAGTCTACAGAGTCGCTCGTCGACTCTGTCGACTCTGTCCTGATTGGTCGATTGTCACGTGACTTGTAACGTAGTTCTTCCTTGCCGAGAGGTTTACCCTTGTTCCCGTGATCCTACGTACATATGTCCTGTCGTAGCCGCCCGACCCAGTGGGTCTGTTAAGTGCATCTGACGGGTCGTAACAGTTGGTCGCAACATCTTCTTTACGTTGAGATCTATATCACGTGAGCGTATAGTCTCTTCCTATTCTATAGAGTTATTTTTGCTTTTGTGAAACTTACTTCTGATCCTTTCGCAGTGGGCACATATTGCTGTTATGATTCTGGTTTATGTAATTAACCCAGAATCAGCAGCCCGGTATATTTCGCGTGGACATATCGGAAGGGCAAAAGCCGCCTTACGAAAGCTTAACGGTAGTGTGCCTCGTTATGACGTCGATTGTTATTATCGCCCACTCAACCTTGCAATTGAGCATGAGAACACCATTGCTGCTGAACAACGTAAAGAGAACTGATATGCAATTTGTTACTGACGGCCGACGGACCTTGAGAGCCCTCTGGAACAACCTCTCTCATCAGTTTATTAGCTTGAAGCTTTTTGGAACGTCTAGTACCCATTTCTTTCAACAAGCAGGCCTTCAGAATCCGTTCACTATCAAATGCATCACGTCGTCAATTAACATTGTCACAATTATTGTGACTGTATTTGTTGCTGACATAGTTGGCCGGCGTTTAATGCCTTGCTTTGTCACGACTTTGTCCTGGTTCTATTGCATTATTGTTAGTATCTTAGGTGTAGTCCCCCAGATTTAGGAAGCAAAATATCTTTGTGCTTTTTGCCTCTTTGTGGAGTCATCATGGACGTGCTGGTCCCTTAACTATATGATCAATGCCAATAAAATAGGGTGGGGCTTCAAGATCGGGTGGTTTTATGCTGGCATTGGTCTTCTTGCCGTTGCTGGCATGTGGTTGCTTATCCCAGAGACGGCTGGGTAAGTTTCTTTCCAAGTTACTAAATCCAGTTCTCGAAATACAGCTCTACACTGACTTTCGATAGTGCTAGTGTAGCCGCAGACTAATGTGTTGTGTTCAAAAACGGCGCACATGATAGAGTTGATCAACTTACATCCGCCAAGTCTAGATTCACTAATGCTTGCGACGTGTTTAATTGAGGCATGAAAGACTTCCCTATTTTCGAACATTGAAAAGTTTGCTTTGCAGTTTAGTTCATTTAATCCAATTCATTTACAACGTTCTCGACTACTACGTCGCCCTAACTTTGGCTACGCGCTCTCCAATTGCTCGGTAGTCCTCGCCAATCTTTTTCATACCCGCCTGCAGCACGCCCATGTCTTGACCACTAAGCGACCAGCTCGCGCCCATAGCAAACCATTTCTCCAGTAGGTCCTTTCTTGGGCCGATACCACCAATGCCGATAGGCTTGCCGGCCTTCTTACCGGCCAGCACAATCTTAGTCACGGCGTCCTGATACGTTGGGTTGTCGTATTGTCCCGGGATGCCCATATCCGTGGTAAGGTCGTTGGAACCGATAAGGATACCATCGACGCCCTCAATGGCTAGGAACTCTTCAACTAGCTCTACGGCGTCCGGAGTTTCGATCATAGGTATCAGCATCGTTTCCCTATTGAGCAACTCGTTCTGTGCCAGTGTCGGTACGTTCTGGAAATTGAGAATAGGCTGCGCATTGGAGCACCCGCGGGCGCCAATGGGGGCGAATTTGGCATACTTGACGAGATCGCGCACCTCCGCAACAGTCTCGACGTGAGGGACGACAACCGCCGCCGCTCCGCAATCAAATGCCCTGCTGATGTGCCAGTGGGATTTGGAGGGAACTCGCACAATAGGGGAGACGCCAACGTAGTTGCAAGCGAGGACTAATTGGCCCACATCTCGGGCGTCGAGCGTGGAGTGCTCCATTTCGATAAACATGCCATAGATCCCAGCCATTTTGCACATCATTGCTATCTCGTTGGAAATTGCCATTTTAACCGTCATGACTGGGCAGATTTCGCCCGCTAGGATGCGGGTTCTAAACGGGTTAGACAGCATGTAGTTTGTCGCGTTGTGACTGCCGAGTGAGCCCATGGTGAAAGTATGCAGGTGTGAGAGGTGATATACTGAGATGATAAGATGCAAGAAAAGACAAGATGGAGAGGCAGGCAAGTGGATTGATATATAAGGGGTTGATATCTGAGTTGGTATAGAAGAGGATTTTCTGATCTTTCGCAACTCTTTTGAGATAATAAGCCTCTTACCAGACAAGGGCTGGCCTGCAATCAAATAACAATAACCGAGGATACTGGCGATCTGAGGCGCAATTGTAATGTTCACTGGGCTTCGGCCGACTCCCGTCAATTAAGTGAGAGCGTCGGACGACGTCCGCGTCAATCGGACGGCATCCGGTTCAATCGGACCAGGTCCGGGTCTCTCGGACGTGCTCCGGATCTGTCGGCATATCCGACGCCGCCCAACAACGGCACGCTTACACTGAGGTCGACGGATAGCGAAAAATGCCTTAAACTTGAAGAGCCTATAAAACAATGTGCTCAAATAACACAAACCAGAAGTATTTGTTACCTGGGGCAGGAGGTTTACCGTTTCCGCACGGTGAACCTGCCTACAATGGGACGCCCTAGATCACACGGCTCGAGGCCAGTCGTATTGTACACTAAAGCTGTTCCTTGTTGAGCGACAATCCGGACAGAAATAACAGTTACATAAACACCTCACCAGTCTGTTCAAATCTGAAGATAATGTGATGGATTTTCCTGCGGCATGCCGCATTCTCCGCGGATCCTCTGGTATCTTAATGCTTCGCTATAAAATCAAATCTCTCCATCTATTTCAATCCCCCTCCAAAAAGCCTGTACTGTCACATCGATATTCTCATCATCTATTTCTCTTGCGAGCTGTCTTCGCTTGAGCTGTAGAACCCATCAAACGTCCTCTTCTCCAAGTCCTCCTCGGTCAATCCTGCGCTCTTCCTGTGCATCATGCCGTGCCTCCTCAAGTACACTCTCTTTGCCCACTTCCACGCTTCGGCGCCTGCGAAGAATAAGATGCACATGCCAAAGACGATACCCCATTCCTTGTCGATGCCCGTGTGCATGAATACGACGTGGTCAATGACAGGAATGTACAACGTGGGAAAGACGATGACGAATCCAACAATGACGGACCAAAAGAGGAATGGGTTGCGCCACAGCCGCGTAGCCCAAGCTTTTGTGTCATGAACAGCGCCGAAAAAGAACGAGCGACGACTGTCGACAAGTTCCCAGGCGAGGAAAAGAAAGACCCACATCATTGTGGTGTAGCAGGTCGACCGCGCGCGGAAAACGGACTCGCAGGAGCTGGAATACCTGATGTTACAATCTGTGCCAAAGCGACCATCGTTAATGCCAAAAAAGGCGATTGCGAAAGATCCGAGCAGACATGCAGCCATAATCAGACCATAGGCGAGAATGTCGGCAAGGAATTCGGGGGTGAAGACACCATATTTGAGCTGCAAATTGTCAGTCAGTTCCTTATCTCCCTTCTCCTTACATTCATGTTTTTGATAGTGGTAGAATCACAGGAATGACTTACACTCTGAGGTGGCCTGTTAAGAATATCAGGCGAGGCAGACTCGAAGCCAAGACCAGTTTCGGTGAAAGCGCCGGCGACGAGTAGCATGAACAAAATTTCGACAGGTGTAATTTGAAAAATTGACGTCTCACCCGAGTCCTTGTAGATGAGTCCAATCATGAGAGTAAGAACGAAACCAACATTGGCAGCGAGGACGTGCAGCATGAACTTTTGGATATTGTCGAAGATGCGCCGCCCCTCCTCAACAGCGTTGAGGATACTGGCAAAGTTGTCGTCACTAAGCACGATATCCGAAGCTGACTTGGCGACGTCGCTACCATTGAGACCCATGGCAATGCCAACATCGGCGCGCTTCAGACTGGGACTATCATTGACTCCGTCACCTGTCATGGCCACATACTTCTTCCGACGGTGCAGGGCGTCAATCATGCGGACCTTAGTCGACGGAGCACAGCGAGCCACGACCAAGGGCAGCTCTGGGAGAGCATCGATTTCTTGGTCTGTCAGCTTGTCAAAGTCGTGTGCGGTCATGACAAGACGTTCAGTAATATCGGCGCGCAAGAGGTGCATCTTTGATGGCAGGATTCCTACTTCCAAGGCAATGGCGCGTGCAGTTTCAGGGTGGTCACCCGTCAGCATGTGGACGCCGATACCTGCTTGATGGCACTTGAAGACACTGGGGCGAGATTCGGCACGGGGTGGGTCGTAAATTCCAACCAGTCCACGGAAGACGAGGTTCTGCTCGAACTCATCCCGCTTGAGCTGACCGTGGCGGGCCTCTTCGTCCGAAACCGCTCTCACACCGGTCGCGTTGGCCAGAGCTAGCACACGAAGTCCACGCCGGGCAAGTGCCTCCATGTTCTCAAGAATGGTCGCCTTGATGTCCTCGGTCATCTCGGCCACACCAACAGAGACAGTGATGCTCGTGCAGCTTCCGATGACCCTCTCCACGGCTCCCTTTGTAAAAACACTGACTTCTTGAGTTTCCTCGTTCTGGCAAACCACGGACATCTTCTTGACGGACGAATCGAATGGGAACTCGGCTAGCTGCTTCCAAGGGGCAGACAAGCCGGATCGTCCAAAGCGGGTAGCAAATACTTGCAAGGCAATTTCAGTAGGATCGCCGTGTGCTTGCCATTTGGCTTCTGATGAGTTTTCAGCCACCGTTTTCTTAACTGTCGCTAGGTTGGCGAAAGCTGCGACGTCAAGATAATGCTTAAGCGCGGCATGAGCCTCTGCCTCCTGGGCTGGGACTACAGAACCACCATTCGAGCCGCGCATGTCTTTTGGTTGATTCGGCGTAAAGGTGATTTCGCCGACTTCGGGGTCGTAGGGGTCATTGCTGGTGTCAATGGAATAGGTACCATGCTCGGGCATCCAGGCCATCCTGGTGACCATCTTTCCCTGAGTCAGAGTACCAGTCTTGTCGGAACAAATGTCTGGAACTCTGTTAGTATTGCAAAACAGCAAACAACTTTCGGTATACTTACTGGTAACACCGCCAAGAGCCTCCAGAGATCGCATGTTCCTCACAACAACATGCCTCGCGACCATAACCTTAGTTCCGGCAGCCATGGTAATGGTGAGCACAAGAATGAGGGTGACAGGAAGTGTGCCAAGAGCAGTGGCGACAGCATAGATGATGACATCGCTACGGCTTCGGAACTGCATGCGTTCAGTTAACCCTGGGTTCAAGAGAAGGGGAGAAAAAGGGAGGCGGGAAGTTTCCAGGTGCTTACCTTGTTGGCTCCCAACACAATGATGGCACAGACAATGGCAAAACAAAATACATAGAGAAAGAGTCGGGAAAGTTTGCGTTGCAATGGTGTGCCGACGGTCAGTCCGAAGAACTCTCCCAACCAGTCCCAGAGCTTCCCAATTGCAAAAGCGAAGTAAGCCCCGACGGAGGCCTTGCCGTCCGCATCGCGCTTAACCACCCGCTTGTCGCCGCCCTGGTCTTTCAAGGCGGTAGCAATGGCGCCGATTTCAGTGAACATGCCAGTTGCGAAAACAATGGCACGGCCGCGACCCTTGGTAATGATACTGGAGGTGAAAACAATGTTGAGGCGGTCACCAGGCCCAACGTCCTCGTCGCAGACCTCTTGCGGGTCTTTGCGAGCGGGGACGCTCTCACCAGTGAGCAGAGCCTCATCAGCTTCAAGGTTGACACTTTGAACAAGACGCGCATCAGCTGGGACGCTGTCGCCTGTTTTGAGCTCAATAATGTCGCCGGGCACGAGACTGGTAGCCTCAACAGTTACTGTTTCGCCGTTTCTAACCACGCGAGCGGTCGGACAGTTGAGTGATTTCAGCGAGGCGATAGTCTTAGCTGCCTGGAGGTCTTGCAGGAAGCCGATGACGATGTTGATGAGGATAATTGCGGCCAGCACGCCACCTTCGATCCAGGCTTGGATAGCGAAACTTGCGGCAAGGGCAAGGATGAGAATCTAAGCGTCGACATGAGTTAGACTGAAGTTGAAGAAACTAGTCGCTTGGTGATACTGGAAGCACTTACCAGGGTCATGCAATTGGCGACCTGAGCTATAAGGATCTGGATAGGCTGAACGCCCTTATCCTCCTCAAGGGCGTTGGGCCCATATCTTGTAGTTCGACTCGTGGCTTCTTCTGTTGACAAACCTCGAGTTGCGTCTGTTTCCAACTCTTGCGCGACTTCCTCGAAAGTCAAGGCATGCGCCGGCCTTGTAAGAGGCTCATTGGCCTGGCCTGAGACGGGCGCCTTATTGCCCTGTTGAACGTTTGATTCAGACATGGTTCATGTGGCGGTTCTCAAAACCAGCAGGGCGCCAGTGACAATAATTCAGACCAGGCCTCTTGAGTGTTCTTTGCAATGATCAAAAGACAGTATAGTGAGAAAAAAATACCCATCATCGGCCATCGACCCTTTTATGTACTGGAAGAGAAAGAAGAAAGACAAGCTTCATCCCCACACTTAATTGAAAGCATGCAACAACAAGAGAGCCGATCCGCCATGGAATTCCCCCCAAGTCGATGTGTTCCCACAAGGCTGTTTGGAGACTGTCCAATCATGAGCGTAAAAAGTTGCCGTCGAACTCTGTCGAAAATCCATGGAGTGTCCCAAAAAGGCAGCCAAGGCTCATTCAGCACGGATCACTCTGACTAAAGTTGGCCATTACGTACGTGCACTGTCAAATCGAAGGTAGGCCAAGAGTCAGTTTGACTAACAGATACTTCATAACTTGTCGCCGCCACCATTACCATTGTACGCACTTCTGCGTCAATCAATCAAAGCAAGGCCAGGAGGCATATATGAAATTTGGGACATTCAACGGGCCGATGATCAAGTTCTGAGCTTGGACTGTTCGCCGCATTCGAATAACTAGTCCAGCAAGATTTTGCGCTTCAAGTTGTGTTTTCTCAAAAAAGGAAATACACACATACGTTAAGAAAAATCAAAGACTAGGAAAGTGTAGCTCAAGCTCATCAACACATCAATACCGACGGATTCAATGCCCTGGTTTTTCAATGTGCATCACTTCTCACGTGGGTTTGATGTGCAGCAGCGACTCCTATTCGCCGAAGGGCTTAGGAAGAGCCTCCGGATGTGTTTCGGACAAGTGGGCGAAAAAAAGAGTGCAGGTGAATCACTCTCCCGCACCTAGCGTAGGCTCGGGTTCGGCGGCACTCTTTTCTTTCACCCATTTAGGAACTTGCCCACAGATAAAAAAATCGGGGTAATTAAATTCCAGCAGGATGAGTCTTTGTGTTACTCCACAGGCTTCGGGGCTGGTCTAGAATCGAGGTTGATCGGTGGAGTGGGCTAACCAGAAATGGGCATTAACGATCGAATCGTGCATATTCCGCCCCATTGCATCGGGATTACGGATATTGTAGCACTTTTTACCTTTGTGTCTTGAACATCCGACCCCAGGATCCCGAAATACGATTACCAATTTGTTCTTCTAAGTTAACGGTTTTAGTTTTCTAGCAATGGTAACATCGGAAGCTCCCAGAACCAGGATCGGGTAGCATTTGATCTTGCATTATGCCTGAAAAGACCAGTTCTCAGCTTTGACCATAATCGTGATGACAATGATGAGAACAACGTTGAGGCTGCTAACGTGCCCATTCTACTCTGCTCATTAGGAGAACTATTACTATGGAGTTTAGCCAGTCATGCTCCCACTAGAGTTTTCTACTCAAGGTTCACCACATGCTGGGTTGCACAGCCGGCATCCTCGTAAGCTTCCGCCAAAACCTACCTACAGTTTCCGAGTGCATAATTATTACGCCCCAACCAGAGTCTGCTATCGCATGCTGGTAATGTGGTAGGAGGCGTGATACTTGGCCGACTCGTATTGAACTTCAAAACAAACAATCATAATTTCCTATCAAAACTCGTTAGCGGCGTAGCAATACTCGTGCCTCGGGTTTTACTCTTCTACGTTTACATGTTGAATAATTTGCAATCATCCGAGAATCGACTGGTTACCACCTTGCACCGAAGCTCGCACACCACTATCTAGATTTGGGGACAAAACTTGTACGTTGAGAATCGCGACACCATGCCGAAGATTCAATATAGATCGCGTAGCCATTATTATTGCCAGTACCCCAAGTCTACCAGCAGAAGGTGGCGCAGCTAAAATTTCTCATCAATCGCTCACTCAAACTCTGGGATACATGCGTTTAAAAACGATACTAGCGGAACCCGATTGTTCTACAGTCCAGACGCTTTAGTAACTCCTGGACCCGCTACAGGGGATACGCAGACTTTCTTACGACTAAATGTGGATGACAGCAAACTTACCAGCCTGGACCCGTTTCCCCCGCACCAGCGAGGTTCTGCCTGAGAAACCGCCATGGACTGACCTTAGTTTTGTTCCTACGCCTGCGGCCTTCTGGAAGCGACCATCCCTTGTGGTGCAACGATCTCAACACTGCGTACCTTGCTTTACTGGGATCACACTGTTAGGCCGTGTACTGATGATTGTGAAACCTACGCGTGTGTGTCTCAACGCAGGTTGCAGCCATACGAAGGGTCAATGACCGCGCTCATTTGACATCTTTACCAATTGCACCACGAAGTTTTATGAGCAACGACAATGGTCGGCCGCAATTAAACATAGGGCTGCAGACACAGGTAGCGGCTTGTGGCAACTGACCCAGCAACACACCGAAGCCTGAGCCAGACAAAAGAACATGAACTTCCATGAATCTGGAATTCATTTCCGCCTTTGCGGAGCACCTCCTGTTGGAAAGATCATGCGAAGCTTAGCGGCTGGAAGGATCAAAGATGATGGTATCCTGAGGTATGAAAGCCGTAGGAATGGTAAGTTTTACGGGAGAAGTAACACATAGGGGATCATTTCGCGCGTGGAGAGAGGGGACTTGTAGGAACTCTGCCTCGATCCCTAATCTCACATATGAAGCTCAATTCGCACCTAAATGCAACACGGGTTTGTTCTGAACCGACATCTTATCCAAACTGGAGTTGCAGTGGCAGCCGCACAACACCAGTTTTCAGCATCTGTCAAATACAGAAGTGCCATAGCATTTAGTTGAACACGCCAAATAATTTGTAACAGCAGAGTAGTTCTGGACCTATCTTAGCTAGAAATGACTGGGAGGCCCCAAAAGGCAGGGTGACACTACCTGTTTAGAATAAGATCAAGCTAATGTATTGACGTACAAGAGGCTTCTTCATCATGTTAGAGAGGCAATCGGAGACTCGAGTACGATTTAGTTGGGTGGACCATTGTTATGGTCTTAAACTGGCCATAGCGCAAGTAATAACATAAAAAGTTCAATAATACTGGACTTATCAAAGCCTCGGCGATTTAATTAAATTGATAATTTTTTTTTTTTAAATCTTTTTAATTAAGTAGAATTGAGGAAACCAAGTGCCCTAGACCTCATTTCACACCCACTTCCATGTCACTCTAATGCGAGCGCGAACATGTGTCCTTCTGTGGGCATTTCTCAAGGTACACCTCTTTTCGCCTTTTTCATGGATTTCTGAGTTCATAATCTCTTCTGAAGCGATCAATCGTTAAGACTTACACTACAAGCACCATAACAAGAAGAATTGTAAACCTCTTGGAATTTAAGCCAACCTTGCAATTTCTCACTACCTGTCGGGATCACATAGTACTCACTCAGGCTTAGGTAGAGTAACTTCTCACAGTCGTAGTTACTTTTATTGTGTTTGCAATAGAAGCTATCCTATCCTATCGTGTGCCGAAAGGCAAAAGGTACATCATATCCATCTTCACCCACTTCTTACTCCTTACAGGAGATAGGTAACGGTATATTTTCGACCCGCCTGTTCTACTAGCTGCGTTTACAACCACATTTGTAGTTCAGAGGATTTTTAGTGCCTGCTCCATATTTGGAATTTCTAGAAAATAAAGTTACTACAATCCAAACTCTTTGTTTCGCTAGAAATTTCTTTACTACAGCTTGAGTGGCTAGTTTACATCACGAGCATAAACCTTTTGCCGTTCAATCCTCTATAGGAATGGTAAATTTGAATTATATGGGAAATATATCGAATCCATTTACCTGTCAGGTGGGGAGATGGTGTCTTCGACCTCGTTGATGTACGGTGGTTGACAGCCACTTAACCGGACGGCCAGTAAGTCACCTCGATGTATATCTATGAACAATGTAGCACTACGTCGTGTTCTCATCTTTCCAAGATAAGGATAACAGACAGCCAGAATGGACCTATGGCAGGTAACATGACTAATATCGCTACTTAGCCCTGCGGCTGGTAATACCCACATACCCAGGTAATTAAAGAAGCTTAGTCGACTAAGCTTAAGGCTATGGCTGACGTGTTCGCTGGTCCAACGTGTCTTGCTAGCTCTCAGCGTTTGTAATGAGTGGTAGTTCTAAATTGATTTGTAAAAACCTGTCTTATACGTCCTAAGCCCGGTCGTCTATTCAGGTTCCATACAAATGATGGAAGACCCTCTAAGAAAGGTTTCCCTCTTGGATACCTAGTAAAAGCAAATGTCGCACAAACAGGTTACATTTCAGTGGCCCCTAACTACTCCCCTCGAATAGGCGATCTCTATGCTACCTGGAAATACCGTCGAAAAAGTCGGTGAATGAGAAATCGTAGCATTTGATCAACCTCAAATAAAGCAATGTGTTATCGCGCGACTCATCCTGCGAAACATATTACTCAAAAGACAGAAACAGAGCCCATAGGAAAGAGCCGGTTATTTGAATTCTCCACTGAGTTGTTTTGCTTCCAAATAAGATCCTTTTTGCCCTAGTCTTTTTCCATTGTGGACATTGATACCTTATCACACTAAACTCAGTGTAGGTAGAGGAGAATCCTATACTGCAACTCAGTACTTAACCTTTATAAACTTCTCCTTTTTATTGTGGGGTTTCTATGGGTATGTCTAGGATTTGTAATTGGTTTACTCGGACTCTGATATGCTGCTGCCTATCGATTTAGTCGCTAAAGGGCAGTTGTGGCTATTCAGTCGGCTCGAACCGCCACGGCTAAATGCATTCAACGGAAGACGCTAGCTTGGACTCTTTTGACAATCCATCGCCCTGTCTAGCCCCTCCAGTTTCCTATGGCACATGCTTGTGAACAACTGGGCTGATTGGCGGACGGCAGCAATATTCCTTGCCCTGGTCTCCGTGCGAGCATGATCTTGAACCCAAAGTGCCCTGGCCATCAAATTCATACCTTCCAAACAAGGCAAAGTAATTATTCCAGACCAAGTCGATTCAGAGCCTTTATTAAAACAGCTCACCTCTCAGACTCCACTTGTGGTATCATGTTGCAACCAATGACGAAGGTGGACCGCCCGGTTATGGTCACTATGAACCCTCTTAGATTAAAGAGGAAAAAAGCATAAAGACGAACAAATAATTCAAAAACGTATTATAAATAGACGTCCCTTCTTCTGTTCAAGTGGAATGTTACTCAAAGCTCCGCACCATCTTCATACGTTCGCATCCTCTTAAGGATTGATCAACACAATGCATTTCTCCACCGTTGGAATCGTTGCACTCCTTTGTGCTAGTGCAAAGGCTTGGGAAGGTATGTTTAACTTGTTTCCCACAACTCGTTCTGTTTCTTACTTTGATTCTCTTGATACTAGTTACGGCCTATGACAACGTCGCCAACTGCGACGCCAACGACAACACTCGTTACCGCATCGTTTCTGGAGCGAGTAACAACGAAAGATGTTACACCTTCGACTGGGATATGCCGGGCACTTCTTGCACTGAGTTCCAGAGAGGTGGCGCCTCGAAGGGAGGTTGCGTTTCGGGGTCGCTCCTTCCGCGGTCAGTTGTGTTCAAGGGCGGCGCTTGTTCTGCCTTCAACGAGGTTAACTGCCAGGGTTCCAAGTCATCGCACACTGGCGAGATGAATGGCAGATTCGGTTGCTCCAGCTTGGAGAGGTATGGCTGGGGCCCTATTCGATCCTTCAGGTGCCGTGGTTGTAAGTTTTTAAGTTTACATCAAAGTCACAATTTCTCAGCCGCTAATATTCACTACAGAAAGGAGGTTTCGGAAGCTTCATGGGAGGTTTTCCCCCACATAAGCGACCTAAACAGTCTAATATCAAGTGGAAGCAAAAAGAGTATACTGTAGCTTATTCTATATGAAAAATTGTATAAGTTAAATACGTGTCATACTTTCTACTGAGTCTATAAGCCTATTGAACGTGAATTTTCAATACTCCCTCGGAGAAATATTAGCTAGTTAAATCGAACTTTGCTACTAATCTGTAACATCGATAAATTGCAGATGACATCGGATGGAAATATAAATTCAGTCCCTTGTTAGACACTTCTAATAGTGTTGTAATGCAGTATTTTGGGATTGTCTGGCTGGAAATTCAAATGAAAGCAACTAGAACTTACAAAGGTAGGTCGTCGCATTCTGTGATAACCAGACAACCCGGTCTAGATACCTTTTTTCTCCTTTTAGGTTCCAAGGAACTGCACTAGGGCGATTCAGATTTGCCTTTTTTTTCAAAACGCTACATGTTTCTACCAGTGCAGGTGGGTTTGTGTTGTGTCATTAGTGAAGACTACGAGCCGCTAAAGGCCGTTTCCAAACCATGTTTGGCATTAACCTGCACTTAGGGTACATTGGACTACCACCATCATAAGAGTCATTCTTTATTCAATTTAACTAAAACAACTTTGCTATCAAGAAGTCTTCATAAATAAAGAGCTTGGGTTCAACTGAATGTTTTAGTTTATGTCACTTATTTCATTCATTTGACATATTTATGCTGAATGGTAAGCTTTTATTAGCATCCTTAGACCTCGACCCAAGGCCACACATTCACACGAATAGCGCCACACATATCTTGCATTTTATCCACATTTGGTTGAATGGTGATCAGCCCAAGATTCTTGATTATAAACTAAGTAAGGATCGAAATTTACAACAAGAAGAAAACTCCTGCGAGAGCAGCAGACATGGTGAGTAGCAACTCTGCATTTCCAAGGGCGGCAGCCCCAGCAATTTGCACCTTATTGGTCGGGACTGAGGATGCACCACCCGTGGGCTTAGTCACAGGCTGCGATCTATTGACCGGGATCGAGACATATTGCGTGGGGATGGCTGGTGTGCTGGTAAGCTTCGTACAGACGGTAGGTTTGTTGGCAGGTTTGGTAGTGACGACAGATGTGCTTGCAGGCTTGTGTGGACGTGTTTCCGGTGTGTTCTTAACACCCGGTGCAGAAGATGGCTTCTTATTGCATGAATTGCAATAAGTAACGGTCACCGCTGACGGTGTAGCGCAGGCGTCACAGTACTTTACAGTAGTAGTCCAGCCTTGACGAATACCAGTTGGGCGCGCAGTACAACCAGCCTTGCATGTCTCAGTGACGGTAAGCGTTTTCGTGGTCAAGCCGGTCGGGCAGACATCGACGACTTTGGTGACAAAAACGGTTGTCAAAGGTACAGCATAAGTTCCAGTGATAGTCTTTACTTTCGTGATCACAGCACTTGGAGTAGCTGAGTTCAGTGGGCAGGACACGCTCCTAGGACATTGAGTTATAGTCTGAACCGCTGTGATGGTTGAGGTTCTAGTAACTGGAACAAATCCGGATTGTGAAGCCCAAGTCTCGGCTGAGAAGGCAGCAGTGGTAGCTTGGGAGTCACCATTACCATTGGTCTTGTACGATGCGGAAATTCCTCCGTTGTTGTCATCAGAAGATGGCTTAGATGAAGCATTCGGGCCTGAGTCCTTGCCATCTTTTGATGATACCGAGGTGGGGGTTGCATTCGGCGAGCTGATGTCTTTGTCCGCAGAGATTTTGACTGACGACGAAGATGCAATAGGAAGGTTCGAGGAATCATTCACAGGTGGTGTGAAGGACGCGGGCGATGCTGGCTGAGAAGTTGTTGCCTGTGAAGATGCAGCTGAAGCGACTGATGCAAGCGATGAAGCAGATGCTGGCCCAGTTCCAGGCACGTTAAGAGCGGATGCAGATGCAGTTGACGATTGCGAGTCAAGAGCAGGGACCACTGCGGACGTTGCGGACGTGGCTGACGTGGCTGACGTGGCCGACGAGGCGTCTGCTTGTGCTGATACGTGCCCCGACACAGATGCGGAAGCGTGTTCACTTGACGAAGCAGTTGCGGACGATGGAGCTGAATTATCTCCCAACACATGTGATGCAATGGCTGTTGACGAGGTTGATGAGGCTGCAGCAGAAGGCGGCAGTAAGGCAATGGTTGTGGAGCTTGCTGATGCGACTGAGGGAACAGATAATGGTGAGACAATTGCCGTGGAGCTTGAGGATATGTCTGAGGCTGGAGATGAGGGCGAAACAACAGCCGTGGAGCTTGATGCCGTGCCTGAAGTTGAAGAAGCGGCAATCTTGGTACATCCTGCTGGAATAACGGCCGCATCGGCCCGCTTAATCTCAAGATGTTCTTTGTTGAAGAAGGGGGCTTCCTCAAAGGTTGCATCAACGAACGGACCATCAACCGATCGCTTGTTGACTTCAGAAAAGACATTCTTGACTGTTGGCGTATAAATAATATTCTTATCATCTGGGAATTTGCCTTCGTTCAAATAAGTCTTGATCGCCTCGTTCAACTCGGGGGACTCATTGGCAGTGGAGCAATGCTGTGACAATGTTAGCCCTGGTCTTATCTTCATGCGTGATTGATTCACGTACTCCTACTCCAGTAGACTGTAGAACACGGGCTCCGTTAAAGGCGAGAGCCGCATTCTGCGCTGAGATGAGAGGTGTGACCGGGTCATATTGAGTCTGGACGAAGAGAATTGGGGACCTGGTGGCAATGCCAACGAATGGTTTTTGGAACCTTTCCTTTGCATTTACAGTCCAAGTAGAGCATTGGTAAAGACCACGGATGGATATATCAGCTCCATACTTGCTCGCATACTTGCCTGTTGAGGAGTATACTGCCAGCCAATCCTTGAAGTTCTTCTCAGAGGCAGAGAATCCTAGTACTGTGTCAGCTTGCAACTAGGTTTGGCTACATGATCACCTACTCTCAACCACATCGCCGCAAGTAATGGCAACGAGCGAAGTTGCAGATTTCCATGCAGCTGCCTCTTCGTCGAAAGTGGGATCCCAGTCCAAAGCACGTTTCTGGACGGCTGGCGGCGTCGTGTACCACTTAGAAAGAGCGGTGGCGTACTTCTTGAACGCGTCGGCCTCTTTGAAATAAAGAGTCGTGTGTAGCTCTTGACGGATTTCGTAACTCTGTTCTATGGTAATACTCTTCAAGAAATCGTCAAACTTCTGCTGAAGTTGGGCTCCGGTTTTGCCAGCTTCGGCTACAGCACAGAGGGGTTGGCCTGCCTCTGCGCATTGTTCAAAGAAGTGCTTCACTCCCTTGTCCAAGTCAGCAGAACTCTCGTCACCCCTAAAACAATTGTTAACTATAACTCGGATTTACTTAGGAAGGGATACTTACAATCCGCGATAGTAGTCTGTGGGGTTGATATTGCCGTCCAAAATGACTCGATCGACTTTGGTGGGAAACATGGCAGCCACGGTTGCTCCCAACAGCGTTCCGTAAGAGAAACCCCTGCATTGATTAGAGTTGAGTTTTGGTTTTTGAAGCAGTAATAGTCATACCAGTATCTGATCAAGCCATCTTCTCCGAGAGCCTCGGCGATGGCGTTGATATCGCGAGCTGTAAAGGCCGTACCAACAAGGTCTGATCTATACTGTTCTTTGGCGCATTCTGCTGCCTGAGCGCGTGTATAGTTCAAAGCGGTGGCAAGGCCTTCATCCGTAAAATACGAGTTAGTGCCATCGGCTTGGTCGAGTTGAGGGCACTTGTATAACTCCGACTGGCCGACGCCCCTGTAATGTATCAGCTTCATTCACCAAGTCAGAACTTTTGGGACTAACCGAGGATCGAATCCGACGAGATGGAAGTTATTTCCAACAATTTGCTGATACACAGAGCCGCCTCCCCTAACCATGTTGATACCGCTGGCTCCAGGTCCGCCGGGGTTCATGATGATTGACTTGGGGTTTTCTGTGCCTTCAGCAGCTGGCTGGCGGATCAGACGCAATTTCATCTTCACGCTAGCGGGATCTGTCCAGTCTCTGGGCACGTCGAGCGTAGCACATTGAAGTGTAGACTTTGCGATTCCGCAACTGGCCCAGTTGATCGTGGCTGACTTCTCATATCCAGCTGGACACTCCTGGGCCTGCACCATAGCGGAGGAAGCAGCAAGCCCGAAGGCCGCAGCAAGCTGTAAATTACGCATGGCAAAATTAAAGAGAATTAACGAGTGATAATGACGAGCACGAGGCTCAAAAAGAGTGACTGGAGTAAGGAGAGTGGGATCGGCGTGATCATTGCGAACTAAACATTGCAGACGACCTCATTTTTAAACCTTTCTCAAGCAACTATCCAAAGTGTCGAGGCAACGCACAAGAAGCTAGAGTTGAGCTAGTGAGCTTGCAAGCTAGCAAATTAAGTCTAGTTGAGATGTCAACCAGGCGCTCGGTAGCGAGATGGACGGAAGCACCTGTCGTAGACCAAAACGCCCAATTAGGCAAAGGAATTGACCTGGCGCATGTTTATCGACTCAAGTCTGATAAACTCATTTCGGCATTTGCACCGACCCCAGAAACTTTTTGCTTGGTTGCCTTCAACGGCCGCAGCACGAGACAACCGGAAGATTCTGGAGCTCTATATTGGCACGACGGGGAAATGGAACCAGTGACAGCGTAAACAATGGCGATTTTACGTTATTATAAGAGTCATGTCATCATTCAAAATCGATCAATTGATAGTGAAGGCAAAGACCCCATCACTCTTTCATGTATTTTGAGCGACTTCACGACAATGCACTAACGCTCTGTGAATGACATGAATGACAAGACATCAGGAACGGAACACGAAGGCAACTAGGAACCGAAAGGTCTGGCCCGACGCCGGTGGTCCCTGCGCTCTCCCTCAGCTGATGGCGCTACCCCTTTCCATGTGGTGACGCCCCGCATCGAACCTGACTATGTTTAGGGGGTTGAAGAACCTTAACCGCCTGTGGATAGTTGGGTTTTCCCTACTAACACCCAACCTTAACCCAATTTCCACTGGAACCAAGGGACTAAGACTAACTCTAACCGCTAACTCCAGCCCGCGGCCCCTATGTAATTCCAATCGAGGCTATTTCAAAATATGCATCTTTTTACGATTCTTCTCTTAGAAAAAAAAGTAGGGCTAACGTTCAGTGGCATATATTTTATTAATATTATATGGCTGAAATCCAAAAACGAAAGAAAGATAAATATATAATTGGCAAGGCCGGCATGCGACCCGGAACCAGACTAGATACTGGAAGGATGGTCCCAAGTACAATAAGTCAAGGTAAAAGCCGAAATCAGCGTCTTGTTCTAAGTAATCAACCCTCCAAGAAGTCTTCTTTGCCATTTTGAATCAAGTGCTGGTCATATGAACGCGATCCGTGAGCGCTGCTAGCCTTGGTCAATCAAGGCTTCTCTGCTCCCATAACACTGGGTTCAAATTTCCTCATTCATACTATTCATAACGGCAGGGCTCCAGTGCTTATTTATCGGTCTTCATAGCACACCTGGCTTCCCCGGCGGGTGCAATTGCGCCTTCCCTGAACAAGCTGTCGTGAATAAGCCCTGGAGAGTTATCTAGTATGACATTATAAGCCCTGTGCTAACAGAGCCTTTGACGCGAATTCTCCGGATTGGCTCTCAAGGGAATACTTTGGAGACGATATATAAGCAGGAGTGTGTATCGCGCATATTGTTATGGCTATGTTGCGAGAATTTGCGGTGCAATTTCCGAGAAATCTCAGGCTAAGCTGTGTGTTACTCTCTATTACCCTTTCGTGATGCTCTACCCTAGGCCCTGTCCCAGTTTACCATCTTTTTGAGAACTGTCAAACGGATTGATGTGGAAAAGTGTGTTAGAGCTTCTTGTTAGGATAAAGACGTGAAATGTTTGAAGGAGAATCCAGTATCTTATTTGCATTTTGTTTCTACATGTTTAATCTGCGGCGTTGGTGATTTCGGCGCTTACTTGGCGCAAGGGCTGCATATCTCCTAACAATGATTGAGGCAAACCACATGTTTTGGTTGAATTGGGGATAGCTTCGCCAGGCGAAGTACGCCAAGTCTGATTCAAATCCATGCACCGTCTACTGAATAGCAGCTTCCGCTAACAAAAGAACTCTCGGGTCCCAGTAAGAAAAGCACGACATTCGCGACCTCGTCTGCTTTACCCTGACGCCGGAACGCAATAGGTTCATCAAACGGTGCGTCAACTGGTCTATTCACCTCATCCCAGTACTTTTGCATCATTGGCGTGTAAATAGGACCGGGAGCTACTGCATTGACACGAACCTCTCGTGTCCCGTTTTCTTTGGCAGCAGCTCGGGTAAGACCAAGGACACCGTGCTTACTAGCCGCATACGCTCCATGAAATGCCATACCTATGTGGTCGCTATTAGCTTGGACTCAAATGCCCCAAAGAAAATTATTCAGGTACCATTTGTGGCATGTATCGATGCCATGTTCACTATGGACCCCCCATCTTCGATAGATCGGAGTTCTGCTCTGAGGCAGTACATCATGCCAGTAAGATTTACCCCGATGATTTTGTCCCACTCGTCGTCGTCAAGCTCGGCAACGGGCTTTATGCCATGATCCTTTCCGATGATACCCGCAATATTGGCAGCGCCATCGAGACGGCCGAATTTGGTTTTGATTTCATTGATCCACGCTTCCACTTGTGTCTTGTCTGCGACGTTGACTTTAGTCACCAAGTATGGGACATTTGGTGACAAGGTAGCCAAATAAGCGTCGACATCTTTCAGCCCTGAGTCGTCAATATCGGCAACGCAGACAGTCCCTTCTCGACTGGCTATCTTCTTTACTGTCGCGAGGCCGATACCACTAGCAGCACCCGTGACTGCGTATACTTTGCCTTGCAGAGACGACATTCTGGTGGAAATTCTCGACAATTTGATAATGATCTGCGTTGAAATTCAATCGTGTGTTTGCTCATTCGTTGATTATTCAATTGATCTAATACCATCACAGGGATAAGCTTCGTCTGGTCTTGGTACTACACATCGGTTTATTAATTTGAACAATCTTGTGGCTGCCATAAAAAGGGTTTGGTGAAGTGTACGGATGGATGTGCCAACTATTATGGGGACCACCGCGCATCCTGGCCGGGCCAGGTCCGATATCCTAGAAGCAGTGTTCTGTCCGTCGGAGTAAGCTTGGCCTCAATGTGCTGACCATTTAGGTACTTTTCCGATCCGACGGAGCTGCAGGCCCCATTAAAGCATGCCATCGCACGTGGGCATCAAATGAATTGTTGGGCCGAGCCGAACCGTTCATTATCGAGTAAACCTTCCAAACCCCTAAGTCCAGACATGACCTGGGCGAGACTAGGTTAGCCAATAAAGGTGAATGTACTGGGCTGCCCATACCATAGAGTCAAATTGGCCCCAACCTGTCAGATCCTCCAAGGAGTCACTGGGGCTGACGTTGAAGTCGGGAAATCCTTCAGAGTCCTGCATTTCCGCCACCGTCCGTTGCGACAAAAATGCTTCGTCATGCCCATTGGCACCCGCGGATGATGCCATTACGTCTTCCAAAGCCGCTAGGTTCTGGTTGGCATCTCTCGCTTGATTCTGGGGGTTATTCATTTGTCTTGTTGCCTCAGAACGTAGTTCTTCGAGGATGAGACAATAGCGGGATGTTAACGACCCTGGTTTTGCTATGTTTGCTATCTGCCCTTGGCATCGTTCTGCAGCGTCGTAGTGTGGACGGTAAGTCTGGTCAGGCTTATTGCTATTCTGTATGGTGTAGACATATAATATCACCGAGGCCGAGAATGCGAAGTAAGGCGTAAACTAGAAGGAATGGTTAGCCAACCTGCAACTAAAATGCTGTGAGATCTGAAGCCCAACCCAGAATGCCCGATGAAGCTGTCCGGCTTGAATAATGTCATCGACGGTGCGAACAATATTCATGGCTGCTTGTAAGCATTCTTGAACGCTCGCCTCTGTCTGTGCGCGATGGCTATCATTTTGCACCCGTCCTCTCCGGCTTCTGTTTTTCAGCCGGGCAAAATTGCTCAGCAAATGCGGGCGGTGGGTAAGAATCATGTTATGCCAGTATGCCAAGTTAAGGACGTTTCTTTGCCTCTGGAAGATTAGCACTAGCGGCGCGGCGTTCAAGTCAAGGTCGAGAAAACGACTCATGTCTGAGCGCCATGCTTTTAATTCAGTGGTATATCTCGCAGTGTGGGTAAATTTGGCAGTTAAAGAAGTAGGCCGGATTGAGTATACGTCGTGCAGGATTCCACTTTGAATTTTCGAAAGCCTGGACATGTCAATTTCTGGTTGTATGATGTGTTTTTGCCGCATATGCATAAAGGGAGCACTCACTTGGAATATGCCACTTGCCCAAGCATGACAGACTGCCCTCGGCTAGACCGTGACACCACTCCATTAGCCTGCAGGTCATCATCATCTATTGATGCAGGAAGCTCCTGGTCAATGTCGTCCTCATGAAACGTTCTTGGTCTTCCCAGTGCAGTACTCAAGTAGTTATCAAGGCTGTACGCACTCCAGAATGTGCGGCGACGACATTCTAACTGGATGTGGTCTAATGAGTCCGCAACTCTCCCACGGTGAAGACCGATGGCAAAGGCAAGACGTGCAACAGTTCCAAAAAGGCTCCAGCAATGATTTATCCGGCTTAGAGATAATAACCACAAACATTGCAGAAGCCGTGCTTGGATGCTCTCCAGTCGGACCGTCCCCTGCTCTTTGGACAGTTGCTGGCTAGCTGCCATAAAATACCGGATACTCCTTCACGTCAGCCAGGACTGGTTCGCGTAGAAGTAAGGCTTAAGAAAGTGACACCAACCTCATGTCCGAACATACAGATGTTGGCTGGGCTTCCATGTGCTCCTGCGCTATGGCAAACACCATGAATAGGACGGCCGTGCGGGCGGGGGCCTCGTCACGGTTAAGCATGCTACCCATAGTGTTGTGAAATTCTTCAAGCAGTTTCTCCGTTGTAGGTCGATGCAAAAAGCGGTCGACGGGAACAGCAAAGTCAAAGAACCTTCCAACTAGTCTTGCAGTGTTTGCTTTGTCTAACATAAGAGAGAAGGTTGGGTCAGAATATGTCTGAGGACTTTCTCCAGATGCCGCGAAGTATGGAAGCGGAGCGTCTCCAAAATTGAATATCGAAGATCCCTGAGGAAACGACACAGACTCATCCAACCGCTTTTGAACTCGTAAAAGGAAGGATACACCAGATGATGGACCGACATAGTGTCCTTCAAGGTCTGTCTGAGTGGGTTCTGGAGAGGCTCTGGAGACTGGCTCAGGTGCCGAATTTTTAGAAGGGTGTGTTATCGGCAAGACATCTATGAAAGAGTCACTGTGCTCCCCTACAGCATTCTCCTGCAGCAAGCCGAGCGTCGGGCTGGCTCCTTGTACGATGTCGTTGATTGACCCAGTTGCGTACTCTATGGCTTGTTCTTCAGACCGAAAATGGCCGGGAGTCCCTGATGCAGGCCTAGAAGATGTAACTGGCAGCAACCTTCCTCTCAGATAGGCTGCATTGTAGGTACAGGTTGCCGCAGCCTCATCGCAGAGGCGACAGGGCTGTAGGCCAGTACACCTTGTCTTTCGCCTGTTTCATGCATCAATGTTGTTTCATGGGTCGAAGTATTGATTTGGCATCATGGACCGGCCCGAGGGCTGGCCTGTAGCGTTGACTCACTTTTTGCATCGGTCACAGGCACGGGTTACGCGGGCGCGGTTCGCCCGCCTGGTCCGTTTCTCGGCTGGTGGTGGATCTTGTTGTTGCATTTGAGACGGGGAGCTTCCGAATGCTGACATTGTGGTCGTGTCCATAATGATGTCTTCAACCCGTACTGGATGCTGCAAGTATGTGTGAGAGTGTAAGGATGGATCCTGAAGCCGGATCGGCAAAGAACATTTCCGCTCCGTTGTTTTGATCAATGCCGTCGGAAGAGAAGCATGCACTAAGCAGAGAATGGGTTCGACTTATGTGAGGGGGCGCGAGTTGTACATAGTACAAGTGGGCTGTGATTCGTAAAAACCCAGACTATCCTGTGTGTAAAGCTGACTGTGTCTCCCCACTTCTACAGGGGAATCTGACTTTTCGGTTTTACACCCTTACTATTCCGTTTTCTGATTTTACTGCTTGTATATGATAAACCACAAGTGCATAGGTTCATCTTCTCATCGAGCCTACCACTCAAACATCTAAGAAAACAATATTTAAACACTTTTCAGCTAGGACAATTAAAATCAAAGCAGTCACGGCGTCTTTCCCAAAATGTGTTTTATCTATGATTTACAGATGAAGACCAAAGTACATTTGTCATATTGGTTCAGACACTAGTACCTCATACATAGCGCGTGTACCAGGTCAGGGTAACCCTGCTATGCTAGACTGTGTGGATACCTACAGTATCTCGTTCAGGAGGACTTTAGCCTACTTCTAAGCATACTGACTGCGGTCCTCCCAAGCAGGCCGGAGGTATTCGCTGTCGAATGATAGGTCTAAAGCAGACTGATGGACACCAAGGACCTTCCATTTCACCTCGACAGCAGCCCCCGCCATGTCTTGAGACCAAATACTAAGCCCAATGGTGTTGTCGCCGTGATAGTCAAGGATGCCTGGGAAAACTGGACATCGTTAACAACGAGAAGGGGATCAATGCAGCCATGTTGGAGAACTCACCAGGGAACGTAAACTCATTACCGATGTAAGGTAGGATCTTCGCAAACTGGTACCCGTTGACATACAACTGCGCTCGGAGCTTGGCTCTGTTCGCAGTGTGCAGTTCGAAAGCCAAGCTAATGTCATGTCCTTGGGGCAGGTCCAGGGGAACAACAGTGCGATAAAAGCGTGCATCCGCGCCCTCGAAGCCGTCGCTTGGCAAACCAGTCTCCCATGCGCTGTCGTCAAACCCTGGCAAGTGCCAGCCAAGGCGCTCAGCGTGAAGGCCGCCCTCGTTGTATGTGCCGCGCACCGGCTCAATAAGATGGTTTCCGCCAGCATTTCCTGCGACCTTCCACGAATTGAAGTTGAAGGTTGCGTTTTCAACACCCATGAGCCTCGCGGCCAGTATACCTCGAGGATCAGGGGCAGCTTCACGTTGCTCTTTGCCCATCGTGTCCTGAATCACAAATAGAACATTCTCGGAGTCTGGTAGCAGATTTACCCCTTCGAAGGAGGCATACAGCTCTCCGGTCTTGTTAGCCATAGCCCCAAGCCAAGCGCCGATAAACTCTCCGTTTAGATAAGCTGAGAAGCCGCTGGCTAGACCACCAATAACGCGGAGGTAGACTCCTGAAGGGGCATTGTCGACCGAAGAATTAAAACGCCCTCGCCATAAAATGTTACCGGCTTGATAGCCGTACTCATCAGCGAACAGGACAGGAAAAGTGTCCGGTGGGATGAAGTGAGGGGTCGTGTCATGGTCAGCATCTATGCTCCGGGTATCACGTTAGAGCTGAAGTGGAATAGGAGGGGCAAGTGCGGTGGAGACTTTACCAGTCCATCGAGAATCATCATATGTTGGATCGGTCTCGGGGAGGCCGTCGGCGACCTTCCATTCGGTCAAGGGTGGCAGCTGTGCCTCGACGCTCTGAACGGTTACATCCGAGGCTCCCAGTTTGCCAACCAAGGTGCCGTAAGGGGACTGAATTACATCGAGAGCAGCACCGTTGAAGGTAGCTTTGTTCACCGATTTCGGGGCCCAAATCTCCACCTCAGTCTCCCCACTCCAATCGCCAGTGACATGGATTGTGTCTCCGCTGATGCTAGCGGCTCGCACCAAATATGGGCCATGCACCAGGACTTATAAAGAGATATGTTAGTCTGTATTCGAACGTTCCACAATGTGAGCAAACAGCTTACCAGTAGTGTTTTCCCAAGCCAAAGGATCATTGTCCAGAGTTGGAGCCCAAAAGGCATAAGCTGACTCGCGATCAGCAATGACCGCCTGAATGCCATTGTCATAGTTTACGACCACATTCTTAGACTTGGATACAAAGCTGGTAATGATTCCATCCTTTGAGGGAGTGAATTGAACGCTTTGACACGTCGAGTTGCCTGTTTGCTTCCCAGAAGTCGCGTCTTTGAGCAAGAATTCTCCAGCCTCTCCGCGAGGGGCCCAAAAAACTACTACTTGTCGGTCCCCTAGGTCAGCGATAGTGAGGATCTCGGCCGTCGAGTAAGTGATCTTCTTGTCAGTCGACCCGATACGGAAATCTGTAACTAAAGTCTTGGATTGTATACCGTTAAGGGTGATGGAGTTGTTGCGTGGAATTGTAAGATCTCCAATCTCCGTAGAAACGTGTAGATGGAATTGGGAGAACTCAGTGGACGGGGAGTACTCATGACGAACAACCCAGAATGCGGCATTTGTGTCGGGATTACGAAGCTCGGTGGCAAACACGTCAGGATTAGTCGAGTAATGTGTGCCATTGCCGACGCGTTCGACCTTTGCGAAGTCGCGAGCGACACGCATGAAATAGCCAAATAGCTTGCCCTCATTGAATTTGTCGCCAATCAACCGGCTCTCTTGAATAGGTGCAGAATAGTCGTAGCTAGTCCCAACTTCAGGGAAGCCGATGTTGCCCCAGTTAGTGCCGCCATACAGCATATAGATATTGACCGCCGAGACCTTTTGAGCAAGGTTGTGACGGTAAAAGAGGTTGACCCAGGTTGGGCCAATGTTCTCGCCGCAGCCACCAGCGGGTCCATCCCAGGGGTTAAAAGAACCGCCTTGGAATTCCATGAGAAAGGATGGTTGCGTCCAGGCAACGCTCTGGAAGTGATCGTAGTAATTGAAGACTGTGTAAGGCTCAACGGCACCGTTAATGGCCAGGCATTGTTGGAGGTTGCAAGTCCAGCAGGCTGGGTAATGATCAAGTCCGTATACGTCAACTTCACCACCGACATTACTGTAATCTTTAGACCAGGAACGAGACCACATGTTAGGGTTATTCGCAGTAAAGGGGACGTCGATATCCCATTCGCGATGAGAAGACTCTAACAGCTCCATATAATTGATGGCAGTCTGATTTGGCGTCTTCAAATCGGGATTGGTAAACTGGTTTGGGTATTCATTTTCGAGTTGCCACATGATAATGGGTCCCCCGTTGGTTATAAGATAGGGGCGCACGTAGTCGGCAACAGCTTTGGAATATCGCTGCCAGGCGGCGGTGTATTTGGGGTGATCATCACGGAGTGGCCCATACTCTCCTGTTGTGAGCCAACCAGGAAAGCCACCTCCGTTCGCTTCAGCATTGCTGTAAGGTCCTGGTCGATAGACGATGTAAAGACCAATCTCTTGAGCAACTTCAAAGGCCTTGGCAAAGTCGTGGGCACCGTTTTCAAAATCCAGCGTTTCATTGTTAGGGGCATGCCAGCCCCAATGTTCATAAAGTGCAATGGTATTAAAACTTCGCCAAAATTAGAATGATCGTGAACTTTTGTTTAGGTTTTACTTACCCCGCTGCTTTAATCTTTTCCAGGATGTCTCTCCAAAGCTCAGGAACTGGAATGCGCCAGAGGTGTAACTAGGTATGGAAGTCAATAGGCTGTTCAACTTCTGCATCAAATCAACGTGCATCCATTTCAAACGTACTTCACCAGACCACATAAAAAGCCGTTGGCCGTTGACCTTTACACTATAATGATCCCTTGTGTAGTAAAGTCAATATCATGCGGGTTCAGAGCAGGAACAGAGGCATTCCCACCATTGAACAATTTTGTTGAGCCCATTGTCATGTAGTGGCCATCTTTGACCTAAAAGGGCCGGTATAAGATTGAAGAATATGAATAGAAAGAGACTTTTCATGGTGAAAATTTGTTATACTGTGGTTTACATTCAAAGTGAAACTGCCCATGAACACCCTCTTCTTTTATGAACAGCCCGCAGACATTTAAAGATTTTTTCTTCACAGCTCGGATATCACATTGACAATTTCAGATTGCTCGGCTGCCGTAGTCACTTACACCGTTCAGGTATGTGATGACCAGTATATGCCACTATTCCCGATCGAAACCTCTAGCCCGCATCTCATCTCTTCATATGCAGTCTTTCCCCGCACCTTGGCGGCATGGCTACTACGTTAATGCCCTCCTTCACGAAGGTATGGTGATGACAGGTCGTAGTCTCATCGCAACCTTTTTCCGATCCGTTTCCGTGAAGCCGTCTTGCTTCCGACGGAAGTCTGCGGGTCTCATTTTAGAGGGGGGCACTTTCAACCTTGTGGCATATTTTGGAAATACATTCAGGACGAACTTCACCATAATGTAGGGTCTCATCCGATTTCGGTTTGGAAAAGGGGGAGCCAGGCGGTTAATACATGGGTGTACACCACACAGGGAGGAGAAGCTTGGCTCCGAATAACGTCGCACACCCACTTCTCGCACACCCCCACATTTCGCACACCCATAAATTGGGTCATCATGAGGTATTCATCAACTTCATAACTATAAGTCTGATTCGTCTCCTGCAACTGTGATACTATCGCCAGTTTTAATAGGTAATTCAGGCTCGCTAGATTCATCTGAGCTATCCTCAATTTCGCCAGCCTCAATTTGGGCTTTGTGAATTGCCTCAATGTTGGCAAACTTCGAATTTGGGCTCATTTGGACCTTACGCCGCTTCCGTACCATTCCAGCCTCAACTTCTGCTTCCAACATTGCAATCTTCTTCTCTGCTGTAGCCAATTGATAGTCCTTTTCATCAAATCCCTTTTGAACCTTCCGAAACAACAGTCGCTGCGTTTGCTGATCTTTATCCAACTTGCTGAATAAGCTAAGTTGATCATATAGATCAACTGTCTTCTTGGGCGTTGACCAGGCTACTATGGATGTAGCAGATGCCCAGTTTTCGTCTTTTCCACCATCAGAGGCCCTCATAGGCGTAGAATAGCCTGGCTTTGAGTGTTACGGCCAGCTATCTGACAGTAGGGTTCTGCTAACAGAAGGTGCAGTAAGAGACTAACACTGGTTCGTAGAGGTCGTTCTGGTAGATCGTAGGGTTAGGGTAAGGTGATCAGTCTTACACTATGGTAACGAGGTTCTTAGTATTCACAATACTGAGAGGTAAGCTGAAAGTCATTCGAGGATGAATCACAAGTTGATTGCTGAAGAACTATCTAGAGGGCTTGAGCAGGTACTCAAGTCCTGGTCTATATAGGAGTCTATCTACACGTATTGTCTGTAGTCGTTGGAGATCATATTGATCGAACATGATCCGTTGGCCCCCAACTCTTCTTGGATCATTCTGACCTAGAATGATTCATCACGTGACTTGTTCCGTTCTATAGTTCTTCCGTTCCGAGAGGTTACCTTTTGTTCCCGTGGCCCTGCATACAAAGTCCTGTCATAACCGCCCAACCGAGTGGGTCCTGTTAGGTGTATCTAACGGGTCGTAACATTGAGGGCTTGGAAGCATTCTCAAGCAGTAGAGGGCTCATGAGCGGTCGAGCTATCGAAATGGGCCATAGTCCTGTTGCTTTCCAGCCGCTTCTGATATTCTTGCTTGAAAATGCCATCTGGCGTGCTTTTCCATAGCAGGTAAGAAAGTTCCGTTTGCCTACAACTGTAGAATCGTTGTGTTGAATGAGGTATCCAAGCTCTTTTCGATAGGTCGCCTTGAGAGGCCCAAAGACTGCTTGGTCTAGAGGTTGGAGAACGTGGGATGTATGTGGCGGTAGGAAAAGGAGATATATCTTGTGTTTATAACAGAGATACATAAATTCTGTTGTTTCATGACTGCCATGACCGTCTAGGATCAATAGTCTCTGCTCAGAGGGATGATCAGGCTTAGTCAGAGGGATAAAGATGTTCTCAAGCCATTCCACAGCTGTAGAGTCTGAAGTCCAGCCATTCTCAGTTGCTGTGAACTTCCAACCACTGTAAATATCACGTTTATGGATATCAAGAGGAAACCATTGTTGTTGAACCGATTTCCCTCGATAAATAACAAGTGGAGGAAGCGCCTGACCAGTTGCAGAGACACACTCAAGCATAGTTGTCCAAGCCCGAGACCCAGGCTGTTTTTTTCGCATTGATGAGCTTTCTGATGATCCCAGTACTAAGCCATTTGATCCTCTGCCTTCTAGGATACCAGTTTCATCCATGTTATAGCGATGATGTGGTTTGATCGCCTTGATCTCTGGAAGGGCGAGTTGTTGAAACCATTGCCTGATTACATTAGTTGAGGCCCCATTGACACGCTTAGAATCGATGGCTCTAGCTCTATGAACCTTGATTGATGGATTTCTCTTAATAAAGAACTGAATCCAGTTTCTCCCAAGTGGCTGGGTAGTGCCTCTGATGTCTAGGATTCGCTGGGCAAATTCCTTGAGTTGTTGATGTGTTGGCGGCAGCCCTAACGCCGCCTGGATACGCACCCATTCAGCTAAGTGACTTTCCTGTGCTGGAGATAGCTTCTGGAAGCTAGAGAAAGCTACATTTCTTGCCTGTGAACCCTTTAATCGAGACTGGAGGGTTGATGGTGGAATTCCAGCATCATGAGCTGCCTTTCGGACACTCTGCCCACTTGCAACTGCATTGAGAGCTTGATTGACTTCTGTTTCCGTATACTGGCCCATTAAGCGTATAAGAGTAACTATTCAAAGAATTATAATAATCGCTGTAAAAGTGGTGAAGATATTAAAGAATGTTGAAGAGGGTAAAATTCTACATGAGCGATTTATGGGTGTGCGAAATGTGGGGGTGTGCGAGAAGTGGGTGTGCGACGTTACATTACGCAAGTGTAGTAAAAGGTAAATGACAATGTCAGTCATTTTTACGTGGCAAATTATTGCAAAACGGATAGATTCAAATGCTCATGTGCTGGTTAAAGTCAGGTAGCATTGACTTCATCACATCATGGCTTACCACAGTACTGCTGCGGGTGATGTAATGAGGCCGCAATAAACGTAACATATGATTTCGATTTTGAACTGTGGATCGATCCAAAACTGGGTCAATTATTGAAGTGAATGCAGCAAGACTAGGTACTGATGACAAACTCGGATAACATCAAAGATAAAATCCCTTATGGTTATGCTCCTACGGCACACACTAACGACGGCATATCAAAGGTTCAAATGGTGCCAAATACAGAAAGGCTCTCGTAAGCTTTGCCGGTGGAATCAAACATTGGGTTTTGTTCGCAAGAAGAGCCCAGCGATGGGTTCGAAATCCAGCTAGGTTCCCAGTAATTAAGCCCAGTAGCTCCAGGGACCTGCTTAAGGGTGTTTGCAAGCTGGGTGATGTATTGTACTTGTCCCGCCGGAGTGAGTGGAATATTAAGCTGGTCAGCCGGGAAAGGATAATCCGGGTTTGTGCACTGAGTTGGCCAGTTGGTCTCAACCACCTGCACCTCCTTTCCGTATTGGTTGGCAACACTAGTGAGGGTACTTCTCAGCGCTTCGAATGTTGCTCCCTCCCCCCAAAATGGGTAGAAGGAGACAGCAATTACGTCCCAGTCACTCGTGGAGAGAAGGCCCGTCCCCAGAACCATATTGTAAAACCAATGCTGCACCTCACTGTCATAACCGTGCGCAAGATGTGTAACGATTTTGGTGTGGTCGCCGAGTCTGGAGGCGCGTATGGCACTGGTACCAGCTTTCAGCAAACGAGCCAAATTGTTTGGCTCATCGTATTTTCCAGTTGGCCATAGCATGCCTCCAACAATTTCGTTGCCGATAGTTATAATCTCTGGGTATAGTCCAGCCGCCGCAAATGTCTCGCAGAGATCCGCGGTGTAGCGGTACAATGTTGTTTCGAGGCTGTCGATGTCTTCCGGCCACCCTGTGGGGATATCCTGCAATGATGGGTTCGTCCACGTGTCGCTGTAATGAAGGTTTAGTCCAAAAAGGAGACCGGCGGCCGTGGCCCTCTTCGCAAGTTCGAGATTATACTGAATGCCATAGTCGCCTTCAACAGTCCAGACACGTTGTCGCACAATGTTTACCCCAGCTTCGACGAGGATGTGTTCAAGGGGTAATGCAACGCCCTGGGAGTTCTTGTGAACAATTCCATTTCGTTCTTCGACAAGGATGGACGACCAATCTACGCCCCGATACTGTAAACCGACAGTAGTTGCGTTTGTAGAGAGTGAGTCAATTGACTTGCAAGCTGAAACTGCAGAAAGGGTAACCAGTACCATGAAGGAAAAATGGAACAGCATTGTGGTGTCTGGTAATGCTATTGTTTGGCCGAAAAGGAATGGCAAATTGGCTACAAACGTTTGAAAGCTGGATAGAGCAAAAGTTGTTAAACCCATGAAGGGTTGGTAAGATTTATAACTTAGAATATATAAATGCTACAGACGGGATGATAAGCAGCTCAACCTCGGTTGGCAACTTTGGTGCTTCGGATAATTTCCATCATGAAAATAAGTCTGTCTCAGGTAAGAGGTTTGACACCATTATCAGATAGCTACATATCATCTGTACTCGTCGCAAATAAGATCTCAGGATTGCGCGTAATTTCGGCTCGGTTTCCAGTATCCATCGGAGGCTATGTTGTACGCATATGGGAGACGGTTGATGCGGTCTCGGGTGGCGAGGATGTCGTGATCTGAACCAAAGATAGAGTAGGCCGAAGTTTTCTTGCTTCTGTCAAGCTAGACCTGTGTGGAGGAGTCTAAGCTAAAACTAGTAACTGTACGGCGGTGAATCCTGTCCTGCAGATCGTGATTAAACGGATGGGTTGCATTAAATCTCGATTGAGAATGCTCAAGATTTATGTGTACGCGGTACTAATGTCACGAAAGTACACCCAGGCTTCCAAGTATCAAAATATGGTAATCAACATTGACTGTTTCGATGGTATTGTAGCGTTCATGGGTACTGAGCCTGAGCTGGAAAAGGGGTATTTCTCATCCTCCTAATTTGAATGTTTCCCCGTTAGATTCCCTATTTGTGTACAGTTACTACATACCTCATCCCATTAACTTCAGCATGGCGACCAATCCGAGCTATTCCATTTAAAAGCAAACAGAGAATATCCATGCATATTTTATCAAACACTCCGTAATCTGATGCTCGCCGTTGGAGAGAAAATTTACAGTATCCGTATCCGGTTGGCTAGTGCCCTTAGGCCATGGGCCTCTTGCCATGTCATAGCCGATGGGAAAGAAGGGGCTGTTCTGCATAATTCAGCTGTCTTGAGGGACAGTAGTATACTTATGCTACTTACTGCTAGCCACTAATATTTTCAGCATTAATTACGTGTCTGATGTTGGAATGCAGCAGGCCAATGGATACATGTTGCTTTTGGCCTTTCTGGTTGACGCAATACGGAGCATCCGCCTCGGTGTTTCCTCCATGTGGGCCAGCCGGCCCACTAAAACTGCAGCTTGCTGACAATTCCGTAATTCTATTATGGATACGAAAGCCATGTTTTCTTTACAGCGGTTAGACACCCGTCGGAGGTTCTTTCGGAATCGATGCCGCTATCCGACGGAAGAGCTCCGACCACGTTCATCTGATCTGAGAAATCGCTGAAAGCACCACCAAGCGCAACATAGACTGATCAGAATCTGAATCTTGATACCCCAGACTGCTTGTCAAATACCTTCCCCGCGGGGTAAAGGCGGAATCAGACGGAGTTAGCCAATGAAGACTGAAGCCTTCCCGTCGGGAGCTATTGCATGCAGCCAGGCGGTACGTTATACGCCATTATGCTGCAGGTAGGCGTTTCCATGATCAGGGGATCAATGTGTTTTTAAAGCGTAGTGTATGCGGATACTTCTTCGCATTGAGAATATTAGTTCCTAACTCCCCATTGAACTCTCTTCGTGATACTTTCAAAACTCGCTGCCTTCTCAATTCATCAGAGTTTTACCAGACCTTATACTGCGCTTTGGGGATCTCATTTCCATCTTCAGCAACTGTTTTCCCACATTACCTTCAAAAACCTATTCGCATTGTTCAGAATGGGCACAGAACCTGTACAAGGGACAGCAGATTTATCCAAGATTGAAGCGCCAATTACATGGAAAGCATATCTTATTTGTGTCTCTGCAGCCTTTGGTGGCATTTTCTTCGGCTATGACATTGGGTGGATGTCCGGTGTCTTGGGCATGCCGTATTTCATTGAGCAACACACTGGGGTGCAGTATGACTTTGACGCCGGCGTCCCCGTTGACAATTCCCAGCCCTTTGCTATCTCTTCTAGAGATAAGTCACTTATGACCTCCATTTTGTCGCTTGGAACATTCCTCGGAGCGCTTATTGCGGGCGATTGTGCCGACCTGATAGGTCGCCGCCTAACGATCGTCATGGGCTGTGGCATCTTCTCTATCGGCGTTATTCTCCAGATCTCCGGCAACGGGCAGCTTGTTTTGATGACTCTGGGACGCCTGATCGCTGGATTGGGTGTCGGCTTTGAGTCTGCCGTCATCATTTTATACATGTCCGAGGTGGCACCCAAAAAGATCCGTGGTGCTGTTGTATCAGCGTATCAGTTCTTCATGTATGTCCCAGCCTTGTGAGTTGAAAAAGTCGGAATTCTAACTTCTCAATAGCACAATTGGTCTCTTGCTCGCCAACTGTGTTGTATACGCTACCCAAAACAGACCTGATTCGGGATCCTATCGCATTCCTATTGGGGTCCAATTTCTGTGGGCAGTTGTCCTGGCCGCCGCACTTGCATTACTTCGTAAGGTTTCTTCTATCTATGTTTGAGAAGAGACTGAAAGAGCTAACTCTGCCATCTTTTCTTAGCTGAATCGCCACGATACTTGGTGAGAAAGGGTAACATCGAAGCGGCCACAAAAGCGCTGTGCTACGTCCGCGGGCAGCCTGCAGAATCCGAATACATCAGAGACGAACTTGCGGAGATTCTAGCGAATTTTGAATATGAGTCTGCCATGATTCCAAACCAAGGATACGTCCAGTCATGGCTCGTTTGTTTCAAAGGGCCCATCTCCAAGCCAAGTTCTAACATAAGAAGAACTATAGTTGGAGCTGGAATCCAAGCTACTCAGCAACTATCTGGGATGAACTTCGTTTTTTACTTTGGCACCACGTTCTTTCAACAACTGGGCACAATTTCCAACCCCTTTCTCATATCCTTGATTACAACACTGGTCAACGTGCTTACGACACCTCTGGCATTCTGGACCATCGAGCGCTTTGGACGTCGGCCCTTGCTGATTTATGGCGGCCTTGGCCTATTTGTCACACAGTTCATCATCGCTGCCGTCGGCACCGCCCAACCCAATAACGAGGTGGCAGTTAAAGGAATGATTGCGGTCATCTGCTTCCAAATTTTCTTCTTCGCGACCACCTGGGGGCCGGCTGCTTGGGTCGTTGTGGGTGAAGTCTTTCCGTTACCAATTCGCTCCCGCGGGGTGGCCATATCAACCGCATCCTGTTGGTTTTGGAATTGCGTTTTGGCGGTCATTGCGCCATACATGACGGGAGATGAAAAGGGTGCGGTTAACTTGGGGCCTAAAATCTTTTTCTTCTGGGGTTCTCTCTGCTTCCTAAACACCTTGTTTGCATATTTCTTGGTTCCTGAGATGAAGGGTCTATCATTGGAGCAGGTCGATCAAATGCTGGCGGAAACAACTCCTCGAAATAGTGCAAAATGGGTCCCAACCACAACCTTTGCAGCCGAGATGGGCCACTTGCAGAAGCAGAGGAGTGTCTGTAGTGAGACTGTACGGGAGACAGTAGTGTGATGCGTTGAGCAAAACCAAAACCTCATGGATGGATTTTCTTGTAGGATCAGGGTAATTGTTACGTTGACAATGGTTATATGTGAGAATTTCGTGCGTTTAGTTGGATAGTAGCCAAGCATATTTAATGAATAAGTCTAATTTCTGGAACATATTACGACCAAGATTTGTATTTCTCGTTTTATGAAAGCTGAGGTATCGTGTGATATATTAGCCATAATCACGAGTTGAGTCATACAAAACTTTGGCTATGTAAATCTTTCAGCAGAAGTTGTACCTATGAGGAAATATACGGAGTGGTTGTTTGCTAAATCATAGCAAAGACCACATTACACTTACTTCTTGAACGAACTCGAGGTCAGAGAAGCTCTCATGCCTGATCTATCTTTGGAAACCACCTCAAAAGATGCCATACTAGACGTTAACGCCGCAATAAATGCTCGAAAATACCAACTAAGTCAGTGGCTTTAATTGCCCAGATAAGGGCTGGGGTGACAGATCGATCAAGTCACACAAATGCTGAGATTAGGGTCATGCTACACTTGGGTATCAACCTGTTTTATGATTTGTGGTAATTGACAAATACGACCCTACTTGATCCGTTGACACACATGTCCAAAAAGGGTCAATAAATCTATGGGGTCAACAGAGAGCGAGTAATCCAATGATAATGGCTGATGTCGCACAAACAGCTGCATTCTTGGCAAAGCTTCAAACTAACGTGTCAAAAGCATCGTTCTTTAAGGGTAGCATTCATAGCAATATGGAGATTTAGAAAGGATTTGCTCATCTTGAGGACCATATAGCTCGTCTTTCGGATACAGCCGTCGTTCGAAAGTCAAGCGCACATGAAAGAGCTACTTGTCTGAGTTTACCTCGGCTTGACATCTATGTCGTGGATACCGGTCCTGATATGGGAATACACAAAACGGACAACTTCAATATCGGGGAAATTACCCGGCTTGCGACGGGAGTAAAGGCGGTTTTCTTGTGGAGATGTATATGGTAAAGGTTAGCTCACAGCCTGATAGACTAAGGAATCAAGCTGCTCTTGCAACTCTGCAGGTGGCTTATGCCATGATCCCCACTTAGGCGGTTGTAATCAAGATGTATTACAGAAGATGTACAGACTAAGCGAGAAGACGTTCAACGTAGCCCATTACTGAAGTCCACTCTGGGTTAGGAAAGCGGCACTCTTTTCAGAACAAACACCATAAAACAGGGGGGTGTCACATTTTCTGTGCCCGGTGTAATGTCGTGCCCATGGCCCCCCACACCCTCCTCCTCCTCCTCCTCCTTCTTCTTCTCCTCCTCCTCCTCGAACTTGGAGCTAATGCCGGTGGATTTGGATCGGGCCGCAGCTCGGGGACCAGGCTAGGCTGTCTGCAGGTGCTCGGGGAACGGGAAACCTTACGCAATGCACAGTGTTACATCTGGGCAACAGATCGGCTAGGCTTGGGTCGTGTTGTACTATCAGGGTTTCCTCAAGCATCAGCCCGATACATTACCGTAGAAGCTCCTCCTCCCGGAATTCCACCCGTCCACAAGGACAGATTTCCTGCTGGCTCTCAAACTGCCACCCCCCTGTAAAAAGGCAAGCAGGCTGGCTGGCCCCGAAAATTAGCTACGAATAGGAGAAGCTGCATGTCAAACACACCCAAACGATAGCTCCACAGTGGATTTTTTGCAGCGGGATGAGTTGATGCGGAACGAAGAGAATTGGCTGGGCTAGACCAGTCGTGTGGGGGGCAAGTTTGGAGGTGCATGCATGGCCGGTGAAGGCGATTGCGACATAAAAACAGTACGGAAATGCACTCAACCACTAGCCTTTTGATATTCTGTAACGAAGAGCCCGATGCAAAGCCTATTGGGGCGTTCTGGATGGAATCCCGCCAAACAGAACTATGCGATTGGGCTGACTAAGGTAAGCATGGCGCTGGAGATCGGCCAGCGGCTCCTGATTTATGTGTGTAGGTATGTATGTATGTGTGTATACGCACAATACGATACAAGTAATACACGTACGGTAGGGCGGCATGGGCCGCCCGATCGCGCCATGCCACCGCCACCAGGTGACTAATAAATACAAACGAATCGTCTTTTTGCCCACCACCATTTCGGTTCTATTACCCCGCGGTGTCCACGACTGTGTGCAACAAAACCCCCTTTCAACCAGACCACGACAGCTACTCGGTCTGCATATGGGAAGACCAACGTCGATTGTACAGAGAGAAGGTAAAGAGCGGCACGCGATCATGTTTATGACACTGAAAAGCTCCGGCGATGGCGGTAACGCCGGCATGGTGCAGGTTGCCTCGAGGCACGCCGGTGTGGGCGGGAAACGGACGCGTCGGGGGTCGAGCAAAAACTCCGATTACCAGCAAGTCCACACAATGAATGTAAGTTCTATCCAACGCCCAGCGACTACTACTGCAAAGTATGTTGCTTTGGTCGGACCTTTTGCCTCGTTGCTCTAGCCCGGACCCTCTCACAGTGGCACTTCAATTCTCATCTTGCTACGTTTGGGGGCCCGCTTTCATCCCAACATCCACGTGGATGCGGTGGCTATGAATGTGGAGAAGCGACGCCGAGAGCGAGGGAAAAGAACGAGAAGAAGAAGAAGAAAAAGAGAAAATTGAGGCTCACGTCTTCGTCTCATATGTTCGGAAATATGCTAACCTGCATAGACCCGTGCTTCTGCGCGTCCCGAAGATTCACCCAGTTCTTCCAGAGGCTGTGACAAATGTAGTTCGTGCACAAAGTCTCGCAACGGTGCCTTGGACGACTCCATCCGCAGCTCCCTGTCAGATAACCACAACCACACGTTGGCGACTAGTATGGACCATGATGCAGTGGATGCAACGTACCACCGCAACAACCTGCAGGACGGTATGTCGATCTCATGCAATCAATCCCGTTGTATCACCCAGACACGTCTTGTAGTGGCCAACTTAGCAGAGCTTAAGGCTTCGCTGGCCTAAATTTCACAACCAACAGGGCAAATATGTGCTGACTGCGAAGTAGTTCTCAACTTGTCTGAAGCCGCAGAGACACTGACGCGTTCATTGTCGCCAACCATGCCGACTCCGACGTCTTTCGACAGCCTCCTGGAAGCATCAGAGTCTCCCATGCCGCTATCTCTGTCTCTGGATGAGTTTCTTACCTCCGACACGGGAAGCTCAAACGGCTCCGGAGCTTGTTCCTGCACCAACAACTTGCTCAAGATCGTCCAGCAGTTCGATGACGACGACTTTGGGCTGACCTCGCTGTCGTTGGACGAAGTAATGAAACTGCAGAAGTGGATACTCTTTCAGTGCTGCCAACCTCTCGACTGTCCGTCTTGCCAAGCACTGCCAGCCGTTCATACCGTTCTTTTAATCATCTGCGACCGCATGACCGAGATATTCGAATGTATCGAGAAGCGCATCCGCCGCACAAACAGCCAGCCTCACAGGACAAAAGGGCCAAACGAGACGAATTACATGACAGACGGCATCAATTTTACGTCGGTCGAAGTGAGACAGTCGTCAGGCAACCTCTTTGACGCATCCACGGGCAACGTTGCCGGCCAAATGGACTGCAACCCCCACCTCTTCTCGCTCGAATTCCAGAGGGGTTACTCGGACGAGGAGCAGGTCCACATGATACGGGTGTTGCTGAAGTTGCAAATACGCAACTTTCGCAGCCTGCTGGTACGTGTGCACGACGCCAGTCAGGCCTCGAGCAGGGAAGCGCGCAAGTCCAAGGTGAAGTCGCTCACGACGAGGCTGTCGACGGCTGAGATTGGGATTGAGAACTCATTACGAGACACGCTCAAGAAGATAATGGTCAACATGCCCAATACTGACTTTGTGCGGTAGCATAGAGTTTGTTGGGTGGGGTGATGATGGTGCGTTTTTCCAGCAACAGAGAGGGGGGTGGGGTGGACAATTTGATCGTGCGAGTACAGTGTTTTTTTTATAAAAGGCGTCAAAGGGTTACAAGTGTCACATGAAACTGAATATGATGGAATACAGAACGTCATCGATTTACCGCGTTTTAGTGTTTGAGGGCGCGTGATGTGATTTTCTCACCTGCAGCACACTGCATTGTTTTCGCTACCTTATCTAGCACACCCTCCTGTGTCCCTTTACTGAGCACCGGTATTTCGAGGATTGACAACTACTTCGATCTTACTCTGGGGGGTGAACCAAGAGCCATTAATCTTCCATTCTCCATCTCCGACAACTTCGAGGTCAAAGTTGCGATAAAGCTCGAAAGCAACCTTCCACATTTCCAGTATGGAAATACTTTTCCCAATGCAGCTACGTGGGCCATATCCGAACTTTTGGTAAGGAAGGAGAATGTTGATTAGCTCAAGTTCATTACCATGGAATTTGCAAGACGAATAGTGGAGTCAATACTCACAGAAAATTGGTTTCGCTTCATCTCCTTAATTCGCTCCTCGTCACCTTCGATCCACCGTTCAGGGCGGAACGTGTGCACGTCTTCCCCGAAGATGGCCTTGTTTCGATGAATGACCCACGCGTTGACCCCAACGATGGTGCCCTCCTTAAGATGGACGTCGTGCAGGGTAATGCCGCCCTTCGGGACCTCACGTTCAAGAATGAAACCCGTGGCTGGATGCATCCGCATGGCTTCATTGATGACTGCCGTCCTGATGGGGTGAAATTCAAGTCAGTAAAGACTCTGAACGAATGAAGGATGTGGGCTTACAAGTAAGGCAGCTTGACAGACTCCGCGTAGGTGATGGGGTTGGAGGCTCTCCCCTCACGCACTGCGCTATCGATTTCATCGACAAGCTTGATCTTTTTTTCGGGGTACTTGCTCAAGTAGTAGATGACAGAACTCAGACTAACTGCTGTAGTGTCCGATCCGGCAATGCTGTATCGCTCAATTAGCGTCGCTTTCGGCTGCAAGTTTGAGAGGCTAGGGCGACTCACACGTTTGTAGTAGTTATGGCAATGATTTCATCAAGGGTCAGGCCGTCGGGGTCGGCCTTGTGAGATGCTAGGAGCTGGTTCAGGATGTCTTTGCGCTCAACTGGCTTGTTAAGACGCTCTTGCACCTGTGCGAGGGAAAACTGCAGGATCTTGTTCGTCTTTTCTATGCTGGGGAAGAGCTTCGGAATCAACGGGTTGCCCAGCAAAAACTTGTGGGCGAGGGGGATTTGACCAATCTGTTTATGAAGTTAACTGTTGAGATGGGATATTATGGATAATAGAGGTCGCAACTAACCAGGGACACATAGACCAGGAGACCGCTGATTGCGGCAATGATTCCGTCGAGGTCTTCTCCCTTCTCCAGGAATCCCAAGTCTTTGGAAAAGTTGACTTCACCAAGGACATCAAAAGCAAAGTAATGCATCCACGATACCGGGTTGATTGGCACTTTGCCGTCCTTGGATACCTCACGGAGGCGCTGTAGCAAAAGGCTTACACACTTGTCAACATATGGCTCTAGCCCCACTACGGTATCCATAGAGAAGGCCTTGACAGAGCCACGCTTGAGCCTCATGTGGTAGTCATTGCTCCTTGTAGTGAAAAGTGTTGGGAGAAATTTGCCGCGGTAGATGGCCTCGGCTAAAGGGTAAAAGGCCGACTGCGGAGAGATGCATGATGTCAGAAAACACATTCGACCAGGATAATCATGTTTTGATTCTTATCTGTGGGTGGAACACACCTTGGGGAACACGTTCTGAACGCCGTAAATGGCCCGCATGCTCTTTGGGTCCGCCAGCGAGACATGGTTGGGTCCGATCCTGACAATGTCGCCATAATCCTCATGGACCCGCAGATTCTCTCTGTGCATGTTCTGCTTCCATACTGCTTGCAACTTCCACAAGTTGGAAAAGCTGGCGAGCCAGGGCCCCGGTATGTCCTTCAGACCCTGACGGCGTTTCGTAAGGTAAATTTGCGTGAAAACGATCACTAGCAATGTTACCAACGGGTGGCTTTTCACCCAGGTCCATCCAAGATCCAGGTTCGTGGTAGGGATGGTAAAGGAGTCGGTGGTGTTAGTGGCCATGATTGTACTTGGTGGACCCTTGATAATGAAACGATCCGTAGTTAAACTTGAGAGAGTAAGCCAGTAATGCAAGTCTCAGTATGGCTCTGATTGCCCAATAGGCATTCTACTGCAATTATACAGCCGAGATGAAACAAGACTCCTTTGCGCGGGCAGTCCCTTGTTTTGACTGCTTTTCTGAGAAGTAGTCAAGTAGGCCAATATACATCGCTGTACGGTACAAGTCTGGCAGTGTAGCCTTTCACATGCGCCCTGGCTTCTTCCCCTCCGTAACAATCATTGAATGCCATAGACGGGCGAATCGTATCATGTCCGATTAGTGACATGGCCCTGTAGGGAGTACGGATACTGCATCCTGCAAACTTGCCGCGGGCGGATGCCCAACATAGTTATCAGGCTGCATGCAAGATGGTAATATCCTAGGAAGGATCAGCCGCAGTAGGTATCCCGTCCAATTCAGGGATTTAAAGTTCTCGCTGCAAGGCACGAATCCCACGAGATTGTGGCGCCGGCTCCTGGAGGGAGATGACAAAAAATTCTCAACGACCTAATCGGTCATGTCTTTGCTGACAGAAGTCGATTGCCTAATGAGGAAATGCTTTTTCGGGTAAGTGGGGCTCATTGCAGGGATGAGCCGTGTCTTATTACTAACATCAGATGAGGCAAGTCCTAAGTCGTCCACCCCCTAACCCAAGCTCCCGCCTCTTCCCTTTTCGGCAGAAAAGCAGAGGAGCTTGAGGTGATGCGAAGATATGGTTATTGTACGTGTTTTTTGACAACCCGTTTTGTCAAATACATAGCCCTCTGAATTCTCACTATTTCAGGCAAACTTTCGTCTTTTCATTCCGTAGCCGCCCGATGATTGATGGCGTAGACGCTAGGCAAGAAACCCTGCACAATCAGAAGGGCAATAGGATATGTTTGGGCCGAGAGGTGGGCTGAATATGAACGGGAGAATATTCAAATAGTATATACCTATGTCCAGCAAACAATTTCTTTAGTGTTAAAGCCGTTCTCTGCCATCCATAACCATTCTATTCCATTCTTCTGCTGCTCCACTCAATTTGAGTCCACATTATATTTGCTGCCAATCGCGTCATCGAACATCCAACCCATCATGGGCGACAAACCCCAGAGCTGCCTCGTCCCTTATGTGGACATCGATAAAGTGCCCGCCGAGTTGGCTGCTGCCATTACTCGTCTACCTTACAGACGAAACATCTTTTACCTGCTGGGTCACTCCCATGGAGCATTTCCCCCTCTGATGAGCACGTATGCCTCCTTTTTCGATGGCAACAAGCGCACCTTGCCGCTGTTGGACTGGCAACTGGTTGTATTACGCATCTCGGCCACTCTAGATGCTGAGTACGAGTGGGAGGTCAACAGCCCCGTGGCGCGAATCAACGGTATGCCTGAGAGCAAACTTGACGCACTGAGAGCGACCGCACGGAAAGGTCAGGCCGTGGTGGACGCAGAACAAGAGTTCTCAGTCCGCGATAAAGCCATCCTGGCGCTAGTAGACGAGCAACTTGACACGTACAACAACACCGAGGAAACCGTGGAACACGCAAAGACACTGCTCAGCGTCGAAGAGCTGGTGGAAGTTTACATCGTAATTGGCCTCTACGTACTCATTGCACGCATCACAAAGGGTCTTCGCATCGACCTGGACGGGGAAATTCCAGGTCTTGAAGATAGCTTGAAGAAGGTAGTCACCGAGTGATGGAGGCAAATGCCAGATCCAGTCACTGGGTTATTCGGAACGTAGTATAAATGTCATCAAAGCAGAAGAGAAAGACAGATCAATAGACAGTTGCAATGGCTGTTGTTGATTTCAAATTCGAAAGTTGACAAACAAAAGTAAAAAAGAGGCAGAGACAGCTTCATTATTCATGGTCTCACCCCACTGCCAGAGATTAAAAGTGCACCTGCTTTGGGCCTAGCGCTGCCGGGGGACCTGTGACATCCCGCCCCCACCCCTGTAATTCCCTTATTTGGCTCCTGCCCTGCTTTGTGATTTCTCAGCCGAGCAAACACGGAAACCACAGATTGCTCCTGCCAACGCAGGGTGTATTCAGGAATGGCCAGAACAACGCGGATGGGGGCGGTGAATGGTCCCTTATAGGGAAGGCACACGCCACAAATCGTTGTTGCTGAAAATCAATATATCCTACATCGCCGCACTCTTTTTTCCCTCTCTTCAACCTCTACACACACCTCAAGACGACCACAAGACCCGTGGATTGGAGTGAAAAGCTGAACAGCATCTTCCAGTGTGCCGCCATCCACTTTTCGTCTTTCAGCAAACCTCCGTTCCCGCCCTCGTAAATTCGTCTGGTTTTCTCTCCACCTTGTATCGAATACGACTACATCTTTGACATCCGCGATCTGCTATCCACAATGTCGTCGACATCGACAACAGAGAAGCGCTCGGAGGAGCGTGTCATCCCCGCCAAAGCCGACGAGGAAGCTTTTCGCCAAGAGGGACTCACCAAGGAAGGAGATGTCGACGTTGCTGAGCCAGACGCGAATGCTTCGCCCAGGGATATTCATGGCATTCTCGTGAGCAATGCCCGATCACCAATCGATTGACAAGACGGAAGACTGACACGGTTTGGCTGTAGTGGGCATTGGTTGTGGTCTCCATTCTTTCCAGCATTTTTCTGTACTCTTTGGACAACACCATCGTCGCCGATATCACACCGGTATGTCACCTAACTGCGCTGCACCACTTTGCGACAAAAAAAAAAGCTGATTGGACATAGGCCGTTGTAAACCGATTCGGCGATGTTGTCAAACTACCCTGGCTCTCTGTAGGGTAAGTACGGCCGAATTGAACGAGTATGGGCCAATGAGAGACGATGGGCTTGGACTGACACGCTTTCGCACAGATTCCTCCTCGGTGGTGCCGCTGTCGTTCTACCTTGCGCGAAGCTCTACGGACTTTTCGACGCGAAATGGATGTACATCATTTCCTCAGTCATCTTCAATGTCGGCTCCGCTCTCTGTGGTGCGGCCCCCAACATGAACGCGCTCATCATCGGTCGTGTGCTCGCTGGTGTAGGCGGTAACGGCATGTACCTTGGTGTCATGACTCTCCTCTCTGTCATGACCACAGACAAGGAGCGTCCGGGATACCTCAGCTTTGTGTAAGACTTCCTCGACTATTTTCTTTTTTTTTTCTCTTCCTTTTTGCTGTTAGCAGATCACGATTGCTAACCGCTATCAGTGGTCTTGTATGGGGTATTGGTACCGTTCTTGGCCCCGTGGTCGGCGGTGCCTTTGTCGAATCGAAGGCCACCTGGCGCTGGGCGTTCTACATCAACCTCTGCGTCGCTGGGCTGTTCGCTCCCGTCTACTTGTTCCTCATTCCGTCCTTCAAGCCACAGCCTGGAAGAACTTTCAAGGATCTCATCAAGCAATTCGATGTTGTTGGCACAATCTTGAACTTTGGCGCGATCACCAGTCTCGTCATGGCCATCAACCTCGGTGGATCGCTCTACGCCTGGAACAGCCCTCAAATCATCGCCCTCTTCGTTGTTATGGCTGTTGTTTTTATCATCTTCGCCATTCAGCAGGGCGTCCCCTTCTTTACCGCTCTTGAGAACCGAATCTTCCCTGGCCAGTTTTTCCGCAACATGAACGCACTGTTCCTCTTCATTTGCGCATCCGCCGTCAACACAGCTGGATTCATCCCAATCTACTACGTCCCCCTGTACTTCCAGTTCACGAGAGGAGATAGCGCCATCGACGCCGCCGTTCGCTTGCTGCCCCTCATCATCGTTCTCAGCGCTTCCATTCTCGCCAACGGTCATTTAATGGGACGCTTCAGCTACTTCCAGCCATGGTACGTGGGTGGAAGTGTCCTGGCCCTGATTGGTGGCGTTTTGATGTCCCGTATCACGGCAGGCACGCCCACAGCCAACATTTACGGCTATGAAATTTTGCTTGGTATCGGCACGGGCTGCTACATCCAGGCCGGATATGCCGTCATTCAGGCGGTCATCGCCCCAGCTGACATGGCCTACGGCATTGGTTTCATGATGCTTGGTGGGTTTTACAACCATCCTAATTAACACCAGCGCGTGAGTAAAAGAGACTAATATTCTTTTTCATAGGTCAATTGGGTGGCATTGCACTTGGTCTCGCTGTCGCTGGCGCCGTGTTCATCAATGAAGCACTCTCTGGCCTCTCAGCTCTTTTCCCCGATGTCTCCCGCTCCACCCTGCAGCTTGCCATTACCGGAACGAGTGGCGCCTACTTCAAGTCTCTTAGTCCCGAGCTCCGAGAACAGTCGACAGAAGTCATCGTCGCCGCCATCGCCAAGACTTTCATTCCGGTTTACGTCGGCGCTGCCGTCAGTTTGGTGGTGTCCGTCTGCTTCACGGTGAGTGTGTCCAAATTCTGTTTTATGCGACAGAATTCAACTCTAGAACGGCCGGCTAACATTCGATTGACAGAAACGTAAGCTCTATGGGGACATTGTCGCTATCGCAGCATGATCGGTTATAGATAAGGCACGGGTCAGCTGCAGTCCCGTGAGGCCTTATGGGTTGGACAGATGAAATAGAGAAAAGGCGCGTCATTCAGCAACATTGACTGGTTTGTCTATTGCTTGATACAGAGCTGTTTTTATAAGCCATTTTGAGCTTTTTAGAGGAATGTAATACATTGTGGCCAAGTTAAACCGATGGCATTTCGCAAGTGAGATTCTCCGTCTTTGCGAGGTGAGGGCATGTAGAGTTCTCAACACACACGCCGGGTGCAATGTCCGCTGTAGAACGCATTCAAAATGGCATACTCACGCTAATGCATATATCATAGGCTCTTATTTAGTCTTATGAAGACCGAGGATACGTGCTTAATATATAGTGAAGTATGTTGTTTCTACACGAAACGTACATGAAGGTTATCTTCAGCACCTAACCATAGCTTAATGATTTGAATTGAATACTTGCTGCTTTTGAGAGCGACAATATTTATTGCTTCTTTTACCCCAACAGTAAAATTAATCAAACGGTTTTTCTTTTGTCTGGAAAGAGTATCCTTTACTTAAAGGCTATGGCAACATTCACCAGCATCCAAGCATTTAGGTTGCCAAAAAGCGAAGCAAATTATTGTCATGGTAAGCTTTTCCCCCATGTTGATAGCACTATCTATTATTTTTGACTCGTTCGGCCCTTCTTTGGTTAATTTTTACTTGTGTCTTATGGCGAGTGAATTGTATTATTCGTGGGTAGATTAAAGACATTAGGAAACTACATTTGAATGCTCCTGTATGACTCCACAGTCTATTCTCATTGGCTGCATGCTCTTAAAGCAGTTAGGTAAATGGGTTTTTTGTTAATGTATGTGGCTCAAAACTTGGTCTCTTAATCCCAAAAGCAACATGTTTTCTTTATTTTAACGTCTGCCGTTCAAGTGAGTGACAGTTGAAGCTCTCGCAGCAGCCTGAAATCATATGTTCAAGTCAGTATGACCTTCGATAGAAAGCTTGCAAGTAACTTCATTGACTTCTCCGGCAAATTTGAAAGTCCCCTGGCTACACAGAGAGGCGGCAGATGCGCCAGAGCAATAGAACGTCCATGGCACCTTCTTCGCTTCTAACCGTTACCACAACCCGAATAGTGAGCAGAGCAAGCACATAACTGAAAAGTCTGACTGTGGTCAAAACCTCTAAAATATTGGTTTACAGGACCTTCGGCTGTGAAACGGAAAGTGAAATGTCAGTATCCCAACTGAGAAATGTTATGTCTGTCTTTTCTTCACGTCCAAAACTTAAGTAAAAAGTATTCTGATAAAATCCACAGTGAGAAAAACCTTGTGACTAGCTGTGCAGATCCAATTGAAGAAGTCTTCACCCTAAACACACGTTTTGTTAGAATATCATCTTTTCCAATATTCAAGAACAATCAAGTCCTTCAGTTTTCAGATTTCTAGACCCTTCAGGAGACTATGCTAGGTAGATATGGAACTTAGAAAGCCTTTGACACGTAGGGGGGAATACACTGTATTCAAGCTTTTAATTACTAATTTATCACACAAGACCTTCTATTGAAAGTTCCAGACCAGCTTCTGGTACCCCACATCCTTGCTTTCAGCAGTTTTAAGAGACTCTTGCACAATGGTCTCGAGCGTGGTATGATCGTTTTCCCCTTGTGCCCAGTCTACGATGCGGACATCAGGACACTTAAGGCTTCCATCAGTTAGCAGTCGTGCAATCTTGTGGAACAACGCATCTGCATTAGCGGTCCCGAGTCTACTGAGAACCTCAGAGCTTCTGAATGGCAGTAATGAAAGCCTTCTGTGGAACAAGTGCTTCGTAGTTATCGCGAGACTCCCAGCCGGTCCCCCAAGCATGCCAAGGAGTACGTATTTCCCACCTGGCGAGAGCGTCTCAACCAGTCTTTGGCCTACGTCTCCAAAAACGCTGTCGATCGCCAGCACCAGGTTTTCTTGGAATAGTTCGCCCTCGCGGACCTCCAGCTCCGACTCGGTTATGACCTTTGCAGCACCCAGCTTCAGCAGTGCCTTCTTTGACTCGGACACGCCTTCGCGGTCACGTATGACTAAGATGGCATTGATGCCCTTGCGGCTCGCGATCTGAGCGAGGAATTGCGCAACGCAACTTGTCCCCGCCGATACGATGATCCAGTCCCCTTTCTGTAGGGGAGTCACCTCTTCGAGCAAAAGCCAGGCAACCACTGCGGAAGAGCGCAACAGAGACGCCGCTAGCGGGGGTGTTCCGCCGGGTAGCTTCAGCAGGGATCTCGCGGGGAGGACGGCATGGGTGCGCCAGGTGCCGAGGCCCAGCTCCCGCGGGATGATCACGTCGCCGGGTTCCAAGCTGGGGTCCTTTGACTCGACAATAACGCCACAGCCGTCAAATCCAAGAACCGGCTCCTCATTGACAAGGTACCGGGGCTTGACGGGATACTGGCCTGCCAAAACCATCAAATCGACTCGGTTGATTGGGGCGGCAAGAAATTTGACGAGAACGAAGCCTTCATCTTCCTCGCCAAGGTCGGGTATCTCATGTGAAATGATACCCGAGAGCCTAGGCTTGGCGATTTGATGAACGATACTCCAGGACATTGTGAGGGGAAAGAGATTGTCTAATTGAGTACAGTTCACAATGGAATAATGAGTAAATCTTTGGATGGTCGCCTTTCCTGTTGCCTGTTGGCAATTCTGCGTTATAGTACCTGTTTGTGATTGTCACCTTTTTTCAGAGGAGCTTAGAAGCTTTATAGCGGCATCGTGATGCTTCGCGTGTATTACAATTTTGTTTGACATTTGAAGCATTCAATCTCAGATCACAGCCAACTCAGTGTTAATCAAATTCAGCGTTTATATCAAGTATCCTTTTCCGGTATATCCGATAACGGTATGGCCTCAAATGGAAATAGTGTACGGATCTCAGGGTCTTCATCCTTCAGTAAACCCGCCCCACCCACCTGCGCGACGCTGCATGCATATGAGCACGGCATCACCAGGCTCTGTACTATCCCGTTCCACCTGCCCTATCCGCCCCCTGTACGCGCCGCTATGCAATGTCTAACGACTAATCGCCAAGCCGGGCTAACAAATGTACTGATCCGAGTGCGGAAGCCCGCTCAGCTTACCTTAGTTGGGCAGGTCGCGGAAAGACGGGTTGCTCCACTTGATCTGGGTGATGCCGTCGAAGACGGGAAGGATCAAAACATCGACGCGGGGGTCCTGGACTATGCGAGTGTTGAACTCATGCAAAGCCTCGCCGCAGTTGAGCCAGTACTGGCGGATGTGATCGTTGACCCACGGGGCGCAGTCAGCGCCAATGGAGAGTCCTCGGGCGAAGACTAATGGCATCGACTGTCAGTTTCCAGTTTGGTAGATTGGCGAGACTGCCGCAGGCTTACCGTTGTCGCAGTAGATGATGCCATTGCTGGACAACAACTTGCGGTCCAGAATGGTCTGGACGTACGAGGCATAGCCATCCTTGTTGGCATCGACAAAGATGAGGTCAAACTCGCCCTCGAGTTGCTTGAGACTGCAAAATAAGATGAGTAAGCGGGTACCAAACCCCACTTGCAAGGGACAAAAGCCTACCTTTCATCGGCAGGGCCCTCGATGAGTTTGACACGGTCCTTGACGCCAAACTTCTCGAAAGCCTCCTTGGAAGCTGCAATCATCTTAGGGCTGAGCTCGAGCGTGACGATCTCGGCCTTGGTATCCTTGGTTCCCTCATACCAAGCAATGGCACTGTAGCCACTGTAGCAGCCAATTTCCAAAACTGCAAAAAAGTCAGCTTACGACGCCAGCTGACAAGGAGAGACAACTTACCTCGCTTGGGCTTACGATCCTGAGCTGTGAAGATCATCCAAGAGCCTTGGAGACGGGATGACATTTTGTCCGCGTCGGAAAACTTGCCCCGGGTCCATTTCCAGTGTTCCAAAAGGACGTTGGGGATGGGAGTGGATCTCTCCTCACAGTAGTCGCTGACACGGTCGGCGACCTCCTCACTGAACGGAAGAACACTGCCAAGCATCTTGAAATATGTGGTTTTTTTTTTTTTTTTAACGGGTAGTTAAGTAAATCTGAGGAAGTAACTTCGGAGTCTTGTTCGTTTGATGTCTTGCTATCGATGGTGGTGAAGTGAGTGGTGGCTTTGGAAACAATTCAGTCTTTAATCTCAGGATCAACTCGATTTTATGCCTTTCAAGATTTGCTACGACGTAGCTGACAGAGTGCTCATCTAGAGTTTGTCTACACATCCGAAATCTAGGTTTACACACTGAGCCCGAAAGTGGCAGACGCTTTTCTGGGACATGAATGGATCGCAATACCCGTTAGGAAGGGGAAGGCTACAGGAATCCATGTACGAAAAGTCGAACTCCCCAAAGAGGGAAGCTGGTCGTCAAAGCTCGACCTGATCAAAATGGCAATGCCATCAATCGTCTCAGAAGCGGTTATTTTTTCTCCACTTCCTCAAGACGCCCGGTTCACACCTATTACCGTTTTGAGAACATGAAAACCGACCGGTTCGGATAATGCTAGAAAGTCTGGAAGGTCGAAGCCCTGTAAGGCACGCTGACATGAGGGGCAACCTTCATGTCGCCGATGGCTGAACTTAGCGTCTCGTTAGCCACTCTCGCTTAAGCAAGCATAACGCAAATCGGAAGGCATGTTCCGTAAAAATGTGCCAGCTGAAGAAACCTCTGCTGATAGTATATGCAACTGCCGCATAGGCGGCATTGGAAGATGAGATTATCACACATTGCGCCATTATGCACATGCAGGCAAACGGGACTTTGGTCGACTATCACATCGGGCACCCATTAGCAACTACAACGGTCTGGCTAAGACCGCCAGTAAAGAAGAAACAAATTCTACATGTCTAGATGCGTCTCCAGAAAGTGAGACTGGATATGGACACTGTAACACCCCCGTCGCCATTCTCGGGGATGTAGAAACAGGGGTGCCACGGGCAGCGGCATAATTCATGGGTCTCTACTGGCACAGGTTACGAGCACGAAGTCTTGCAATTTGGGCACTGGGTAGACCTGCTATAACCTGAGATCTGATCATGAGCAAAGTAAGATACTGCCTTCGAGTTTGTTCTCCCCTGGCCAGGCCATTGGGCCTGTATTTTGGGTCTGCCTAGTCTTTTCTTATCCTTACTTTTTACGCAAGAAACTTTCGGGAAAAAGAGGGATGTCGAAGGCTTACCAGAACGTTATGTGACATGCAGGCTCGTAAACCTGCACTGAAGGGGGTGTAGCTGTTGTCAGGCGGGCATGGCCGCTTACACACTAACTGCTTAACTGATGCCACAATAGGCTTTGCATTGTGTGGGCAGTTTTGAGACATAAATTTAGAGCATTGCTTCAAAGGGAGAAGTGATGGCAACTACCTTTCTAAGTGCCGGACAGGCTTGCTTCGGGGCCACCACAAAGATCAGATCAAGGAGTATCCGTTTTAGTCTCTTCATTTCCTCTTTTGGGAATTCTCAGTCTTGATCAATTGCAAAGCTTGAACGTAGGTGGCGTAGGGATATGTTGGCAAGTGTAACGAGGTCCGCACAAGTCAGCACAGTAGGCGTGGAGACATCACCCTATTCATCAGAGATATAGAACAACCGTAATTTGAAGAATTGAATCTACATAAGAATGGGCAGTCACTTGTAATAGGAACATCGCTCGTTCATATGTTGTTTCTTAGGCGCTCTGTACATCAACTGTTAGGAGCTTCAAAATGACCATGTTCATACCACTTACACACGAAGTTGAGGTTGAAGTTGGCCAAATATTGAACGATCCGTTCAAGTCTGTTCCTGGGCACCCGAAAGGATGGTCCGTCTTCCATCCTTCGAAAGTCCATCCGGAACTTGAACGCGTCTTTGAGGCCACCCAGGTTCAGAAGGATATTTGCCAGGAGCAGATCCAATGGGCCACTGCGGAACTCCCTCTGTCGAATCCCCTTCCAAGCTTTCAGACCATCGTAAATTCATGGAACGCTTTGGCATCATATCGTAAGTTATTCCGCTTTACATAGAAAAACAAATCACACAGTCCCGCGCGAGTTCATTCCTCGTTGACTTTTTTGTGATAGACGCTTGCCTCCGATCAAGCCTTTCCACGGACTCACAAACTGGCCACACTTTTGTCCGTGTTCTACGACGCATCGAACACATTGCACCGGCTACCTGGCCTACGAAGATTTCGGATGAAAGACTTGCTCATCTTATTTGGGAGTGCACGGATCAAGGCGACTTCAAACTTCACCTTAACTTTCGCAAAGCTCTTCTCGATGCGAAGTCACTCGAAATCATCAAAACAGACTTTTTTCTTCTTCTCGCTGGCCTTCCTCCATTAGAGAGGTTGGGATTCACATCCTACGTGAATTATCTCAAAAAGACTAAGAATGAGAGCAAATCAAAAGCATTTTGGGCAGAATCTTTTGCTAGGACCGTTCCTTCGTCTTCGTCCAGTGCATTGCTCTTTTCTGCCTCTCCCAAAAGCAATCGCCGTCGGTCTTTAACCGTTCAACTCGATGCATCGAGGTGGCAGAATCCGGAAGACCCTATCCTGCAAGGAACTCAAACATACTCTTCCCGTAGGGCTCTCTTCGAGCTCACTTGGGCACTTGTAGTCAGTGAGCATACCGATACGCAAGATGTTATTTTTGGCACAGTCGGTCGTGATAACGGCTTCCTTGGCGTCGATTCGACAGTAGGGTGCCTGGATCACACATATCTTGTCAGAGTCAATGTGTCTCAAGACTCTATTGTGGGCCATCTGGCCGGGGTTATTGACGAATATCATACTGTCGCAGAAGGTCATGCGTTTGTTGGCTTGAACGAAATTCTACGACAGCTGTCATCGCGCAAAACAGTTGAGTCTGTTCTCAACTACACCCAGGGATCTTCTTTTCAATGCCTTGCACCAGGATTAGAAAAGTTCCCCATCGTGCTGACAGTATGCGACTCGGACCATCCTTCAATGACCTTGACATACCTCGAAAGTATTCCTCATCGCGATGCTGAGATTATCATGGATCAAGTTGTGACTGGACTTCATGATGTTTTCAATAACATTGACTCGGCGCATCGTACGCTTGGAGACGTCAACCTTGTATCGGAGAGAGAACGATCCAGTCTTCTTAGTGGAGCTTTCGTACCACCGCAGATTCATCCTCCAACTCTATCCAGTCTCATTGAAAAGTCCCTCTCTCTTTACCCTTCTCGTATCGCCGTCACTTTCGAAGACAAGGGGTCCATCACATACAAAGAGCTCAACGGTCTTGCAAATGGTCTAGCCAGAGCCCTACAATTGCCCAGGGGTGGGGTTGTGCCTCTTCTAATGGAACGCTCAGTTAACTTGGTTGTTACAATCCTGGCTCTTTTGAAGTCAGGTGTTGCATATACCATCCTAAATCCCGATATTCCAGCTGAGAGAAATGCGCAAGTCATAAAAGAGTGCTCGCCTATCGTCATCCTGGCGGACAGGAAATATTCTCATATGATCCCGTCGGCAAGCAGTATCGAGGATCTTCTCACTGACAGCGCCACCCTGTTTACGCAAGACAATGACTGGAATTTGGGAAATAAGCCTGAGCCGGACGACGTGAGCTACATTATTTATACTTCTGGTTCAACCGGCAAGCCGAAAGGTACCCTGATCACCAACCGGGCTGCGGCAAATGGAATCATGCAGCACCAGACTCTTGAGGATACGACCAAAATTCTTCTTTTCTATAGCCCAACAGCTTCTGCGGCGCAAAGAACCTTTATTTCCACATTGGTTCATGGAGGGACAATTCTTTTAGCAAGCAAAGAGTCGCTGGCTGCCAACCTTGCCGGTGTGATCAACAAGTACCACGCGGATTTCATGGAGATTACGCCAACCGCGCTTTCACTGCTCCGTCCATCCGATATACCAAATATCAAGCAGATCACGGTCGCCGGCGAGAACATTCCGCAAGCTCTGGTGGACACATGGGCGGCCAACAAAGACCTCACCGTTCGCAACAGGTATGGTTCTAGCGAATGCACCCAAATGAGTCTTGGTCGCCGCCTGAGGCCTGGAGACAACCCCAGATTACTGGGCGCTTCTGCTGATACAACTATTACCTATATACTACGCGTTGGTTCCAACGAGCTCGTTCCTACAGGCGTGGCAGGCGAACTTTGCCTCTCCGGCCCACAACTCGCTTCAGGCTACCTCCACGAGCCCGAACTCACCCGCAGGGTTTTCGTCCCCAATCCATTTGGGGAGGGGAAGTTGTATCGAACAGGCGACAGAGCCCGAAAATTTGCCGACGGTTCAATTGAGATCATCAGCCGTATCGACTGGCAAGTCAAGATCAATGGCAACAAAGTCGAGCCAGCCGACGTCGATCACGCTATTGTTCAACACAAGAGCGTCGCGACTTGCGCTACATTCGCAGACAAGGTAGGGGGTTATCTTTCTCTTATTACTGCGGTGGTGCCAGCAGATGAGCAACAACCCTGGAGCAAGCTTCTCCCCATTCTAAGAAAGCATGCTCTCGACTCACTGCCCTCTTACATGGTACCGAGCTTCTGGATGCCCCTCCCAGAACTTCCAAGGAGCGTTAACGGTAAAGTCGACCTGAAAAAGCTTCGGAGCCAATCAAGTGAGCTTGGAGTGGAGGGCTTTGCGGCTCTCGCCATGTCAAAGGACGATCAAGAAGAGGCCATAACCGACGACTTGGAACTAAAGATCGCCACCGTTTGGGCGTCTGTAATTGGCATCCAAACGCACATCATCAAGCGCCATCACTCATTCCTCGCCCTCGGAGGAAACTCTCTTCAAGCAATCAAAACAATATCTAATCTCCGTAGGGAAGGTGTTGTCGTCGGGTTCAGCACTCTTCTAACCGATAAGTCATTGCAGCATGTGGCTGAAATAGCCCGCAATCGAGATTATGATGCTGCAGTCCAAACTGAGCCGTTTTCCTTGATCAAGAATGTTGAGTTTCTAGATCGTCTCAAGGGCCAGATGGAAGCAGCAGATGCGTATCCAGCAACTCCACTTCAAGCGGGACTTCTCCCCACGCTAAACGAAGAAGGCGACCCCTACATATACCGGCGCACATGGGATGTCCACGGCTTAGACTTCATCAAGCTTAAGGCGAGCTTTGAGCGGATTTTTCACTCCAATGACATTCTGAGAACGGGATTTGTGTTACACGATCGCTCGTTTATTCAGGTTGTTCGATCGGATCTCAGCCTTCCTTGGAGCGAAGCCAACTCCTCACTTGAAGAGTACATCCAGGCGGATACAAAAGTTGACCTGCCCCTTGAAGGTCCCCTCTTCCGCATTGGACTTGTGGACGCAAAATGGCTGGTCGTTACTATGCATCATTCTTTGTGTGACTTCTGGTCCCATGGCTTTTTATATGCAGATGTTGCCGCAGCCTATCTCGATCAACCAGTACCAACTCGACCTAGGTTTGTTGAGTTTGTTCGCCATGTCGTACAACAGGATTCACCCACTGCCCGCAACTTTTGGTTGTCATATCTTCAAGGAGCATCAAGATCACGACTCAACTTCACACCAGTTGAGCAAACGGCTAGAATTAGCAAAAACGTGAGTCTCAATCTTCATGCACGAGTCCAACCACTTGGTGTCACCACTGGAGCTGTTGTCTATACTGCTTGGGCAATTGTGCTCTCAGCCCACCAGAACTCACAAGACGTCACATTTGCTACCACTCTGTCCGGCAGAGAGTTGCCCATCCTTGACGTGGAAAACATTGACGGACCAACCGTCACCACTGTACCCCAGAGATTCAAGATTGGTTCCCAACAGTCACTCATCAATCTTGTAAGGGACGTTTGCATGTCTGGGTTTGTAGGAGTGACTCAACATGCCCAGATAGGTATGCAGGGGGCTCTCCGGGCTGCCAATTTGCCTTCTGATCATTTCGACACTTTGGTCAATCTTCTAGCCAAAGAAGATGAGGGAGAAACTGCTCGGAAAGTATTCAAACCTTACGGATCGCGGCCAATTTGGGACACACCGTACACTATGCTTGAAATTGTCCCTAACGAATCAGACACTACTATACGCATGTCGGGCAACATAGAGTCATTGAGACTCCAGTTTCTCTGTGACTCCTTCATCAAAGTCGTCGGCGCTATTCTTGAAACCCCGGAGCAACATGCACTAAGCATAGATGTGATGGGGGATGCGGAGCGGACATACTTGAACAACACGTTGTCTAACCGAGACACTCTGCGTACGCCTTCCGCTCGACTTCTCCATTCAGAGTTCGAAAAGCGCACGTCGATGAACCCCACACACACGGCCATTGAATGGGATGGTATCGAGCAGGTCTCATACGCCAGTCTGAACAAGCGCTCAAACCACTTGGCGAATTTGCTGATCAGACGGGGTCTGCAGCCCGGCGACCGCATTGCGCTGATGCTTGACAAGTCTGTCGAGGCTGTTGTTTGTATCATTGGATCTCTCAAGGCTGGTCTGACGTACGTTCCCTTGAGTCCAGAAAACCCAGTCGAGCGTAACGCCTTTATTTGTCGAGAGACGTTGTCTCGACTTCTTATCCTCCACAAAAACGACGAGAGCTTTTCTTCCCAGGCACCTGATTTGGAAACAATGGTCGTCGAGGATATACCGACCTTAGAGGACGAAGAAACACCAGTAGTTGCTGTCAATGGCGATAATCACGCGTACATCATTTACACTTCTGGAAGCACAGGACAGCCGAAAGGAATCAAAGTGCCCCATCGAGCCGCAGCAGCAGCTATTGAGAGCGGTTCCCGCGTGGAAGGACGGTTTGATGGCGAATGGCGCGCTCTGCAAATGGCCAACTATGTGTTTGACGTCTCGGTGCTGGACATCTTCAATACACTGAGCACAGGTGGCACGCTTTGCATGGCGCCAATGGAAAAGCTCCTGTCTGACATGGCAGGTTGCATGAATCGCATGCGTGTGCGTCAAGCGGTCCTAACCCCCACTGTTGCAAGTCTCGTGCAACCGAGCGACGTCCCTCATCTGGATACACTGATCCTCGCCGGTGAGCAAGTACCAAAAACCGTTGTAGACACTTGGAGGCCCGTCTGCAGGGTGCTGAACTCTTACGGGCCGACTGAAACGTCAATGATTGTTTTCTCCAAGGAAATCCAGCTTGACGGAGGCCCTGCGGCAAACATTGGACGCCCTTACCCCACCGTGATGGCTTTTGTCGTCGATCCTGACGGTGATACCCTTCGTCCGTACGGGGCAGTTGGAGAGCTCTGCATAGCGGGCCCTCAGCTTGCGGATGGTTACCTTGACCGAGACGATCTCACGGCAGCAGCCTTTGTTCAGAGCGAGACGCTTGGCTTGCGCATATACCGCACCGGCGATCTAGCTCGCTGGTTACCCGGCGGTGACCTTGAATGCCTGGGACGCAAAGACAGCCAGATCAAGATTCATGGATTCCGTGTCGAGCTTGGGGAGGTTGAATCCGCCATCAGACAGTCAGGGCTTGTGACGGATGCCGTCGTTATGCTTGCGAATGTCCACGAGAAGCCCCAGCTGGTTGCTGTTTGCATATTCAAACCCTCATCTGAAAGCGCCAAAGACGCTACGTTACAAACGTCCGAACCGTCAATCCCGTCAATTCAGCCCGCAGAAAAGCACCGAAGCAACTTTTTAGCGCTTCAAACTCGACTGAATTCTCTGGCTCACTACATGATACCCAAGGTTGTGATCCCCATGAATGATCTTCCAATCCTCCCATCTCACAAAGCCGACCGCAAAGCGCTCATAAAAATGATTGAGAGCTTGGATGTTCTAGAACTCTCTGCCTATGTTCTCGAGACCGCTGGTCAAGACATTGAGATTGTACCCGCGGAGACGCCTTTGGAAAAAGCTCTCGAAGTCATGTGGGCGGAGGTTCTTAACATTTCTACCACGAAAATTGGACGAGAGGCCAATTTTCTGTCTTTGGGAGGCGACTCTATCGCCGCCATCAGCTTGGCAAGTATGGCTCGTCAGGCCGGCTATTCCCTTGGCGTAGCCACCATTCTGAAAGTTCCGAAACTCAAAGAACTCGCCATGAAGATAACTATTGTTGAGAAAAGCGAATTGCCTACAAAGCCTATATTCGAGGTGTCGCAGAAGGTACGAGATAGTATCGCGGCTACAGGGTTGGTCTGGGAAGAGGATGTCGACTATGGTAAGTCTGCTGTATCCTTTATTTAGTAGATTCGCAGGAGCTAATTATCTTGAAGTCTACCCTTGTCCTCCAGGCCAAGTGGAATTTCTTAACCAGGGAGGTCGAGAAGATCAGCTTTGGGTGTTGCACACGGTCAGAAGAATGCCAAGTGGGGTTGACTGGGAGCGTTGGGTCGAGTCTACAACCGAACTTACCAAAGTGGAAGACATCCTTCGGACTTCGTGGATGAAGCTCTCCGAGACCGAGTGGATAGGGATGGTACTTCGCAGTCCCCAGCTCGATCTGACATGTGTTCGGTGCCAGAACGAACAAGAGGCGGCTTCTGTCATTGAGGCGACTTGGAATGAAAGATTCGTCTTCGGAAAGCCATTCATACGGTACACGATCATCACCTACCCCGATAACTCGTGGGATCTTGTTACCAAACTTGATCATGCTGTTTACGATGGCACGCTGCTTCGCATTTTCGACGATCATTACGGTTCCATCTTGCGAAAACAGCCAATCCCAAGACACACCACTTTCAAGGACTTTGCTTTCTACATTTTCGAATCAGACAAGTCAAGGTCTCTCGATTACTGGACCAAAAGGCTTGACGGATGGGATGCAGCCGTGAGTCTTCATCAAGCGTCTTGGGCGAAGGCCCCAAGTCCCTGCACCGACAGCATCATCAGGCGACCTCTTTCAACGGCTGGCGTCGACCAGGCTGCTAATTCTTTGGGAGTCACACCATCCATTCTATTCCAAGGATCATTCCAACTTTGGCTTGCGGGAGCTACAGCTTCTTCTGATGTCGGGTTCGACTACCTGCTTACAGGCCGAAACGTTGACCTCCCTGAGCCACAGACTATCAACGGCACTGTTGCAAACTTCCTTCCGGTGCGCGCAACAGTTGATCCGGAAGAGCACCTTGCCTCCTTTTTGGGCCGCACACAAGACGACTTCTGGGCTATGACTGATCATGGTGACGTTGGGCTAGACCAGATATTCCAAGCTTCGGGGTTGAACCGACAAGAGGTCGGCAACCGTGCCCTCTTCATATATCAGCCGTTTGAGCCTGCGCCAAAGGATGATCCCAATGCCGACTTCAGATGGCTTGTTATGGCAAAGTGCAAGGTACGTATGCCGACGCCATATGTTTTGGCGGTGGAAGTACACAAAGCGGCTGGCAAGACGCACAGTCTTAAGATTTCGTACGACGCGACTGTTATGGGAGTCAAGGCAGCTGAGAAAGCGGCAGATGAGATTGTGGACATTATTCACAGAATGATCAATCTCAAGGGTGACATGTTAGACAAAAGGATCAAGGACGTCCAGATGGAGGCTTAGTACTAGGTAAAGTCGGCAAGTGATGGTTTTGTATGTTTGCAGTTTCAACGGCGGCGTCTTCCAGAAAAGGGACAAGTTTTACAAATCAGGAATTTGACCAACTAAAATGTTACATGGGGGCGGTATTTGCCGACATTTTCATTTGACATGGGGATCTTTTGTCTACTATTATATCTACTATCATGCATTCTTTGTGGAGTCATTTTTCTAGAAGGCAATATAGGTTGCTGTCCGTCTATGCTATTGTCATCAAAACTTGTCGAGCATGTCCAACGGACCTTTTCCCCCATGACTTGGCTTAGACGGGCCCGCAGGCATGAAGCGAGCCCTTGCGCTGTGTACCCCACACTGAGAGACCTCTACACACACTAGACAATTCACGCATTGGCTTCACCGCAGCTACATGGGTAATGATGAAGTGATTGACCGCTCTTGCGATACTCGTTTCATTTATTGCCCTTCTGAGATTCTTATTTCTGGTAAATGGAGAAATAATAGCATCAAATGTTATCAATTTTAGCTACGGATCAACGTCCCACCTGCAAGGGCGCGCCCTGGGATATGATATAGTCGAGCTTCAGACCCCTTTTGGAGTGTCTCCCTTATGTTGCCTGCACTGCTCCACATTATATCGGATCTCTGTCTATCTTGTTATGGGGATGAGAAGATGCCAATTAGGTAACGGCTACAAGCCAGTACGCCCTTGCGATGACTAGTCTTACATCAGCCCCACGCCTCACGCTGTTCGCTTGACCACTTGTTGACCACTTGTCGAAACCGTAATGACATAAATATTTTGGACAAAACGTGAGGATGGTGATTGTTTAGTCGTGACTTATCAAGAAGCTTTCTGAACCTATTTTCATACTTAATCTAGCAATGTCTCAACCACCTGAGACGATAATCATTGTTGGCGCTGGCATTGTCGGCTCGGCTTTGGCCTATTATCTATCCTCCTCCGACACGACCCGCAACATCAAACTAGTTGATCGGTCTTTTCTTCCTCTCCTTGGTTCAACTGGCCATGCCCCTGGCTTCGTCGGTCAATTCAACGAGTCTGAAGTGCTCACGAAGTTGGCTATTGAGACCGTATCGGAGTACACCAAGATTCCAGGGGGCTTCGAGAATGTTGGTGGGTTAGAGGTAGCTTTTCAACCCGAAGGCGTTCGCCGACTTGAGTCAAGATGCGCATCCGCATTGAAGTTAAATCTTTCGGCCGAGATTTTGAGCATCGAAAAAGCCCATACACTTGCGCCGACCTTGGTTCGTGAATCTCAGTCCGGAACAGCCCTCTTCTTCCCCACGGATGGAACTGCAAACGCAACCAAAATTACATCGTTCTATCAAAATGAAGCCAAAAGCTCTGGAGTCCATCTAATTCAGGGCGATATCACTGGACTTGTCTCTTCAGCTGGTCGAATCACGGGTGTGAAGATTTCCAAGGAGGGGTCAGACGAGATGTTCAACGCCGACAAGGTCATCCTGACAACAGGGATCTGGGCCCAAGATCTCTGTCAAGGATTTGACTTCCCTATGCCCGTTGTTCCAGTGGGTCACCCATACTTATATGGCAAGGCTAGAGATTCGCTGCCGCAAAAGATTCCTTTTGTGCGATGGCCGGAATATCACACCTATGCCAGGGATCACGGAGGACGATATGGGCTTGGAAGCTATGATCATGCACCTACAGGATGCAAGCCGCAAAATGGAACGGCTATCGGGGAATGGATTGCTGATTTCAATACACCGTTGAAATCTGCTATCGATCTTTTGCCAGAGGCTACAGCTGAGGAGTTCAGCAATGGAGAATCTTTCAATGGAATTTTCTCAATGACGCCGGATAATATGCCTCTTGCGGGTCCTGTTCGCTCGATAGAAGGACTCTACATGGCTGTGGCAGTCTGGGTAACACATGCTGCTGGTACAGCCAAGTTCTTGACCAGACTTATTGATAATGCCAACGTGGATCAGGGTACTAAGGCGGCCCTTGACCCCGAGAGGTTTAAAGGTCAGGACTCGGTAACACTGGAGGAGAAGTCTCTCGCGGGATATAATTCAATCTAAAAGACTGTATCAAGCGAAGAGAGCAATTAGACAAAGCCCATAATCCAACAATAATTTCCACTCAAACTATGCAGCATAGTTCATCGAGACATATTCATAACTGTCCAGAGAGTGGGTCCTTTCTTTCAGCAAGTTCATGCACTTTTTGAAGCAGTGATCAGGCAAATCTTAGCATTACTTTGATTCTACTGTGGTAAAGGCTTTCGCAACCCTGACTGCAGAAAAGAAAAGAAGCTAACAAAAAAAGAACCTTCTAACTAATGAATAAGTATGAGAACTAAGGAACCGTAAGTTGCGGGTGATTCTTCATAAGCAGAGACAAGCGTTGCATAGTGTCCTCGTGGATTTGAGCCTCGAATGAGGAACCTTCTGAGTTGGAGGCTCGTGCTATGTAAGCGGCTGCAAGTCCTCGAGGACGACTTATGTGCTGAATATGTTCCTCCATTTTCTTTGCATTCGCTTCCGTGGCGATGGTCTCCTTTGCTCGAGAAATGACTTCTTTGAACTTCACGTTGTTTAAGATTTGACTCCAAGATCGGTAATGGTGCGATTCGGCCCCCATTTCCAATGGTTCACAGAGTATGAAGAAAGATCCATCATGAATCTTGGACCGAAGAATATTCCAGCGAGTGCGTGCGGGGTTGAGCTCGTGCTCCGGTCGTAACAGCTGCTCCATTGCGGTTGTCTGGTAGAATGTGTCCAGTCTGGCGGCCAATCGGTGAAGAACAGACACTAGGAAGCTTGCCAGTTGTGCGTGGTCCTAAACAGTCAGCCGGGTAAGAGATATAATACAAGGATAAACATACCTGTTTGTCGTCACCGTTGTCTTTTTCTTTAATGGAATCAAATGCTTCGAGGCCTGTAGCGCAGTAGTCGCGTAAGCTCTCGAGGAATTCGAGGTCTATTTTTGTGACAGCTTGTGCATAGCGGAGCAGACTCTTGATGTGATATTGAACTTCATGGTTGCTGCAGATCCACTTTCCGATCTGGGCAACTTCTTTGGCTACTCTGTCGCACGATGCAGATGCCTGTGCGCGTTCTACTGTACCAAGAACGTCGGGCATCCGCGTGCCTTTGGCCCCTTTGCTCGCAATCACGTAGGAGATCTGAAGATATATCGCTTGCAACTGGGTCTGTGACTGGTCAAAATTTGTCCATAATAATCTGTGGAAATACTTACCCCGAACAAAATGGATATGCCGCTCTTCAGAAGGCGGGACTGGAATTGATAAAACTTCCGAATGCCACCGGAATCTAGCATTCCGCCGGATACCCACAAGGAAGAGCTTTCGAGTAGGTCCTGGACTTCCAGCCCAAGTGTGGTGAGCAACTCAACGCTTGTGCGCAAATATTGAGACCAGGAATCGTATAGTCCAGAAATATCAGCATCGACGAACTTAGGCGCAGGTGCAAGGTTTCCGATGAAGTACTTCGTCAAGAGACTTGCTACTTCGGGATTGTTGGTGTGAGCGAGGTCATCAAACGTTCGCGATGCATCAATTCCTCCACTCGCAGCGACAATCAAAGATCCGCCGGGGTGGAGCGGAAGAAAATCAGTAATGTCGTAAACGGCTCCATGGACACCTATCCACATCCGAGCATCCGGTTTATGCCCAGTGTTTCTGGCTAGCTGGGCGATAGAGATTACCTCTTGCTTTTCTGAAATCTGTTGAGGAGTCATGAAAATATCTGAAAATTCTTTCTTAGTGTTCTTGATCTTTTGAATCAAAATATTCGAGAACTTACCAAGCATGAATCTCCGTTCAGCAAAAGCGGTTGCGACCAGCTCTTCTGCCTGGGCCTTCGTCACATTCTGGTTGTTATACATCGCTCGTTTGAGACCACTCATGACCGTCTCATAGAGAGAAACAGATCCACAGACGTAAAGATGACCACCCAAACCTCCCTGCTTCTTCGGCATGATCATTTCATAGACAGTTCTTCCATATTCGACAATCGCTGCGTCAATACGTCTCGGTTCGGTGTGCTTCTCGTCCATTTCCTTGGTAGAGGGGTTATACTGAAGACCATTGGTGTCTCTCGAGAATGCGACATGGACTTCCAGCTTTCCGTGCCGGGCATAATTGCGGATCTCTTCTTCGTACAAAAACTTTTCGCGGGATTGTACTCCGAGAAAAAGGATATTCCTTCCAGCGCCTTGGGCCCTGGCCTGCCAGAATCCACGGAACGGTGCAATTCCCGAGCCACCAGCGAACATGACAACCGGTGTTGAATGTGAGTCAGGGAGATGAAAATTCAATGGTTGAGAGATGCCGATCAACACAGGCTCTGCTTCGCCAGCATCATGGTTCAAAGAGTTGATCACGGGGTCCGGATTGAGAAAGTCGCTACTGACACCGCGTCCCTGAACAGACTCGCTTTGGTCAATTACCGAAGAAATCTTGAAGCTGGAGCGTGCTACCGTAAGGTCGATAGTAGATGGCAGCAACTCCCTGGAGAAACTGGATATACTGTAGGTTCGAGGGACTTCAACAGGAATAAGATCCAGCAGCCATGAAATATCTGACAACTGAAATGCCCCATTAGTCGATTCAGCGCCTGCTTGAGGTAGTGCAAGTTGAAGCAGATCTCCGAGAGAACCTCTAACGGGCCACATGTCGCTTGCTGAGACCTTTTCAATGATATCTGATGGGGTTTGAAGCATTCGGCGGACCTAAAGAGATGTAAGTAATTAAGTAAAAACTCCTTGTGCGGTCCGCTAACCTCTGCTACGACAGGTTTCGTCAAAGGGGCTAAATGGCCTCGTCTAAGGATATCGTAGACTGTTAAGGTACCGGAGAACGTTTCACCTTCCACCTTTGATAAGTGTGTCGCGAAGCGTTTCCATTCTTTGTGTGAACCTAATGGAACATCTTGCTTAAGTATGTCTCGGAGGCTCAGCGCAGAAACGACCTTCTCAATCTCAGACTGCGAGTTTAACGGCATAACCGCCAGTCGGTCACCAGGCTGGAACGTAATGCCAGTTTTGGCTAAGTCGAACGTAACCATACCTGTACTTCGTACTGGGTCTCGGTCAATGTGGCTCCTTTTAAGAATGCGTGAACTGAAGCGGCACTCTTCAAATGATCCACGCATCTCATGAGGCTCGACTGTGAGATCCTGGTTGTAAGGCTCTAGCCGTTCTTTCATAGAGTTTGAGAGAAGTTGATGCGTTTCTTGCCATAGTGTTCCAGTTTTGCCCGCCTCGGGGTTGCCGTTGGTACCTGCGCGGCCAGTTTTGGCGGCTATTTCAAGAAATCCATAGACTTTGTCTATTGAGAGTTAGTATGAATCTTCACCCAAAATTGGCAGTCTAGTTGTTTTGGGACTCATGTTCGAAGTGAGAAGATTCTCCCAGCCGGTTATAAGCCCAGAAGTGATATATCAGTACACACACAAGCGACTTACATCTGTGCGTTCCCATAAATCCTCGTTCTCCCGCGTAGGATTCCACAATACCATGAAGAACTCCTTTCAGGCAGTGATCCCCAGAAGCCTTGATATAAGCATGGATGGGGTAGTGATATTCGATAGCAGCGATAAATGCGCGCACATTCATAGGCAGCCAAGAGCGGACGTGGAATGACTCAGAGCCTATGAAGCTGTCGTACTTAACCCTGCCCAGGAAAGCGTCCATGAGTTGAAATAGCGGCAGAGCCAGTCCGCTCATCATTGGCACCCTAGTCGATAGTGGTGCTGCCCACTTGGCATATCTCGCTCCCCACTATTGAGTATTAGCATTTCAATGTCTAGGCCACATTGTGGCTGGAATGTCCATACCACCACGGGGTTTGTAAAGTTTTCTCCAGCATTGGGGTTGACGGAAATAGTTTTGTGAAAGATATGGCTCAACTGATCGATGCAATCTTTGATGCCAATCAAAGCATGAAGTAATCCCTTGTTGTCCTTAAGCATGACTTTCTCTTGACAAGTAGCCATGAGCTCAACAAGCGGCTGACAACAACCAGTGACTTCCACAAAGCAAAGATTAAAGGTCTGCTCGGCTATATCATCAAACACCTAGAACTAATAGTGAGCGCGAAAAATTTATAAGGAGGTTAAAAACCTACCGGCCACATGAGATCCATGTTCTCTCGACGCTGAAGATAAGGATCCACAGCCGTGGCATCCCGAACTTTGTACTATTGCCTTATCAGCAGAGTTTCGTTGCCATGCATACAAGTGTAACTCACGTTGCACATGGTGATGTCTGCCATTGACAAGAATGGAAATGGTCGACCAGCTCGACTGTTGATTTGCTTTAAGGGTATTGCCACACATGGTGGCAGCCCGCTTGTTTCTGGGTCATCATTTGCACCGCCATTTAGTTCCAAACCTATGCCGTCGTAGCCATCATTACGCTCTTCATAGCGGAAACTAGTAGCACAGTTAATAAAAGGATTTTGATGGAGGCGACAATACTTGCGTGTGTGCTAAAATTCCCAACGTGACAACTGCAGCCCACAATGCTGAATCCGGGATGACTTCAGGAAGACCCAAGATCAAAGGCAAGGCTCTAATCTGCTCTCGAACTTTGCCACGTGAGACTACCGCAGGCATTCGCTCACACAAGTCCATCCAAACTCGGCCTGGTGACAAAGCCAGTGCTATTCGTGAATCAGATATATCGGGAGCTAGGAAGCCATGCTTTGAGGATAAATGACCATCCTTCCATCCTGTCGAAGGGCCAACAGCTTCCGCACGAAGCAAAACTCTCCGAGCTGGAGCGCCCAAGGCGGCAGCCAGCACATCAGTATCGCTTGGAATCAGTGACTCCTTGTCAATATTTGATGTACTTTGTTTGGTCAAGGGCTCAACATATAGTAAGTCTGTGATGGTTTTACGTTCTTGTTCTTGCAATCCTAGAACAGATTGGGAAAATTCTGTGGGCTATGAATTCGTTAACAGTGGCCTGCTTCTTTTCTTCAGGGAGTTCCTACACTATCAGGTTGGAAGGGCGCATATTCTGATCCAGGACCCGCAAAAACGCATCCGGTAGGGCGCCTCTGGATTGATCCTAAATCGGAACAGGAGTTAGGGGCCCCATTGTGGGGTAAAAAAGAGTATTCAGACATCGTAATCGCGAAATTGTATAGGGTCGAATTTGATGAGACCTTCACGAACGAGCAGCAAAAGACGGGCCGTTTGCACAAGCAAGGAAGGGCGGTCCGACTTTATAAGCTAGTTCATTAGGAAAGAGGAACAAATCTAAGACAAGAGGAATTAATTCTCCGAAAGGTGGTTGTGACTTCACAGGCTATGTGGCCGCTAGAGCATCTAGAAACGGATCTGGTAGTAGCTGGTCTCGATCTGTTCTGCATTAGGTCCAAAGGTAACTCATCACATGGCAGATCTTAATCTCGCATTTAAGCTTGGTACATAGTTGTAGTAGGGGTCCGAGACAAGCCTAAGTAAGATTCACTCGGCGACTACGGGGATTTCTTTTTTAGCGTCACAGGGCAAAAATACCCTGGCTGGAGCTTGAGGGTGGGGGGTTGGAAGCAACGGAATGAAGTCTAGATCGTCTAAGAGGGCCTCTGCTCCAACACACGTGAGAACTATGGTCGTGCACGTGACAAGAGCCTCTGACGCAGAATTAACCACAGTGGCTGGGAAGGGTTCTAATGGCGACGGACATTTCGAGACTAACAGGTGCGGGAAAGAGCTGTGGAATATCATTGGCTCAAGTGACTTCTAGCCTTATCCTGCCAGTGTGTTGGCACTCTTTCCGATGAAGTTGTTAGTGACATAGTAGTGGTTGTGTTTAACCCGAAGGCGTTGGATTTGAGTCACGGTTGCAGATTTGGTTCCTTAGTGCGGAGGTGGGGTAAAAGAAACCTTAAACCTTATTGTTACTTGGGACCCGAAGTTGCCGCGATAGGCGATCGCAAGCGGCAGGATTTGGTAGGCTGGCAGTAACCACCATTCGCTTCTGTATTTCACATGTCAGTGTATCATAATCTGATCTTTCTATAAAGAGTTAATTCAGTTGCTCCCACTCTCACTTAGGTCTTCAACCCTCTCCAGACCTGATGCTGTCCCGACTGTATATATTCGAATACCAGATACTACTAACCCTAAACTCAATGCCTCGTAGAAGGCATGGTTTTGTATTTTTCACTCATCTTCCTATAATGCGGCTCCACTATACTTATAGTCTCTTGGCCGAAAAGTAGTCACTCATGCACGACACATACAGCTTCATCTATTACAACCCAGTGCTTTACCTCGCTTCAACGCACAGTTGCCATGTATAGATACGGCTTCTCTATATGTTTCACCGTTACTATAGAATGTGGTAGCCTTGACTTTTCCGTTGGCTAATACCGGCCTCATTCAAGCGAATTGCACTGACTACACGAAACCGAGGGTCAGTATAGGCAACGTGCCTGCAGGTTGAAATGTCTTGAAACCGGTCAGGTTTGCAGTTGCGACCTACAGCTGCCTCTCGAAGGGTTTCATCCAGGGTGCCGTGCCGTTATGTATAGCACGTTGGGCTACTTTTCTTACTAAGAGCAGGTGCAATCAACTCTTTATATGCATGTCTATATGCGGTGTCTTTGACTACTACTTCAGTTGGCACAACATTTAGAAATGAGATATTCCCACCTCCAGTCATTAATTTATTTAGCGTTTTGACGCTATATACTTATTTTTAAATTTGTAATTGTACGCCACTATGTGCACTTCGTCAGAGGCCACTGTAAGTATTGGCACAAGTTATTATCATATCAATCCAAACACTTCCAACGTTTTTGATTTTTCGCTTTGCCTTTCAGTTGGTTTTTCCATTTTCTATCCTACTCGAAAGGCTACATTTATAGTCTTTTGGATTCATACGTAGACTGTACAGCCTATTGCGAGGTGATGAAACAAATGCAATGTTTCGATCTTGGAGCACACACAAAGAAAACTTGATGGGCTTATCCTCGTTTTACTACAACTTTTTAGAATCTTGAAGACAATTATATATCCTTAATTACTATGTAATTACTGAACTGTCCTATGCTCCAGTAGACATTTAAGGTCCAAGCTATTATATCATCATATGCCTGATCGTAAGATCAGTCACGCTTCTCTCCTCGCGTATCTTCGACTGGTTCGGCCAACTTGTCACCACCAGTAAACTCGAACACTAAATTAGATTTCAAGTCAGCAATTGTCTTTCAAAGTAATGACAACAAACTCTTGGGTCTTGGTATCGGGGTAAAACACTTACAGTCAACGGTAGCAGTCTCGAACTTGCGTGCTGGAACCTTCTTCTGGAAGAGGTAGTCCAACTCTCCGAAGCTACGGTTCTTTGTCTCGGGCAGGAAGAAGAAGATCCAAACGGCCCAGATCAAGCAAAGACCAAAGTAGAACAAGCCAGTTTTTGCTCCCCAGTTCCAGGCGTCGGGGTTGTCGGTGAGCATGCGAGGGTTGAGCTGTACTACAGCGATCTGGCCGCAGACGTAGATGGCACGACCCAAGACGATGGTCTGGGCTCGGACACGACTCGAAGGGGTTTCACCCACAATAACGTAGGTCGTAGGGCCCAAGGACAGCTTGAAGGTCAAGTTGACGATAATCATGACAACAGCCACGGCAATAGAGATGTTCTTCTGTCCCGGAATGAATCCCAGAATACCGATGATAAGCATGGCCAATCCGATTACCGAGGAACCATAGAAGAAGAATGTTCGACGACCAATCCTTCCCATCAGCATGATAGCAATACCGGTACCCACAATATTAACAGACTGGATTCCCATGCTGAAGTTGAAGGACTGAACCTCGGGCATTCCGGCTGCTTGCAGGAAGAGGGCGGCATAACTGCAAATAGATTGACCGTTGAGGATCTGGATGATCCACGCCATGCAGACGATACCAGTGCGGCGCAAGTTGGTGCCGTGGAAACAATCCTTATAGGTGGCGCCCTCGGCTTCGATCTTCTCCATTTCGTTGGTGTGTCTCATGAAAGCCAGAGTCTGGGCCATGGTCTCTTCGGTATAGTGGTTCTTGCGCGCAAGACGTGTCAGGGACTTTTCTGCCTCAGCCAATCGGCCGCGGCGAATAAGGTACCAGGGGCTCTCGGGCGCAAGGAAACCAACGATGAACAAGGGGACGACCCAAACCCACTGCAGGGCGTAGGGAATCTTCCATCTCAAGTCGCCATCGGGCAGGTCAAGGGCGCCTCGCAGAACACCGGCTGCCAAAAACGAACCGGCACCCCAGCACATAGAAACCCAAGCCGTAAGATATCCACGCAGAGCAGCAGGGCAAATTTCAGCAGCGTAGGCGGTAGTCAGGGTCTGGAAGATTCCCCAAGGAATACCACACAAAACGTTGGCGGCGAGCAACATCTGGACGTTGACGGCGAAGAACAGCAGGAAGATGGTGCCTCCCATCGTCGCCATCGCACCCATGTACACCTTGCGAGATCCGAAACGGGACTGGAGCCATCCGTTCAACAGCAGACCAATGATGCTGCCCAGGTTCTGGCCGTTACCGATTCCAGCCTGCCACGAAGCAGAGATGTGCATTTTGCCGCTGGCGTCAGGCCAACCGAACTTTTCCTTGTAGGCCCTCTGTGCGAAGAAGTTGTTGATCAGACCGACATCCATTCCCTCCATAACCAGAGCCATACTCAGCAGGGTACTGTAGACGACAGCTGGCCAGTAGCGAGAGAAAAGCTCCTTGCGAGGAAGTTTGGCTTCTTCAGTACTGGTTGCTGCGGCTGCCTCGATGAGAGCCACGTCGGGAGTGTAGGCTCCATATTCATTGTGGTCGAAAGACTTGGACCTTGCTTTGGCCAAAGATTGGGGCTGGCCCTTCTCTGTGTCGGCCATGGTGTCGAGAGGGTTGGGTCGGCGACTTGTTGAAGGAATTGTATTGATGTGGTCGATGAGAGAGAGAGAGAGAGAGACACAGAGAGAGAGAGAAATGGAACGATGAAAAGAAGGAATCAAGCAGAAGATAAACGCTTTCGCGTCCATGACCCGAATGTCTGGTAATCCCCTCGCCAAGTTGCCAATCCTTCGCCAAGTTGCATCCACGAATCACCTGTGAACCATGATAGAATGACTCGCCCAATCTTACCCCGAATTTCGTGTGCTCCACGGTACCCCGCATTCCCCATGGGGTTCGTGAGTCCCTTCCTCCCGGTGGGTCCACGAATCCCCTCTTCCTCTAGAATATCATGTTCCTCGTTCTCCAAGCGTGCAAACCAAACTCCAAAACGCCACACGCTTAATTCAGCTCAAGATAGTTGATTAGCTTCGGTCATCGCGTTATAGATTTCCGAAGCAAATGCATTAATAGCCAATTGCAGAGAGGCCAAGAGGAACTATTGAAGCCCAGACTTTTGCCTGCCACACCTCGCCATGCTTGGCACCATCTCCCAAGAAGGGCCAAGGGTGCCAACTCCAGGCATTATCACTCAATTGGGTATTCCTCCGTGAATCGTTGGTGGTGGCGCTTCAAGCTCACCAGTACACCCTTGTGTGTGTTTGATCACCAGGGCACCCAATACTCATCTCGGGCAACCATCCTTTGCTCAAAAGCAGCCAAGCTGAGCTAACTTGCATTTGGGCAAACTCATTTCTTTCACGCAGCTCCTCGGACATATGTTTTAACGGCCCGAACACGTTTTCTCGTTCCAACTGATCGCTGTACACACACCTGCCACCACTCTGCCAAGAGATTCGTGCCAGCAACTCTTGTGAGATTTTTACGTTTGAGCCAAGCATGCATCTCGGCCGTCTTTTTTGCGCACAAGATTACTACACAACGTGTAACTCCAGGGTGTCGCCTCGGATGAGAATGGCGACTTGGCCGAGGAGCTAATTTCTCTGACTGTGCTTCTGGCCAATCCGCGGTTTGCTCTTATACGGTATGCTACGCCACCAAGCTGGGGTTCAGACAAGGAGGGCATGCATTTGCTGCAGCCACTTATCTTGTCGTGTGTCAAACCAGCATCGAAGCCCAGCTTATGTCGTCCAGGGGGCTTTCTGGGCTTCGAAAAGAAGCCGTACTCTAAGCTCTATTCCGCCTTCGCCTTTGTCTTAGCATCGTCATTACTACCCCAAGAGACAACATCTCCCGGTTCCTACATCTCCTCGCAACCGAATGTTCATGTCGGTAATCGGCAAAGACTACTGCGGTCTTCGTGCATTGCAGCCCGAAGGTGGTGTGGGAAAGGGCTCCCTTGCTCCGAGGGCACAGCTCACTTCCTTGGTGATGGCACCACCTATGTGAAAAAGACGAGCGCCCAGAGCGCTTATTCAACAAGTTCATCTGATCATCTACCCAATCTATCGGAATCGCAGGGTTCACGAGCGTCGTAGCGAGATTGGCGCGTCGGGACGCGGATACCACCAATAAACTGCTCTTGGAGGATTCTTGTGAATGCAACATTGCTCTCGTCAACGTTACAATTCTTTGCACCAACAAATTGGTTTTTGGATGTTGGTGCAGTGCGATGCTGGCCGGATGTCTAATACCATGTATTCCGGGACCAATTCGTTAAAAGAATGTGTGGAGCTGATATATGGTGTATGATAGGACAGACCCAAAATTCCTTTAGTCGAAAGCATACACGGATCTAATTTACACTCAAAAAATAAAAAAGTTTGTTTAGTGCAAAAGCGTCCAGTCACCGCACTGGAACATGTGATCAATCAATCGCCGAAATGTGGGCCCGCTAAGGTTTATTAACCGGGGACAAAACAGGACAGCAGGTTAATTAGATGGGTCCGTCAAACCCCAGACTCGCGAATAATTAGTTCTTGTGTCCAAATGGAGTGTTGTAAAAGCAGTATTCAGAATTGAGGTCTGCACATAAACTAAACGCGCTTTTAAAGTTATTCAGACAACTAGGGTTGGTTACAAAACTGCTGGCAATCGTATTTACACTGTCGACACCTAGCCACCAGGCGTCCAATTATACCATCCCTTTTCGACCTCATCTATATCTTTCCACTGTTGGATGAATTGAGCCTTTTTGTCCTCCAGGCCTTCAGTGCACAGAATCTCATATACCGTTCTCCACGCGCTGTTGACAGCACCAATAATCCACGCATGGCCTGAGCTTAGAGCTTCTCCGGCAAAGTGCATGTGCCCCTGGGCAGCTGGCATCATTAACCACGGCACGACGGTACTGTACTGGCCGGGCCCAAAGATGGCGAAAGCACCGTTCGAGTATGCCGAGCCGTACCAGTCGTAAGCATGGTATCCTTCAAATTGAGACAAGATGTACTCGTGAGATACGCCATTGAGTTCCGCAAGATCGCGTAGTGTGAAGTCAACCAAAGTGTCCACGCTGTATGGTTGATACGGCGCTTGCGTGGTGGGGTTATGCGGATTAAGATAGGACCCCAAACGCGAAGAGTCCTGACCCCAAACGTAGCTGGCAATCATGGTTCCGGGGGCATTGGGTATGTCGATTCCGTACGATGGATACACGCAGCGTCGAATGGGTAGGTCGGTGTAAGACTGGCCGCCCTTGAACGGGCCTGTCGAAAGGTTTTCCCACCTTGGGTAAGAAGATTAACATTTACATCCTTGATGAATGGAGGTGCAGGGAGTATCATACCATCGTGACTTGAACTTAAAGCCAATCTTTGTAGAGTGGTCGTATCTGCAAGGTATTAGTTTAGTTGTATTCGCATAATGGCAGTCGAGTCTCTCAGTGGTATGAGAACTCAGACTCCTTCGCTAATTACTCACTGCAGTGTGCGGATAGCACTGTTCTGGTAGTATCCAAGATTCAACTCTGTCATGTTGATAATTTGCAGAGCACCAAGAGGAACTGTTGAAATAACGTGCGCATAGTTAGTCTCCTGGGTGCCGTTGACAAGGACCTTTAAAGTTCCGTCAGAGTTCTTCTTAATGTCTGTAACCCTGCTGTGAAGCTTGGGTTTATTTTTGATGATGAGATTCATTCCCTTCGTCAACATGTCCATGCCGCCGTTGATCAGAGACCAATTTTCTGGATCCACGCTGTCGAAAATCCATTCTTCCAAAACAGCTTGAGACATTGAATACATGTCGTAATGACCTGTTGCATCATTCACGGTTTCAAGCCAGTCTATCTCGCCGTTGGTGAAATTCCTGTCCAAAAGGAACTCTCGAGTAGTCATAGAGTCATATTCCATTAGCAGGTTGAATCCGGCAGTGAAGTTTTCTGATAATGCCTTTGTCATTGTCGCGACCTGTGCAGCCCAGACATTCGCAGCAGATTGGGTAGCGAATGCCTCGTTCAAGACTGGAACATTGTACTTGCTAGGTGAGCCGGAACCGGCGTCCTTCATTTGAGCAGTGATTCCGTTGAAACGCCTAAACGCGTTATCGGCTTTGAAAATGTAGTGTTTCTTTACTACTTGATCACGCTCAGATACACGTGCATTAATGTACGGGATCAGACTCCATGATTCGTTGCCAATGATTCGGTCCATATAGGGCATGTGGGGAAATCGCATTGCTCCCACATCCTAAGTACAAGTATATCAGTGTATATTCCGTTGAGTAGTCATTGCCAACTAACATAGTAGTCGTAGTAAGCGGGGTCGGCTGGCGTTGATTTCGCCCAGCTCTCCTCGTCGAAGCGATAGGTGAAAATCCTTCCGCCAACCCGATCAGAAACCTCGTGGATATCGTAGTCGATGCCGAGAGAGTCTAGCAATATGGCAGCATAGAGACCTGCAGCCCCTGCCCCAATAATGCCGACCTTGAGGGGAACATTGCTTGGTGTTGGTACCCTACTATGGTTGGAATATGGTGAGTTGTCCACGATCTTTCTGAAGAAAGCCGCACGAGGATTTTCTGCAGCGAGACTTCCGTCGTTGCAAACATTTCGGTCTTGCTGCCGTGCTTCTTTGGGGCTGTTAGCGGGTAAACCGAAAGCCTGTGTCAGAAGCGCTGCAACGGCTGCAGTTGGGCGAAAAAGTCGCATTGTGTCGATTTGATCTAGGCGCTTAGGTAGCTGCTGGCACAGGCTTGCTCAGGCTTTGATCCCTTTCCACGGAAAGAGTCAGGGTTGTAGTGAAATCTTATTTATACTAGGTCCCAAACACTCTGTTTGTTTACATTTCCAATATTGCTTGTCATGTTTTTATCGTGATCATAATAAATCTAGCAATGATGGCTTGCCATAAGACTGCAGTGTCTTGGGTTCGGTTGGTATTGCGGTCCAGCCGCATTCTTTATCGGCACTTGTCACTAACTGGAGCTCATGTCCCGCCGATTGGAATGCTTTCCAGCGGCCAAATAATTGCAATACTTTACCACGCGATGACCACGCCAGAGATGAATCGTTCAATAAGAAGAATGTTTCACATGTTTTGCAACGAGTGTTACGCCACCTTAGAAAGCTCTCTCAGCTCTTGTTTCTCGGCTATTTCTTTACATGTTTTCACGCAGACGAATTGACAGCAAACCCTTGGCGCTCTTGGTCTTTGGCCTGCTTCAGTGAGATGAGTGACACATGGCCTGCACAGCAATTCTCTTGGTTATGTTAAGACGACTTATTTTGTCAGTCCGAGACGCTCAAGAGTTGCATCATGCAAGAGTGCTCTCAACAGAGATACGTACTAGAGATCATTTATTGCAGTATCATACTTCTCATCGATAACGCTGTAATTGAAAACAAGTCCATACGCAAAGTCGACCGTTTCTTTATTTCGCTGACCAGGGGCGCAGTATTTTTGCGACCGTTTCTGAGTAGCTCGTGTATGATGAGGTTTTGCATTGCCCACTTCCTCCACTGCTTTCTGAGACCTTCAATCACACACCTCAAGCCACAAGGGAAGCTGAGCTCCGTACTTTTTTTCAGACAAGAATGCATAAGACACGTTAGAATTGACGAGGCACGGCACGAGAATTGACTAGAATTATTTGCCGAATGGTTCATTGAATTTGATTAAAGCCGATGTTCGAGTATGCAGACATCTACTAGTCGTACAGGTTTGGTATTTTACACACACGCTAGGCTTTTATTTTGTCCAGCCGTTAGGTCCGGCCCAAGTACCCTTAACCATGGAGTTGTAGTAGACCCACGGGAAAAAGTCCTTCTTCAGGTGGTAAAAAGCGCGGCGAGGAACAGCTTGATCAAAACCAATCAGATCCCCAAAGGTCTCCTTAGGTACGCCGCCGTACTTGAACTCAGCCAGAAGCACCTTACCATACTCAGTGGTAAGAGGGCAGGAGGTGTAACCGTCATACTTGGGCTCAGGTGCTTTACCATCCATAGCAAGCAGCAAGTTGTTGACAAGGATTGGCGCTTGCGACGTAACCGCCGCTGCGGTCTTGGACGTGGGCAAACTGGAAGCGTCACCCGAGGACCAAACATTGTGGTACTTGGTGTGGCGAGTAGTAGCTTGGTCGACATCCACAAAGCCTGCCGCGTCCGCCAGAGGACTGTTCTTGACAAATGCGTGGGGACCCATCTTGGGAACGACATGAAGGAGGTCAAACTTTCTTGTCACTTGCTCCTTTCCATCAGGGCGGGCAAACACGGCCGTGTCGCCCTCAACAGCGACAAGGTCGTGCTGGAAAAGCCCCTCAACGCCCCTCTCTTTCCTCAGCTCCTCAAGCTTGGCGCTATACTTAGGGACACCAAACATGGCGGGGATGCCCGTCGCGAAGCTGATCTTAATCGGCGAGGTGGAAGGGTTGCTGGGGTTGTACAGACCTGCGCGCTTCCAGTAGTCCAACGCAAGCCACATAACCTTCTGCGGGGCACCGGCACACTTGATAGCGCCAGCAGGTTGGGTGAAAATGGCATTGCCCTTCTCAAGTTTCTCAATTGTACGGAAGACCTTGTCACAAGTCTCATAGCCGTAGATAGTAGACACTAGAGAGTTGGGGTTCGCAAGGGCCTCGGGTAGGCCCTTGATGCTGCCATAATCAATCTTAATGCCAGGAGCGACGACAAGGTGCTCATAGCCAAGCTTGTCGCCATTGCCCAGTGTGATGAGATTCTCTTTTGGGGCAAAAGTGCTGACACTCTGTTGATAAAGTTTGAGCTTAGGGTCGACCAAGGTATCCAGGCGTCTTTTGAGTTCCTCCTTGTTCTTGAGGCCACCACCAACGAGGGTCCAGCCAGGCTGATAGTGATGCCAGGTCGCAGGATCAACAATGGCGATGTCGTTCTCAGTAAATCTGCCAGTGCGGAGGAGCTGATGGCTGATGGCCAAGCCGGCGCTGCCGCCACCAACAACAACAACTTTATGGCTTCGATCAGCGGAGGTCACTTGGGGTACTGGCGATGCTGGAGATGAAGGAGATGAAGGAGATGAAGGAGATGCAGGAGATGCGGGAGATGCAGAAGATGCAGAAGATGCGGGAGATGCGGGAGATGCTGTTGCAAGATGGCGGGCCATCTTCATTTTGTACGCATTGGCGCCCAGGCGGCGACCTTGTCGGGCCGCCATCGTCACACGACTTGAGAACATTGCGACACTGAGAAGAAGGTGAAAGGCAATACAGCAGATGGCAGTAATGGAAGGAGTAGGTGCAAGACAAGTTTAAACGATGGCGCAATCGGGAGGCTGAAAATTGGGGAGCGACAAGGCTGGAGAAATTGATAACGCCGAACCGACTCTCCCAAAAACGGCCTGATATGTGGGGTTGTCTCCATCAATTGCCGCTCCGAAAAACGAAGGAGATTGGTCAATGACTCAGCCCGCCCCGACAACCGATAGCCGCTTGCCTTGCCGATGAAAACCTACTCATCCCGTAAATGACGTGATAAATCGATCGATTACCACCTCCGGCGGGCCGCGCGGTGTATAGAATGGTCGCCGAGCTGGACTGTAGATCCCCGATCGGTATGGTTAATGCCGGAACACTGTGGAATTGTTTAACCTCCGGTAGTCTTTTTAATAGCGTTCAGATTCCCTAAGCCTACCGTGCTCAGATAAATCATGTCCGTAAATTCCTCTATACGGATCTAGTCACTGATTTCCCTTACCTCGGTATTATGAACCCATTACAAGTACGTGCTGGCCCTCGACCAGCTCCAGCAGATGTTTTCTTCAGGCTTCTTTCAAACACCCCCCTATCCCGTCAATCTAGTAATAAGGCATTTTACGCCACCAAATCTGTGTACGATGTGGTAACGCGCCACAGAACGCCAAGTGAAAAGTGCCCTCATCACAGGACCTCACTTGACGTTCAGAAGGGTCGACCCCTTGCACGCAGGTCCAGACACTGTTCTTATTCCAATAAACTAGCCTCATTCTACAGCACAGAAGCGTGCGCCGCAAGGCAACCAATTATCCACGATGTATTCGAAACTGGAACCGGTACATGGCAGTACATTGTGGCGGATCCTACCACGCTTGACGCAGTCATAATTGACCCAGTTCTTGATTTTGATCGGGAGACTCAGACCATCAAAACAGTCTCCGCCGACGGGTTGCTTCATTTAATCAAAGAAAAAGGCTACAGAATTGTCCGAATCCTCGAGACCCACGCTCATGCTGACCATATCACTGCCGCGTCATACCTTCAACGGTATTTGACATCGAAAGTAGGTTACAGACCTACCGTTGGGATTGGAAAACGCATCGGGCAGGTTCAGAAGTGTTTTAGCCCAAGGTATGAAGTTCCTGTGGATGAGTATGAAGGCGTCTTCGACAATTTCTTCGAAGACGACGAAAGTTTTAGCATTGGTCATCTCCAAGCTACTGCCATCCATCTGCCCGGACACACTCCTGATCACCTGGGCTACAAAATTGGAGGTAATCCTTCTTGAAGCTTTTTGATAGCTCTGAATTTTGCTGATCTTACTTTTAGACAACGTTTTCTGCGGGGATTCCCTCTTCCACGTGGACATTGGCACTGCACGGTGCGACTTTCCTGGCGGCAGCGCCAGCAAGCTTTACCACTCAGGCCGCAAGCTCTTGAGCCTACCTGACCACGTTAAAATTTGGACCGGCCATGACTATCCACCAAAGAGCCGAGATAGGCCTGTGTCATGGATGACAGTCCGGGACCACAAGACGCAAAATACGCATCTGAGAGATGGCACCACGGAGCAACAGTTCGTGGCCCAGCGCAAAGAGCGAGATGCAAACCTTGGCGAGCCAAAGTTACTTCATCAGTCATTACAGATGAACATTCGAGCGGGACAACTCCCCAAGCCAAGTACATCAGGGCATAGAATGCTACGATTACCACTAAAACTCGGAGAATTGCAGTGGTGAGGTCTGCTTGCACTTGGGGATGGCGTAAAGAAAAAAAAACAAGAAATGAAGATGACAACATAAGAGAAACGGAAACAGATGAAGGAAGTAGACTATACCCTTGATAACCAAATTATGGGTTCATCACCGAGTGTGTGGATTTTAAGAACAGTTTCGAATTTGAACATAGCACCCACCTCAATTATTCAACAACTATGTGTCTGTGGACCATCAACATTCCCATGTGTCATAATTTACGGGACTCTTAAATCCTCGGTACAGCCTGACACACGGAAGACGCGATGATCGCATGCCACGTTGGAAATGTCAATGCTAGACAAGCGATGAACAGAAACCTGTGCCAGGGGTTGATTGTCCTATGCCGTGCATCCATGTCAAGTTTACACCTCTTCAGCCCATTTTAAAAAGAGAGGAAAAGAAGTTGTCGACTCAGCAGTTGATTTCCATTGATTAACTAAGCCAATTCCCAGTCTTTCTTACTAGCCTGCAGAGTCGTTTGGCTTCGATGATAGAATTGACACGAACACACATCGGTTCCTGCAGGCATATTGCCAAGTCCCTAAAGCAACCTTGTATACCCAAGGTAATACACGGCAAACTTCCGACAAAAAAGTGATGCTAACGTGAGGATAGGGCAGGAACATGGAATGATAGAGTTGTGAACATGAAGTTCGTCTCACCAACGGGACATTAAGAGTCGCGGACTTGTCAGTGATACCAGAGAACGCGAAGAGGAAACTGACTATTTACCGGGTAATCTGTCGCAGAACATAGGCCGAGAACTCTCGAAACGTCGCTTTGCCAATGCGCTACAGATTTGCTGAAGCTGAGCTGGGGCCGCTCCGACCGCCGCAAGCGTTTCATATGCCGGCCCAGACATCAGATGAGAACCGATCACACACGAAAAGACTCAGTCATCATCCATGCGCCGGCTAGATTGCCGGGGGATGGAACCACAGGAACATCGGATAGCACCAGCTATCCTCGAGTTTGAATGAGATGGACACGTCATGCTCGGTACAATCACCCAAACAAATGTCCGGGCAGATAATGTAACATGGCGCGAACAAAACCCCGCCCAATTGTTCTTTGACAGCCCCTCGGTCAAACCGCACAAGAAAAACACGCAGAGAACCATACAAAGACCGATGCCATCGGCTTTGGCGAGGAGATTGGTGTCGAAGGGCGATTTACGCCATCAAATGCATGCCGGCCAGCCATAATTGCACACACTACCAGTGGTTGTTGATCAACTTCGAGGATCGCATGCTTGCACACACGAAAGCACCGACTTTTGACGACCAGTGCGAAGGCTAAGAAAGACTTAGCAAGCCTTAATGGAATCAGGAACTAATGAACCGGAATTATGAAGGCGCGACGACTCCCGTGGCGCCGCTAGATTCGTTGCGGAAAACGCCTCCGCCAAAAGCAGCGCAAATCTATCCTATTCTCTCACTTCTGTCAATAATTCTACTCTTTCTTTCGGCTGGAGCCGGAATTTCTTTATCCGCTATAGTTTTATTTCTCAACCTCGAATCAACTGAGTATCTTGATCCTCTCAGCCGCGCTGTCTTCTTCGTCGCCTCTTGCGTGAGCCTCATTTACGTCTTGACGCACATCATCGCCGCAAGAACTGCATACACCAAGGGCTACGGATCAACCAAATTCTATGGAAAATATGTTGCGGGCTTTGCATTTCTGCTTGCCCGGTTGGGTCTCCCAGTTTGGGTTGCGGCAATCACCCTTGCCATCTTTGTCGCGGTGAATGTTGGATTGGACCTGTCAAAAGGTATCCGGGAGAACATGCCATGGCTTAACGTCATAATCAGCATTTCTTCTTTGTAAGTTTGACCAAAACAATCTGTTTGACGATTTTGCCGCGAGACTACTAACAAGCAACAAGATTCTCATTATGTGCTGTACTTGCGGTGATCGAGATGGCGGACAGGCCATTTGCGACAATAGGGCTGTCACAAACATGGTTTATTCGCGGCGAAAACCCTTTCGCTAGACATGAATATGACGACGCGGAAACCGACCTTGTTGAAGTCTTATCTATAGCCAAGGATGAAAAATTAATGTCTTACGTGATGGAAAAAGATCGGAAGCAACCAAAGCCACCCAAAAATGAAAAGCGAAAGAGAAAGACCTTGACGAAAAGGAACCCATACGAAGGCCAGCATAGATCCTTGTAAGATCATCATATTTCAAGAAGCCTCTATCCAAGCTAATTATTACATAGGCGCCACGCAAGGAGCATGTCCATGCCGGCACCTTTAAATACGGTCTTTGGTGATGACGCTACACCTCAAATCCCAGAGCTCCAATCATCCCATACTGCCTTTGCATGGAAACCACCTACAAGAGAGGGCACTCCAAGGCCTGCAGGGGCACTTACCTTCGAGGATCTTGATTCTTGGAGACAACGAAACAGTTTGCGTCATGTAGCGTCAGACATCTCAACAAATGCTTCGGCGCCCTCGGACGATGTTATACTTCCTTCGATGCCCCGTCAAGTGCAGTATTCTCCTCGCAGTCAAGCTTTGCTACTGGAACAGCAGAGAAAGTACGACTCCAGGCGATGGACAGCTATTGGAACTCAATCACCACCGTATGACGCGGCGTTTTTGGATGCCCCTTTCAGAAGACCCCGAACACCTTTAATGGCCATGGAAGATGAACGAAGAATAATGGGCGGCCACAGACCTTCAACAAGGGATAGTGAATTGCTGTCGAATTATCACTCAAGCATGACACACGACGGCCGGTCGACAATGTCACATTCGTCTAGAGCATCGAGAATAGTGAGGACGTCACAGGCCGTCTATACGGTCCAAGACGAGCCTCCATCGTTGCCACCAATTGCAACTACTTCTACATGGAGCATTCCAAACACAAACAGCATTCTAGCTGAAAGTGACACCCTACCAAATGTCGGTCGAAGGCGTCGCAAAATCTCAAACTATAGTGACAGCCAACGCCTCACACATGGAACAGGCAGCCGCTTGCTGTCGGAGACTTACCGTCCATCGAGCCAACATCCGTCAATAGTAACGCAAGAATCACCACAACTGAGTCCAGTCTCGATGTCGAGATCTGAACTGCACAACTTCTCCAGGCCACGTACATCTGCAGCAGCCAGAATGCAGTCCAAAGTTTCCAGGCGCTTACGTGCAATGAAGCAGCAACAAGAGACTCCTTCTTCAGGCTATGGAAATGAAGCCGTGCAAGCACCTACCTCCCCCAGCACACTCAGAGCAGCTAGGGCAGCGGCTGTGAGTAACTTGCAAGAGAAACTTGGGCAAAGGAATCAGGTACAACAGTCTGCAGAGGATCAGCGCCCGCCATCCCCGGAAACCCCACGTACGACGAGGGCCATGGCAGTTAAGACCCTGCAAGAAAGGATTGGAAAACGAATGATGCGGCGTAATGAGTCTGAAGCAGCCAGCTCACAACTTGAATAGACCTAACAAATAATAATGGCTTACATTTTTTCATTTCAAACTACCGCTTGAGTGGATTACCTCGCCTGGGAGAATATGTATTCTATTGCAACTATCGTGGGCAAGACATGAAAGGCGGTAGCATCGTTTGTCCTTCTAGGAAGTGGACATCTCGCTTTGCTTGCTTCTTATTAAATAATTATTGGAACACTTAGCTTTAAAATACTCTTAATTTGCCCAACTCTAGATATTGATTCTAGCAGGCTACCCTAAGCTAATGATTGACGTATGGGCCACCAGGGCCTCCCTATAAGCCTGTGCAATGTGCATCCGAAAGCATGTTCCAAACTGAAGAAAATTGATCGAAAGAAAACCAGGTGCTTTGATGGAAGAACTAGATCCCGGCAGAAGGTCACAGACCCCCTCCTATCCCCCACCCGCGAAGCTCAGCTAAGCCTGTACCAAGTATCAGCCTTATCGCTGGGGCTCATCGCTTAGACCGTAGTACTCCGTCTCCCCCAAACCAACCTTCTCCTGCTCCTTAGGATTGGTTCTATCCCAAAGGGCTGACCCTAACTCCTCATATGCAACATCTATCTCGTCCGACACTTCATCGTCGATATCGCGGTCATTCACAACTTTCCACCCGGCACGGGCAAATCTGCGCCGTACTTTGTGGTTCATACCGACAAATCGCAAGACCATTTGCTTCCCAACGTATTGCTTTACCTCATCCTTAATCTCAGCCATTGTCTGGACTCCTGTTACGTCAACAAACGGCACTTGTGTAAAATCCCACACCATGATCGACATTGGCGAGCTTGAAGCCACAATTTTGTTGCGCTTTCGCAACATTTCAATGCGCTTTGCTGACGCAACACTCCAAGAACGGTCCGGGGACTTGCCTTCGGACTCGCCTACTGTCGCTTGGGACTCAAACTGCACCTTGACAGACTCAATGACGGATTTTTTGACACGACCAGCGTTGGGGAAGAAGATGGAGTCTGTGAAACTGACGAGCATAGCGTCGTCGGGGATCAGAGCGTCTTTGGGAGTCGTCGATACGGATTTCTGGGCCTGCAAAGTCGTATCATTCCGTGCACTCATGGCAGAGGATACTTTGACTTTGGGAAACGCTGAGCGAACGAGAGTGTATCCGATGCTGAAAAGAACCGCAAATGCAATGCCCATCTCTGTCGATACAAAGAGCGTAACCCAAAAAGAGAGCATTGAGGCGACAAAGTCTGGGAATGAAATTCGCCAGTAACGATAAAAGAGTGATGCTGGGCCAATGATATGTATAACAGCCATGATCTGTAACATACCTTGTCAGTCCGGCCTCTAAAAGTAGGGGTGGTCGGTGATTGGATACGTACAATTATTGCCGAGAGCGTCGCCTTTGGAATCCAAAACAGAACTCCCGATAGCTTGTACAGTGTCAGAAGGATGAATCCGGCTGTGAAGGCGCCACTCATTGGGCTCTTGACGCCACATTCGGAGTTGACTGCTGTCCTCGACATGGCCCCTCCGACACTCATGGCTCCAAACAAGCTGTTAATCGTGTTTGTAACTCCTAGATAGCATAGCTCTTGACTTTCATCGATAGAATATTTATTCTTTCGACCGAACGCTTTTCCGATAGCCAAGTGTTCGAGAGCTGCTGCAACAAGAGGTGCAATTGCTCTGGTCGTGACCTTGGAAACCAAGCCAGCAACAGGTATTTTTGGGGCCTGTAGTCCATTTGCCTTGACCTTGCTAATCGCCCATAGAGGAACGCTTCTGTTCCTGTTGACAAGGAAGCTAATTGTCGTATAGATGAACAGTACAATGACCGCACGACTGCTGCAGATAAATTTGATCACAGAGCTTTTCTTCCCCCACTTCTTTCCAATGAACTCCAGAATGTACAGCATGACAATACCGCTGAAGCCAATGGCAATGGTAAGGGGCTCCATCTCGGGGATTCGAGAGAAAACGTTGTTGATGATACTGGCCGTACCTGAAGGTACATTGCTGAGACCAACAAGAGAACCAACTTGGCCAAGAAGGATTGTAATGGCGGCTGCTGACAGGAACCCGGACAAAACTGGCACAGAAATGTAATCCAGAATAAATCCAAGCTTCAAAAGCCCAAGAACCAGCGAGTATATGCCGACCATTAAAGCTACAGCTGATGCGATTTCCTCAGGGGCGAACCCATCCGTCTTGAGATCACTGATGATTTCTGCGGTCAAAAGTCCCATGATGGAAGTTGGTCCGGTAGAGAGGTCTAATTGTGAGCTTATTAGTTTCAGAGGGCCCAGTAGTTTTATAATAATCTTACCCTTGGAAGTTCCCATGAAGACATAGATCGCAGCCGGAAGCCAACTAGAGTATAAGCCAAACTCCCCCGGAATGGTGGCAATTTTAGCATAGGCTAGTGCTTGCGGAATCATCATGACGCCAATAGTCATGCCCGCAATGAAGTCTGAAAGAATCCATTTGGGCTCGTAGTAAGGCAGCCATTGTACGATAGGGACTTTTTCGACCAGATACTGCCCTGTTGCGGAAGGTAATCTGGGTAAGGCAGAGCTGACCTGTTGTCGTATAGTATTGATGGTACTGTCTGTTTGGAAATCAGACTTGGCCTTCTCAATAAACTTCATGGTGAGTGGCTTATTTTTGAAAGCTAGGTTATGACAGAGAGTTTGAAGAATTTGAGAGCCATCAGACAACAAAAGCCGTGAGCAAAAAGAAAGTCGATGTTTTGTATATGGGTGATTTGAGAGAGACCGTAGGACATCATTCCACAATTCTGTCGTGAGGCGAATGCCTTTTATCTGAAGTCGATTTTACAGGCCTTCCTTGTGCTGCATGCGATCAGACTGTTGCTGACTTAGCTCGGTAGATGTTAAAAGCTATTTGTCGGAAGGGGCGGTGCATTCAGATGATTGATCTCATGCATGAAACTTCAAAGTGCCAACTGCGGGAAAATGATGACAAGGACATTCCTCGTCGATAATGTCAGTCTTATGGCAAGCTGTTAAAACCAACTATGAGCTTGTTTTGTTAGTTGTCTTTTGGTAGGTTTGTAGCTTTCGAAACTAGAACGCTTTCCTTGCTACAGGCCATGCATTCGGATAGGTAGAATGCCAGAACATACTTCCGAAACTAGATTCGTTAAAGGAACTGCCCCAATTCGTTTTGACCAGAGTAATTGCCATATAATGTAAGAGATCTATCTGTATTTGGCCGAGTTGAGATATTAGCCCGGGCGTCACAGTTTCGCCGAAGCTATTCGCGCATGGTTTATCGCTCGAGGGTCTTTCGTGGTAGTGACTGTACCCCAGGTGGTAGAACAGCTTGATTGGCTCCGGGATAGAGATAACCGACCACTAGAAGAGAAGAAACCGCTAAGGGTGGCGTTGATTCAAGCGGCAAATGCTTAAGTGGTGGAACTATCGGATGAAACCAGGAATCCATGCCAACCGACGGAGAGCAAGATGTACCCATCCGCAAAACCCAACACCCCGCTACCCACCACAACCATAAAAGCGATGCACAATGGACTCATTCCAAACAAGGCGGGGTTCTTTTCAGCTGCGATATGTAGCCATATTAGAATAGAACGGCTGCCGTTTATCCTTTGACTAAATCGATTCGCGCTGCATCACTACGCTACCAGGTGTAACTAAACAGTTGAAGCAAATAAGGCAAGGATGTTAATTTTAGGCCAGTAGAATCAAGAAATTTCTCATTGGCCGTTACAACGACTCAAAAGTAGCACTAAAAGATGTTTTGAAACCATTAGGTTAGACATCTGACCTAGGCCTCCCAAATATTGGTATTAGTGGCAGATGCGGTGCCATTAAGTCAATTCTTTTGAGATTTTTGCAAGAGGGCTGATTCTTTCCGTGCACAGTCGGTATGAAGAGAAGAAGTATGGCTTTCGGTAGCTGTCTACATCTCTCTGAAAGTTACATAGGTATTAAATGTCCATTGCGCGTTGTGTGCATTTAGCTCTCCATTGTTTATTGATAGTTCAGTCATAATTCCAGACTTATTCTTTTTCGACATTTCGATAAACTTTCCGTTAAATGCTTCTACATCATGTAACAGGGGGAAAAACGCATTTAGAACATGTTGGACAGGTTATAACATCTTCACAGAACCTTACCCAAACAAAGGCTATAAGGGGCTCATGCAATACCGAAAAATCACCGTTTGGCCGACTTCAGGGTTCAGGATAATCAGCATACTAGCCAATGATGTCAGTTGCCTATGATTGCCGAAGGACAACTTCAAACTCGATTCTAGCAGGTGATTGACGCTATGGCTTCAAGAGGTTGACAGGTGGCAAGCAATGTAACGCTCTGGAGGCTTATCCCTTGCATTCAAGCAGTGAGAAATGCTGACAAGGATATGTAGCTTGATTTGTAGAAAAGGTACCCTGCCATTACAAGCTAGTGTCTGGACATGTAGCCTCACTGTCCAAGCGCATAACTCCGATGTACATGGTTAGTGGTACTTGTTTGGTTAGTGGTACTTGTTTGGTCATTCACATTTCTTTACCTTCTGTGAAATCCTCTTTGAAGTCTTTAGTGCTTTAGTAAAATTCAACATCAAGACTCGGAATCTCCAACAAGCAGTCAGCAACTCAAATTCGGTGTGCGTGTTGCGATGAACTTGTCAACTAACTATGCACTAAAGTTCTTGGCGATCTGCCGTGGCGTTGACCGACTAGCCCCACAAAGTGTTTTCCAGAAACCCCTCATGTTGAAACAATCTGTCGCTTCTCCCAAAGGCTTAGGTACCTCAGAAATCTGTGGTCATGGCCAGAAGTGATCTACTAGAAAAAGTTGCCAAACTTCCTTAATAGGCTATCGTTTTACATTCCCCTAGCAGAGAAACAGTCGGAATTATATTCGAAGTCCTGCGGAACGATTCCAAAGCCTACCTAAAAAAAGATTGTTTTCCAAACAACGCACCTCCATCGTCCATGTCAATCCTGCGCAACTTAGCTAGTATAAAAATTCGTAGCATAAAAGGCTTAAAATTGGCTCGTAGAAGTGATACACAGTTGGACCAGCGACAATCCGTGATTGACGTTCCTCATAATGTTTTTTTTTTTTTTTGATACGACCAAAGGCGCCGAGAACTGCGCTTAAAAATGGTTACCTGGCAGGCGCATTGGGCCCGGTAGGAAACTCGGTAAGAAGAGGGATACAACTTGCTGAGCTAAGGCGCTTTAATGTATATACTGCTTTACGGGGTATACCATATGGAGACATAAATTCATAAGGTATATGTATATGACACATACAGTATAGTAGCCCCTATTTGACTGTCAAAACTTTCATTCTCTCAAATGGCAATAATCAAGCAGAAAGTTTTTGTAAAATTCAATTGTCTTGTTTTGACGTGTGGCTTAGTGGTGGTGGTCCTGAGTTATGTTCATTAGGGGTTGTGAAGAACGTTCGGCAGCATGGAGCCCTTACAGACCCATTGTAATAGCCTGAGATTGGATCAACCGTAACCAGCTTGCACAACAGCGTACCGTATGCCAGCAGGCACTTTTACCAGAAAACTTATCGGATGGAAAATCGCCTGCCATCAAAGAATGGAGTAAACAATGTGTTTTGTTATCATATTGTGAGACTTGCGATGGGGAAAGGTGTGTCTTGCTTGACGATGGCGCTTGGACAAGCCATGACGATAGCTGTCACGTGAGCGGATTTAGGACCGAGCCAATCAGATGCACTATACAGCGCGGCTCTCTTCGTCTCCTGTACGAATGAAGTTCTGTCATATTCCCCTCCCCGGCTATCATCATTGTCCATCAGTTCGTGTTTGTAACTGGTCATCATGAGGTCTTTTAGTGTAAAATCTTTGATATTCATCTAAAGCCGACAGACCCTGCGATGATGCCGAAAAGATTGGCTCCTCTCCTCCCAGCCGAAGATGGTTCGGAGCCGCCCCATTTTGGTTCCTCTCGGGAGGATGTTTCCAAGAGGAAACGCGTCGGCACTGAAGTTGCCTGCAATGCTTGTCGACGAAGAAAAACCCGCGTAAGTTTCCTTGCACCCTATGCCCCTCTATCGGCGTTTTGGTCGTCTTGTGTGCGCTGCAAGTGTTGCTGATACTGCCTCGTTGTCCTCGACCTAGTGTAACGGATCGCGCCCAGCCTGTGCGGCCTGCCTAAAACGATCAACCGAGTGTATATACGTGGATAAACGGGACGTCACGAGATCTGGACAATCTTTGGAAGTATCCAATGAAGTGCTTGAGCTTCTAAAGTCCGTACCAGAACCGGAAGCCATCAAGATACTGCGTTTATTAAGGGCCAACGGCGATCTTGCTTCGGTTCTTTCCATCGCCAAGAGTAACATGAATGGGGCACCTAGCTCTTCCGAGCAAAGAAATCCTCGCGCTCTCCGCCCTTTGCGGTCATCTCTCGAATTCGAACTTATGGTCAAGAATCCTATCGCGTACTCGCCTGTACATGACACACCTTTAACGGCTTTGGAACGTGATGGTCTTCTCAGCCCAAACAAGAGACCTCGGTCTAAATCTCTCGACCATCAGTATGTATGTCCCATCCATAATCCGCATGCCCCCACTTTGGAAAACACTAACATTCAACGGCTCGCCTTTGGTAAAAGGGAATGGGCAGCAGGCGAACGATTTCCACGGCAATAGGTTAGCCAAGGCCCCGTCCGACGGTATGCCTTGTCCTGAAGCTTGCCCGTTCTGCATGACTGCATTTGTAGACCAGGATCGAGGCCAAAACCCGGATCTCTGTGATCCTCGTCTCCAACAGCTCGATGTTAGTTTCTGGACCAACGTCCCCATCGCCAACGATTATGCCGCTCGAGTAATCTCATTGTATCTTACGACCGATCATCCACTCTTAGGCATCTTTGACCCCGAACTGTTTGTTATGGATCTTGTCCATAAGCAGGCAACGCATTGTTCACACCTGCTCGCCAACTCAGTGTTGTATTGGGGATGTGTTAGTTCAACTTCCCAGAAGTCACGAAAAGATGCCGTTGACAAAGCTAACAACTATGCTCGTACAGCAAATGTACACTGCTATTGATGAAGGGGCAAGCGAACTCGCCGACCAGTTTTGCAAAGAGGCCGAGAGGCTTTGGCTGACGGAACAAAATAATGATACCATCCTAAATACAGCCAGCGCACAACTTTTAAGCTTGGCTTATCTTGGCCATGGCAAAGATCACTACGTCCTTAAATACCTTGCTGCAGCTCTAGGTATGGGCAAAAGACTCTTCTTATTTGGCGTGGAGCCAAAAGAAGCTTTGACGCATCTGCATCCTATGTCTCCAGAAATGCAGAAGGCAGTTGCTTACACTGCTTGGGGAGTCTTCAACTGGGGTGTGTGAGTACATCAATATTTTAATTCCGTTATTATCACCCTTTCTCCGTATACCAATGTCCCTCGCTCAGCAGTCTTGGTATCTCGCAGAACGACTTGCTGACTTTTCAGTCTAATTACACTTTTTTACCAGCAACCGGATCTGGACTACCCAGATCATCCCCCTGTCTTACCGATACCCGGGGAAGCGGTATCCGGTCAAAAGCATGACATGTCACCAGGCTTTAGCTCCGATATGTCAGAGGAACACATCCCGTTGTACATGGGCCGAACCTTTCCGACATTATGCAGATTCTGGCGCATTATACACGAGGTCACTCCGGTGTACTATAAAGGACGGCAAAGCCCTTTACCCGATGTTTCTCTCGACTTTGCCGAGTTTAAATATCGTGAGCTGCTTGCTTTGATGGATAAACTTCCGTCGGATCAAGTATTGAGGGACCACTGCCCACATCATGTCGTTATTTTTCAGTATGTTGCTGCTTCTACCATCATTGGTGCGTTTCTCCGCCCCTTTGCTTCGTGCTGACAGCCGTCTTAGTATTTGGTTTCACGCTGCCATTCTCGATATCTTTCGTCCCTTCATGCGTCAACCACAGCACGGACAGCTTCACCTCAAGACGTTTTCCGCCCGCAGATCCACTCCTGACGCCGCCTTCCATGCATCAGTCAACCAACTAAAACGTCTTGTCATCAAATTTCGCTGTAACTACGAGTCGTCTACCTACACACTACTTTGGCAGACTGCCTTGATATATGTGGCAAACGCCGTTTTACATGATACAGACAATCCTGAATGGCGATTCTATTTTCTAGTGTGCATATATGGTTATGAAGGACTCAGAAAGTCATATCGAGTTGCGGAAATTGTTTCTCAAGGTCTACTGACTATGACAGTACGCGACGGAGATATATCTAGCAGCGAAGCAAGGCAACTGCTCAATGAGATCAAGGAAGTAGAGGGCAGTCATGCTTCAGGCGATGTCAGAGCTACATTCATGGTCGATCTTGATCTGGCCATGGTAGACCCAGAAGCAGCTAGGGTGGAGAACTTGGCAGAAAGGTTCGAGGACATTGCTCTCTTCAGAGACTTCACGACAGTGGAAGATGAAGAACACACGAGACGCCGAGAGAAGGCAGAGTGGAGTGGTAGCGATAAATGACTGGCGCCCACGAGTACGAGGTAATGGACACTGTGTTATGGCTGTTACGAGGTAAGCTGAGCTATGATTAAATGGACAACTACCATGTTCCTGTTACTTGGAACATTCCGGGTAACTATTCTCTCGGCAATGAATGGAAGACTCGGATGGCCCTAGCCCAAATCGGGGCTGCTTCATTAGGATTCAACTTGGCCAATTTCTTAGTGGGCAAAACTCCTTCTTTGGACGATTCTATCCAGGCACAATCAAGGCGATGGCACCACAACTGTTTCCTTATACAAAGCGCCCGTATATTGTAAATATGCGGCAGTAACTGGGGTTGTCTCAGAATTGCCACTTAACAAGAGAGCCATCGGTGATGTCACATGCCGATGTCATGTGCTAAGAAGTTCAGGAATGCAAGGGGCTATTATGAGGGCTATACACATAAGAGACTTCGAGATCCTATGATAGCTATAGGCCAGAGGCGAAGGTAGTGCTTTGAAACACCTACCTAGCACAGCATCTGACACATGATGCTCGCTTCGCAATTAGAGAAGTAGGGAAAACGATAGTCCACTCAAAATCATGAATGAGACATGAAGATTTATGAATTACAGATGCCCAATTTCAAGTTTAAGCACTTTGCTAGTGAAATACACTGTTCGGCGGTGTTCAGTCGTTGCCAACAAGGCAAAGAACTCACAAAACATGGCAAAAGTAACCACATCGGAGCGAAGGTCAAGTTTCGAACAAGTGAGCCACAAATCCATAACGCCTCGCATTGTGAAGAATCAACATGCCACAACTAATGGCATCTGAATAAGCTCCGTGAGAAACAGAGGGGAAAATATTGATTATTTGAGATCAGTAACATAATAGAGCTGCGTTAACTTATTGCAGCCAATCAAAGATTTATCAACTTAGTGAAGCGAACGTGCAATAGGCTTCGCCAAATCTGCAAATGATACGAGGTAGCTCTAGAAACTGCACCACGGAGTCAGTGAACCAGTTTGAAAACACGAAGAAGATTTTGCCCTTACGAGAAACTTTCGTTATAAAACCAAACTTCGTTCGCACCAGCTTCCCCGATTACAATTGCCGTTTGCGCTGCAGTGGCAGATTTCCTCAAGTCAAAAACCATAGAAGCAGGGCCGCAGACCATCAGCCCCACCGTGCCCTGTTTCTCGGTTGTTTCCTGGGCTATTGAGGGGATATCCGGCCGCCCAGGCAAAATTTGAACATGAATAGCACCTATGGTTATCGAGCTCTCATTCAAGCTATTGGGGGTGCTCTCCACGGCTTCTTTACCATCCCCTGTTTCCAATGATATGCCGCCAAGACTGGATGCAGGATTCGATTGATGATGGCCAGTCTCATGAACTAGCACAGATATATGGGAGTTTTTGGCGCCTTCTGACATCGACTGCCTGTCAGTAATGTCGTTGAGAACTTGCAAGTACCATGATCGGAAACCAGGGTCATGAGATGCGACAACAACTGTTAGTTCAGAACTTTTCGCTCGAGACGTCAAAAAGTTCTCGATGATGGGCAGAGAGAACCCGGCTCCAGCACCTCCAACGACGACCAAAGTTCTGTCGAACCCCAAGAACCACCTGCTGGTCACCCCGCCGTATGGCCCATCTAGGAGAACAGGTATCGATCTACCAGGAGACTTTTCAGCGATCTTTGCGAGCCGACCGGTTGTTCCTCCTCTCGGCCTGATATAAAAAACCATGTCGCTTTTTTGTCCATGCTGCGGCACCGAAGCAATTGTGAATGGATGGGCTGTAAGGGTATGAACACCACTTGTCAAGAACCTTAAATAGGCATGTTGCCCTGGCATCCATTTGGTATTTGTCTTGATGGCGATCTTCAAAGAGTTCGGTGTCTCGAGTGATAGAGTTGCATAATTCAACCCGTGTTCCAAATAGGTCCTGAATTGAGAATAAAACCAACAGAGAGAATACAGGACAGCCGTCGCAATAAAGTAGTCCCAGGAAGTAAGGCGAAAATCGCAGTGTATGAAGAAGAAGATGAAGAAGATGGCGGCAGCAACGAAATGGGTGGCTTTGAAAAATTCGTAGTATCGATCTCTGCCTCACGTTCCATTCATTAATATGAGTCCTGACTGTTTAGGTAAAAGCTCTTACCGGATCCAACGAATGGACATAAAGGTTAGCCAAGCTTGTGCCAACAGGGCAATGACTCCAGTTACCCATGTTCCACCATCGTTCCATGACTTTACAATATCGCCTTTCCAAATGTGGAAAATGATGAAAGGGAACGTATGAATCAGTGCAAGGACAAACATGGCCCAAGCAACCCAGTTGTGCCAGACATTGAGTTTTTCGTGCGATATCCCAGTCAAAGTCGAAATAGGATTGGATTTTGCGCCAAGGACACTAATTATTCTATTAGAGTACACTCTCAAATCTTTTGCCTCTATTTTACTGTTACTCACAACAGGAACGGCATGCATGCCAAAGCCAAGTAACCGGCTCGGGTTGCTATAGGTGGGGAGTTACCAAAGCTCAAGTCTTTAGTGTTTGGCCAATAGTACGGACGAGGGCCCAGTGTCATGGCTAATCATACGTTTAAATCAGTAAGTGTTATTTCTTCTGGCTGGAATTTTATTTACCTGCAAAGAAAGTAATCCCAGTTGCACCAAGTATGTAGACTGCCAGCGACTGGGTATTCCAAGACCTAAAGCGCCAGCTTTTGTACGACAGGAATCGACATAAAGATAATAAGCGCAACCAGAGCGCGTTGCGCCTTACTTTCATTGGTGCGTAAAGTCCTGCAAGATTACCGATGGAAACAACAAGGATGACTGCAAGAAAGAATGCGGTAGTTGGGAGGGCATATCGATGATCAGCCTCATACCAGAACACCCAATATCGAGATTTGTAGGCGCACTGTTCTGGCGTCATCGAACATTTTCCAGAATCACGGCTCGAGTGCAGCATGACGGGTTGATCCAACCACGGTAAAGACATCTTGAAGAAAAGATTGGTTGAAGAAACCTGTTAGCCAGTTACAGATGCACATTTGCTCTGGTTGTGTGAGCGAGTCCAAAAGGTTGGCGATTATTGACAGCTTCGGAAACGGCGAGATTAACAAGCCTGGTGCTTTTGGGAAGGAATGTACGTAGCGTCAGCGGCCAAATAAACTTACAAACGCTGAGCGCGTTTTTTTCTTTCCGCTCTGTATCAGAACCACCGCGATTGTTCACGGGCGCGTATGCGTAAGCCCTTTTGATCCACTGATCTGAGTGTCTCGATATAACTATCCGGGTATTGAGCGAGTTTGAGCTGATTTAGAAATATACTTCGGCACTGGATAGCCGGGCCCCAGCCAGTTGATCCTGAACTGATCAAAACCGCAGATACTATTGGGCAATGCCCTAGTTGCGGGCGATCGACAACGGACAGAAGTGTATTGAATGCACCCCCACAGTTCTGTTTCGACCCCCGAACGGAGGTGAAATGCCGAATCATCCTAGCAGCGGAAGAAAACTTGCTCATGTTGTGCTGCGGCCCCGTCTGCCGGAAACAAGCTTTGAAGGAGCCGCAGTCGCTTCCTAGGAACTAAGTAAACAGAAAGCTTGACTTTTCGCCTTAAATAAGAAGACCCGCTACAAAAAAGCCAGTCATAATCCAGGTTATTTATTCCCATCAAACCTTCACGATCAAGAGTCGCAGCCGAAAAATAACGACTGCTAGCGTAGACCGGACGCTTCCTCTCTTCCTATTATTCACCTTTTTTTTTTTTTTTTTTTTTTTTTTTTCCATTGGTTATCTACAAAGTTTCTACGTCAACGACTCTGATATTCACAAGCCAAAAAGGAAGTTTTGCTTGGTTGCTTCAACAGGGGGTATCCGTCAGCAAACATAATTCAGAACCCTGTACCGATACAAAGAGCTGGTCAAGATGATGGACATGAATATGGCAACGTCGACTGCCATGGCTATGTCTACACCAACAGGCATGTCCGGTGACATGTCTGGTCACATGTCTATGTCGATGGAAGACATGGCTATGACATTCTTTGAGGCTTTTCAAACCCCACTATTCTCTCAGGCTTGGACGCCGACCAACAAAAGCGAGTACGCGGGGACATGCATATTTCTTATCATTCTAGCTTGTATACTCCGATTACTGCTAGCACTGAAACCGATACTGGAGCAGCGTTTCTGGATGAACCATAGCACTTACGAGTCGGATAAACGGTCTCTCATCCCACCCGGAGACGATGCAATCGAACCGGGAATGAAAGTTACGGTGATACGCGGAGATGTAGCTCGACGGTGGAGAGGATGGCGAGCCAGTGCTGCTGCTGCGAGAGCAACATACGAAGTCATCATTGGAGGGGTTGGATACCTACTGTAAGTGGGCTCTTGCAAGTATCCGACAAGTACTGATTCTTGGACATTTAGAATGCTCGCAATCATGACAATGAACGTCGGCTATTTCCTTTCCGTCTTAGGAGGCATTTGGCTTGGGACGTTTCTCTTGGGTGGTCTTGCCAGTAGCAGCGCGACGATATGTTAGGTAATTAGGCATTTATAGCATTCAAATCCATGGAGTCGACCATGGACTAGGATTATCTATGGTGACATCCACTGTGTGCAATGTAGAGACTGACATCAGTAGAAAATATTATTGCGCAAATGAAGTACTTGTACACAGATGATCGTAGCAGAATTTCAAAGTTTGGTAAATTTTCAAGTATTGTAAGCATCGCTAGCCAAATCTACAAATGCTCCGTCATTTAACTGTCGTCCTGTATCAGAATTCTCATGATGTCTCATTTTTGGCAGCCTCTTCTTCGAACAATACAAGCACAGTTCCAGCCTTGCAGATATCCTGTTTTTGGTCAGTCATTGGCTTGTAATTCAGGAGGGCTGAGAAACTTACACCCTCTTTGTGCGCCAATCGCTTAATGATGCCTCTCTGGGGCGATCGAATGACTGTCTCCATCTTCATGGACTCGATACTATCGCTTCAAGTCAGCATTTAATTCAGTAGCGATGGCACGCCTCGTTTATATACTCACACTACTAGAGGGGCTCCCTTCTCCACCTCTTGTCCCTCCTCAACCTCGTTCTTCAAAATCTTGCAAGGCATAGGGGCCACTACCGAGGCAGTAACTTCCTTCAGACCGAGTGCCTTCTCAAACCACGTCGGCGGCAGAAGAGAAAGCTCAGTCTTGACGCCGTGCTGGAAAACGATGATTTTGGTGTCTTGTTCGCTCAAGGCATTCTGCACAACGGTAGACTTCACTCGCTCCGAGGGGAAGTATGTCGTTAAAGCACTTGTTGTCGATGTGTTTGACAGGGTTTTGCTGACAAGGTTCTCGAAAACCTCAGGCGATTCTTGGCTCTTCCTCGAAACTCGAGTCGTAAACAGTTGATGCCCTGTTTGTGTGATGCTAACCTCAACCACCTCTCCTTCTTGCTCGCTATAAGAGTCAAGCACCTTGAAAGCGAACTTTCGTTCGCCCAGGGTGCTAGCCTCGCCGAAACCAAGGCTGCCGCCATGAGGTCCTTCATGAACAAGCTGGGCCGATAGAGAGCCCAAGGCTGCTTGTACAAAAACTTCATTCTCGATTGGCCGAGGCTTAAACAGTTCTTCCTTCCACTTCTCGATGAAACCTGTCTCAACATCGCCCTCAATAAAGGCAGGCGACCTACATAGCCGCTTGAGGAACTCGATGTTGGTGCTGAGGCCTACTACTTCGTAGTCCCGGAGGGCCAACTCCATCTTGCGGATAGCAGTTTCTCTGTCCTTGCCCCGGACGATGAGCTTGGCAATCATTCCGTCATAAGCTTCCGAAACAGTATCGCCTTGGACAAAGCCGGCATCGATACGTATATCGTCGTTTGTCTTGGGGGTAGTGAGGTGAATTAGTTTACCTGAGTCGGGCATGAAGCCCTTTTCAGGGTTTTCGGCGTAGATGCGAGCCTCAATGGCCGCGCCATATTGCTTGATGTTGTCCATGATCTCTTGCTGCGTCAAGGGCAACTCCTCACCAGCAGCGACGCGGAACTGCCACTCCACGAGATCAGTCCCAGTGACCATCTCACTAACAGGATGCTCAACTTGCAGGCGGGTGTTCATCTCCATGAAGTAGAACTCGCCAGTGTCTCGGTCCAGAATGAACTCGACCGTGCCGGCGCCAACGTAGTTGACTGCGAGCGCGGCTTTCCTTGCCTTCTCCCAAAGGTCTAGACGCGTCTCGTCATCAAGGTTAGGGGCTGGTGATTCTTCGAGGATCTTCTGGTGACGTCTCTGGACACTGCAGTCGCGCTCTCCCAATGCAACACAGTTGCCCAGCTTATCAGCAAAAACCTGCACCTCGACATGGCGCGGCCGGACGATATACTTCTCAACGAGCATAACCTCTCCGCCCTCACCAAATGACGCACGAGCCTCGGCTCTAGCACTGCGTAGCTGGGCTGCGAACTCGTCCTCCGTCATGACGATGCGCATACCCTTTCCGCCACCGCCTTTGACACTCTTCAGCAGCACAGGAAACTTGATGTTCTTGGCATGCTGCAGAAGCTGCTCTTCGCCTTGTTCCGAGCCGTGATATCCGGGTACACACGGTACGCCAGCAGCGGTCATGATCTCTTTGCTCCGCGCCTTATCTCCCATGTCTGCCATGGCCTGTGCTGGAGGCCCGACGAAAACGATGCCTTCCTGCTCGCAGCGCTCAGCAAACTTTGAGTTTTCGGATAAGAAGCCATATCCGGGGTGCAGCGCCTGAATTCCATGCTTCTTAGCCAAGGAAATGATGCGCTCTCCGTCGAGATACGCCCTCGGCTCGCCTAGGGCGAGCGAATGCGGGGAACATGCGGCGTGTTGGCTGGAGCTGTCGGGATCCGTATACAGCGTTGTTGTCCGGATACCGAGCTTGTCTGCAGTCTTGTGAATTCGCAAAGCGATCTCACCGCGATTCGCAATTAGAAGGGAGGTGATTGGGGTGATCTGGCTCGAGGCTGGGATGGACTTCCCAGCTGCCGAGGAAAGGAGGCGAGGGAGGGGGCGGACGAGCCGATGCTTCGCCTTCATTGAACGCATGATGAACAGCTGAGATGCGAGCGCTGGATCTCCAATTCCGGACGTCAATTGAGTGTCTACAGAACGAAAATGTTAGGGCCAGGCAGAGAAGAATGGAGAGAAGTACTGGTGATCAAAACGGCTCGAAGACAAACCGAGGTGTTGAAGGAGCTTCGGTTCGTAGCGTCTATCCATGCGGTGCCGACAATAGCCGTGGGCGTTGAAAGCCGCTGGAAGGCGTCCCCAGGCCGACCCCAGACTAAGCCCGGGCCGCGTCCATCCATACCTCAGCTAGAGTGACATCTGAGGGTAGAGAACCGCCGAGCTTTGCCCTCATGCAATCTTTAATTCAGTCAGCGTTGGCTTGTTCACACTATTATTTCTTAATTTGGTTTCAATTATAGCTCTATTTTGATCAATTCTTGGTTAGAAGTAGAAGGTAGCGTAAATCTCGAGAGGTTGAAAGCTCAACTCATCCACTAATAGTCACTGAACGACCGAAGGCATTGGCATCACTGGCAGGTTTACAGCGCATTGGCCAGCCAGCTGATAAGATAAACGAGTGAACAGTCTACGTCATCCTGTTTGGTCAAGTCCCCAGGACCTGAGCAATGGTTCCATCTGCCCCGCATTAGTCAGCGTGGATGGGGCTCGCATCTGCCCATCTTTCCAGCCCAGCCGATCATTCCAACAGAGCTTCAATTGGGAAAGCTCACGATATCAGCAGCTCTTCACCACAACCAACACAATATGGAGCAACAAGTACCGCTCAACTACGAGGCTTCGGCCGGCGACACAAACAAGCAGGTCACGACTACTCTACCGCAAGAAGTCGTGCAATGCCTTGAAAATGCGCGATTCGTAAGCTCCGGGCTGCCCCTCCCCCTCCATGCCATGAAGCTTCCTTCAAGAGTCCTACCGCTTCGAATTTGAGCTAACTTGGACTTGACCGGGCCTTATAGCTCCACCTGGCAACATGCAACGATAACATCCCCAATGTCTCGCTCATGAACTACACCTATCTCCCTTCGTCGAACTACTCCAGCGGTCCCGTCATTGTCATGACCACGAACCCCGCTTCCAGGAAGACACATAACCTTCTTTCGAACCCCAACGTCTCTCTCCTGGTTCACGACTGTACACTTCCCCGAAAGTAAAGGTTGGTGTATTGTAGCATACACTAACATTCTATAGGGTCTTCCCACCGACCTCCGACTTCCGGACGACGCCCCTCAGGCGGCAGCCCCGGCCCCGAACACCGCTCCAGCTTAGCCTCGCTACTCCTTAACCTAAACACCGCAGCAGTATCCAGCATCAGTGCCACGATCAACGGAACCGCAAGGCTGGTGGATAATGGCTCTGACGAGGAGAAGTTCTACCGCGAGGCGCACCTCGAGAACAACACCTTCGACGAGGGCCAGACGTTCAACCCAAGCGTGCAGGCTGAGGATGGCGGCAGGGGATGCTTTGTTGCTGGAGAGGAGGTACGAGTCATTGTTGTAACGATCAAGGAAATGAGGATCAGCGATTGGAAGGGTGCGGTGCGGGATTATGTCCTTGTGGAAGGAGACCCTGCCATTGCTCCTCAGGTCAACGGCGTACGGTAGGATAGTTCTACAATGACAAAACGTGAACAACAAGATTTGGTGTTCGGTATATCGGGTTCGACTACCTTCAGGTGACCGTACCTTATGCTATCGAAAGTTTGCTCGTAAGGACAACCTGGATAAGGTGCTTGCCGGTGGACACCGACACATACCTACCCATTCGTAATGTTTGACCAGCTGGATATAGCCCAGTTTCCCAAAGCAGCAACATCCACCATCCACTACAAGGAATACCTAAGACTTTTACGATTGATAGGGTTATCCGCGGCTAGGGGCCCAGCATGGCTTTTTGGGATAGAAATGCCCAATTTAACGTACGCTGATCAGCAGTTAAGCCTTGCGGATTAAACGGAGGCACTACACACAAGAGGAAAAAGTTTCAGCATTGTGCAGCAACGGGAGGTGAATCGCCGGCGAAGAAGGCGGGCTAGGAAATCCGTATTACGGATAAGAAGCTTAAGGTTCCGCGTGATGGTGCCGGGGGCGGGGGGCATCTCCAGCATTCTCCGTCCAGCCCCTTTCTTGAAAATGCCAATCCCCTCTCTCTCACGGCCGCAACATGTACCACGGGAGGCTAGCGGGATCGACAGATTGATCCCGGGAGTTTGGGGAGTGTCCGTCGGCAATAGAACCTTTTAAAGACATGACGGCAAATTCAACCTACCACCTACTTCTTCTCGAATCCCAATGGGGTGATTTCCGGCGGAAATGAGGGGAAAGAAGGTCTAGGAGACGAACACTAAGGGAGATCGAGGACATTCAACCTGCAATCCCCAACTACGTTACGGCGGCAGGCAAGGCGTGAAACATTTCAGGGATGGGCGTTCGGGGTTCCCTGCAGCAGGCTGACATTCGGCATGTCATTCGGAGCCAAGTTCAATGTTTAAGCATACAGTCGCCAAGGAGAAGCTGCCTAGGTTCGGGGGGAAATGGACAGGCGACATCGGTTGGGGCCGAAGAAAGCCCGACTTTGTTCGGCTCTTCAAACGCCGGTCGAGACTATACGGCAAATGATACCCCGATAGAGGTTATCACGCTGAAAAGGCTGATGTGATTCTGCGGGTTAGCATGTGGTGGAAGAGAATTAGCAGCAAGTCTACGTTTTCAACATCACATAACAGGGGTTTGGTCCGAATCGGTTGCATGAGTCTATTAAATGTTTATGTAGTATTGTTGTCGCTGGGACGCAAGTGTTGATAGAACGCTAAAACAAACTGCGGCAAAAAAAAAGCCATCATTGCATCGGCTTCCTAGCCGTTACAAAAGATCTAAAGTAATGCGTCAGACATTATGATCATAACCTCAATCGAAACCGTCTTGGGCAACTTACACCTTTCCGTAAGCCTCGTTTGCGGGATCACGCGATTCCTTGTGGACTCTCTGCAACAGGGCCCGGGTATCATTCTCATCCCATCCTCCCTTGCCAAACACGGCCAGCGAGTAGTTCTCCAGTCCTGGTAGCCATTAGTAGATGAAAACCGTGGAATCGGAGAAAACAGTTTAGGGTGACTAACCATATTCAAGCATGTGAGCAAATTCAGCTCCTTTCCTCACCATCTTCTCATCATGACCCACAGCCTGGATGGGCACCAAATCTGACCAACGGCCAACCCTCTCGAAGCCCACATCCGTAAGAATGGCAGGTATTTTAGGTATAGGGTCAAAATCTACACCCGCAATTTTGGCCATTTGCCCAAACCGCACCTCAAACTCACGGCAGGCCGTCATGGGTCCTTCTTTATCCTCTTCCTTGGCCCGCGTCGTAGGCTCGTCCCCGCTGCTATCGATGAGGTCGAAGTACCGTGTCCTCACTTCCGAGAACTCGATTAAACCACCCGGCTTAAGATGCTCGTATGCCTGCTGAATCACGACTTTCCAGTCAGGCACGCCACCGCCAACAAGGTTGCGCATGTGCACGAAGTCAAGACTGTCCTTTTCTCGGGCCCAAGGGTCAGTTGCGTCCTCGACTTCGAAAACGACGTTTGGCGGGACGTTTGTTGGTAATAATGCTGCCGACATGTCGACACCCATAATCTTGGCCAGGGGATACTGCTGGGCCATTTCAACGGCCCAGTTCCCCGTGCCAGCGCCGATATCAAGAATGTTCAGCGGTCGATCTGTCGGTAATTTAGTTGCCGTCAAACCGCCCTCGAGACAAAGCTTGAATAGTTGATGCTGAATCTCCAAACGAGCCCGCTCGGACTCATCGTTGGGCATGAGAAGAATACCGGATCCGTGGTAGGTGTGGCCATAAGCGCGGATGGGTGGGAGCTCATCCACGGAGACGGAACTGTAATCTGAGCCAGCATCCGAGTCGTCATCATCGTCGTTTTCATCGGTCACAGAAAAAGCCTGGGCCGCGCTCTGCCGTGAATGCCGCCTCCGATTCTTGTGATCTTCCCGGTCTCTCGTCGAACCAACACAGTCGGCCCTGCGCCTGGCGCTTTCGCCAACGCTGGGGTCTCCCGTGACGGCATCCACGTCCCTGCCCATGGAATTGTTTTGGTGACTGTTGTTGTTGGTTCAAGAGTAGATGGATCTTGTGGACAGATGAATGCGATAGCGAAGGATGCCCGTGCCAACAATCCGTCAATGATTAAAAAAAAAAAAAATAACTAGTTGCCTCTCTTCTGTTCTCCCTTTTCGGGTCTCTCGAGATGGATGTACTGCACTAATGGACTTTCGCAATTCCAAAAAAAGCGATCGTGGGGCTTGGCGTACGACGGGAGCACGTGGTATGGCTTGATAATTTCCCCGAAGAGAGAATGGGAAAGAAGAAAAAGAACGATCCCCCAGTCCGTGTGTTTGAGCGCGGGGAAGACGGGTTTGCGTAGGTCGAATGATTTGAGGGCCAGCGGATCCCTTTGTAATTTGACCCTTGATAGATAACTGATGGTAATCAGGGAAGGGGTCTGGAGAACAAGGACAAGGGAACCCCGTTTAGTTTCAATCCTGATTGTGTGGATAAAGAGATGTATGACAATACACACAAAGGAGCCAGGGCCACGGACGCGGTGTATAGAGGCAAGCAAGAAGCAAAGAATAAAGCTAATGAGCACCTAGTTGAAAAAAGGGGAGAGGGAAGAACGGCAAGAAATGGACTGGACTGATGCAAGCGTGACTGGCTCGCCGCGACTGGATTTGACTTGACTGGGTTTGGTTTTGGCCTTGGACTTGGACTTGGACTGAATGTGGATGGGCCTCCACGTTCTTCGTTTTTGGTTGCCGGGACCTGACGCCATCAAATCACACTCGGATCCCGGTTGAGTGACTTATTCCCCAATGAGAGTGGTGATCTGAGAAGGAAGCGGGAGTGGACGACGCCCATGGCTGAAATGCCATGGATGGGGGTCATGGAACGTTATTGCGTGTTTGCCGCCCTGGAGGCACATGAAAATCAACCATGGAAGTTTCTCCGTACATTGGTTGACATGGGGAAAAGGAAAAAGGAACTGAAAAAAAAAAAAAAAAAAAAGTTCGAGAAAACCCCCGCTCGCAGAAGGGAAGAAAAAAAAAAGATGTACATTGCACGTATGTATTGAAAGGAGGGGATACAAAAAGAATGGGGCGGTTAGGCTGTAGCTGGCACTGGATGCAGTGTACAAGTTTGCAGGAGAGCATCTACACTGTAACCTAAGCGGAGGGAACCTAGGAGCGGCATCTTACCTGCCCTGTCCATTGCAAGGATACGATGCAGGGAAGCAGAGGGGAAACGAACGACAAGACAGGGCAAGACATATGGCGTACTATGTGTACTATGTATCCGTAGAGGCGCCTAAAGCTAGGGTCTGTTGGATTTGAATAGGATCGCCAGGGCAAAAGCCTCAAAGCCTGAGAGAAAAAGGCAAGGAGGAAACAGACAAGAAGGAAGTCTAATCAAATCCCGTGGCTTTCAACGGCTAACCATGTCTCTTGACAACCTAGAAGAGAAGACGTGGACTGGGCGGGCACCTTGTCCGGATACGTACGCAATCCATTTCATCTAAACCTTCACACTTGTTATCCGTACATGGGATCCCTCTCTTTCGTACTGGTGGTATACTATGGCAAGGTAGACACCGTATAGTTGCGTTCCATCACTTGTGTGTTGCTTCATCCCGGGCCATAGCAAGGCAAGGCAACAATAGCACCTTGTTCCAGCCTCGTAGCGTCTAGCTTCCTTGCTCCAAGGTGGTATGAATCGACCCAAGCTCAACCAGGTATTCACATCATGATCCCACCCCGTCTCGGGGTTGCCCTCCATGTGCACTAATTCGTCACCCCTCAACGGCCACATACCACCGAATCCAGCCTAGAATATTCCTCACTTCCTGGCGGGATGCAACCTTGGTCGGCAAGGCCATTCTGACAGGCTTGCTTTAGTGGCCGAACAAAGAGGGACGACAACCCTGCTCGTCAAACCACAAACCGAGCTGTCCCGCAGCGAAGATCGCTGGTTGTTCCCCCTGTCGTAATTCTGCAGGACAGCCCGGCCCGAAGCGGTGGACCTAACGCAGCTGTTGAAGGTATCTTTAGCTATACTAGTAATGCGATTACAGCTTTCTAGCGGTCTCCTACGCCGAGGGCGTCACGGCCACTCACTCACACGAGTTTAAAAAAAAAAAAAAACGACAAGGGGTTAAACTTGTCTATCTTGGAGGTCTTAACCGCCCAGGGTGCCACGCTACGTCTACTTGCCAGGTAGGGTGATGTGATGCGCATGCCATTCGAGAAGCCCGGCACATGAGGAAAAAAATGAAATTTGACGAAATGAATTATGGGGGTATACCCAAGACGATGCGGTGAGGCAGATATTCAATAGTTTCAACTCCATCAAGGTTTCTTTCATTTTGCCCCCCCCCCCCCCCCCCCCCCCCCCCCCCTTTGTTTTTCCCCCCTCTGACTCTTCCCTCCCCTTAATTATTTGGGTTGTTTAGTTGTTTGTTCCTCTGATTTGTTTTGATTCCTCTCTTGTTTTTCTTACAATTTTTTTTCTCAAGTGACAGACAGGGGTTGAGTTATGGCGGCTTTGGCAGGGCCCCGGTTTCACGCTGTCATCCACCAAAAGAAAATATCTCACGATGGAGCTTTCTAATCTTGGCATCTGCCAACTTGTTGTGCGTTCCATCGCCCATCTATTCGAGTTCCCCGAGTTGCTCCCCTAACGGCCGATATTGGTGGCAAAGACCAATTCCCGTTGGGCCGCGGTGTTTTTTTTTTTTTTTTTTTTTTTTTTTGGATTGATTTTTTAAATCAACGCACCAGAGATCCACGTTCTTTGAGGGGCAGTTTGTGGTTACACTGCTTCTGCAGAATCAACCAACACCAAGCTTGAGCCTCTCTCTTGACTCACGTATCCGAGTTGCTGCGGTTGCTTTTACACCGACTTGACTGTCGTAACCAATCAACGATTCCCTCTCCCTTTTGTCGCCTGAAGAAACGGGGAACAAAAGCGTTCAATGTTGCGTGCCGTCACATCATTCACATGTGCTAGTAGTAAGAGCTCGGTGGGATGCCCAAATGCGTCTTTACGGTCCTCTCAGGGCGGCTCAATACTTGCATTGGGTCGATGAATTGCTCACTCGTAACGGGGCCTGCATCACGGCATTCACTCGTCACAAAAAGGCGCATCCGAAGGGCCAATAAGACTTATCTCCATGGCTGCTCATCACACGTCGGTTTGTCCCTCTTGTTCAGGCAGAAACCAAGGGGGCCAAAGTTGGCATATGACACAGGCGCTGCTGTATCTATCGATGGATCGACATTCCATGAGGGTATCTAAGATAGGGTGCCTTACACGTAGTACGGAGGGCAAGGTAGATAGGTAGGTAGGTAGGTAGGGATGTGACAGCCAAGATGTAGTGGGGGACGCCAGCTCATCTCCCCCGCTTGCTCCAGTCAAAACACGGCAAAACAGGCGAACTGAAAGCTCCATAATCGCGTGGCTTGACGTGTTTCCGGGCTGATCCGACATAATATGAAATATCCAAAATCCTAGCATTTACTGAAAGAAGATACTCCGCCAAATCGCGGACGTTTATACAGTTTCGATGTACCGCTTCACTTCCCTGCACGAAACAAGAGTTAGCAAATCTCAACAAAACAAAACAATCCCCGCCCATGGCTCTTGAAGATTTGTCAGGGGTGGGTACGCACCAGTCTGTCACAGCCTCCTCCCAAAGGCGAATTTCGTGGTCTCTCGTTCCTCCAAAGTGGTCTACGAAGTCGTCACCAAACACCTCTCTTGCTATGCTCTCCTTGCGGGTGAATCGGTCATTCGCCTCACGCAGACTCTTGGCGAGTCTGGTGCCCTGATCGCTCTTGCCACCGATTTCCTCGCCCTTGCCCAGTGGCGGGCACGGGATCTCCAGCTTCTTCTCAATGCCTCGCCATCCAAGCGCAAGAATAGCAGCCAGAACAAAGTGAGGATTAGTGTCAGCTCCGGGAACACGAACTTCGAAGCGAGTCGCGCCGGGTTTGGATGTTGGTGGAGCGATAAGACGGATCGACGCGGCGCGGTGCTCCAGGCCCCATGAGACGGTTACTGGCGCCCAGAAGTTCTCGACTAGCCGCTTGTACGAGTTGATTGTAGGGGCCAGGAGAGGCATGATGTCTGGAAGACCCTCCAGGAGACCGGCAAGGAAGTGGCGACCAAGGTCAGAAAGTCCGGCCACATCAGGGTAAGGCGGGTTCTCGTCTGTGGTCTCTCTGGCGAAAAGGTTCTTGCCGTACTTATCAACGATGGAAACATGCATATGACCGCTGTTTCCAGGCAAGCCTTGCTTCGGCTTCGCCATGAAGCACGGGGTGATGCCGTACTTGGTCGCGACGGATTTGACAACGTATCTGCAAAGGCGCCGGTTAGTCAGGTTGCAAAGTGTGGCTTGCCAACATCAACCTACTTGAACAAGCTGGCTCTGTCCGCCATCTGCTGGATCTCGCCAAATTCAAGCGCTGCCTCGAACACACCAGGGCCACTCTCGGTATGCCATCCCTCGATATCGCACTTAAACTGGGCGCAGCTCTCAAAGACATCGTAGAAGTAGTCCTTATTGTGTACTGTTCTGGTCAAGCTGTACCCAAACATGCCCTCGGTCAAAGACGGCAAAGCCTGGGGAGGGTTCTCTTGTAGGTATCCGGCTGTGGAGCTCGAGGACTCGGAAGAGCGGGTGGGCGTCTTAAACTGGTAGAATTCGTACTCGGCTGAAGATGTGCAGTTCTTGTCAGCTCATTTCGCGATGGCGCGGCTCTGCAAATCGTGTTGGGCAACTCACCTCCCGCCATGGCACCGTAGCCCTTGGCTTGCAGCTTCTCCAGCGCCCCCTTCAGCAGGCCACGGGGGCACGCACAAATGGGTTTCTCAGTGTCTGGGTCGTAGAAGCTGACGAGGAAGAAGGGCACGTTATCTTCCCAAGGAATGCGCCGGAAGCTGGAAAGATCAGGAATCGCAATCAGGTCGTGATAGCCGTTCTCCGCGTTGCTGATCTTGAGCTCCCGAATGTACGTCATATCGTGCATATCCCAGCCAAAGATGACGGAACAAAAGCCAAAGCCCGACTTCGCGATGGACAAGAACTTGTTCTTGGACACTAGCTTGCCGCGCAGCATGCCATCGACATCGATGCCGGCGAGCTTCACCTTATTGTCATGTTTGAGAATCTCTGGGAGCGTCTCGATAGTGACGTTTTCGTGGTGATGCGACATGGTGGATGGGGACGAGAACAGGAGCTGTCAATTGACTTTGGATGACGCTGGATGGGATGAATGACCCTGGATTTAGCAGATCTGGCGGGGTAGCAAGTCGCTGCCTCTGTCTGTCTTTCTCTTTTTTCCCTCTGGATGTGGAACAGAGTCAGGTTGAGGTAGAAGTTTTAGGTTGAGGTTTCGAGACTAGACGAGCACGAGAGGAGGATGATAGCTAAACTGAGCAAACAGAAAAAGAGACAAGACGATGCAAGACAAGATACGAGAAGGCCGAACCGGACTGACTGATCGCGGGGCTTGGAAGCGTACCGGCGTAATACGTATGGGGATTTTGGGGTATTGTTTACTGGGATCCCAAGGTCCCCCGTGCTTGCAGCAACGAATGTGGATGCTTCACCGATAAGAGGGCGTTACGGCCAATGGAATGCTGCGCTTGGGGCTGGGTGACCATGATATCGGGCCGGACAATGATACCAGGGATTCGCGGGTGGTAGAGTTTGGCCCAAAACGACGTGCTGTACAGCAATAGCTACCAGCTGCTACAGCAGTTTTAAGACCTTGTTTGGGTAGTTGATGACGCTGTCAGGCTGGTTAGCCTGTTTCCCCCAGCCTGTCAAGCTTCCTTGCTGTCTGGTGTTGTCATGGGGCTTATTGCGCACTGTGAGTGTGAGTACCTTTAGCTACTAGTACTCACTGACTGTAAAGCGGTCACTAGGCCAGATCCAAGTTCTTGCTACCGTACTACGTACTACGTAGGTGCACCCGTTTCTACCCCTCGGTTTGAAGCGGGGAATGCTTGTTACAGAGTACGGCGCTGAAGTGTGCATCTCCATAGATAGAATACTATGGATACTTACCTACCTGCTATATAGTGCGGCTACGCACTCCAACAAGACGGCATAGGACGGCACAGATGACTCGAGGCGAGGAAGTGGACTGAAAATGGCTGGTGCAGAGGAGACATGCGTCATTGCTGGTTGGCAGCACTGCACGGACCACAGTACGTACCTGCATGATTGACCCACGCTGAACGAGTATTTGACGTTTCCGATAGGCATAGAGTGACAAAACACAGGCGGGGAAGGCGAATTGAGAGACCAACGTTGTAGTGTGCGGATACACAAGGGGAGAGAGCGCTGCTGTCAGGAACTGTGACTGCCGTTTGGTGTAGGTAGCTAGACTGGACTGTCGAGGCGACAATACAAAAGTGTCTCAACCAATAGACGATTCAACTAGCTTGCCGGTTTTGGGGGCGAGGAAGAGAAAAAAAAATCTTTTCATCGTCACCGTTTGCTCGCCTCTCTTACCCAGGTCTTTCTTCGCTTCTTCCCCTCTTCAAACACTTGGCTTGGCCTCCCCGAGTCATCGACCTACCTACATTACACAATGCACACACGACCAAGCTAGGGGGGCTGACGGCCTCAGCTGGCGGCTCGCCTTGCCGCACGTTCATACCTGCGACTTGCGGCACTGCAGACGATGGAGGGGCCCAGATCGACTTCAAAGGAACATCCCCGAAGCTAGGACCAGATCGTTTGGTCTTGTGTCCAAATGCTCCCCCCATCCAATGCCGACAACGGGATGATGATGGAGAAGGACCCCTTTTTTACATACCCACAGTCACGCCCGAAGCAAGACAAGATACCGAGGTAGACCGTTGGTCACAATGCAATACGTGCAACGTGTGCTGATTATCCCTCTTCCAGTTCTTGTAATTTGCCGACTGCAACGACATTACTCAGGTCACAGATACCATGTTCATCTTCACATCTCCGCCCATGGCGATACTCACCGCTGCTGTCATCACCAGGACATCAAGCGCATTTGGCAACGCAGCTCATCGCGCCTCCGGGAAGCAAGCCAGGTTTCCAGATGCCGGGATCCACGAATCGCGTGTTTGTGAATGGTAATGGATTGGCCGGCCCGTTCGGATTCAAACACCACATGAACGATTGGCATTCCCCGTTGCGAGCCAAGCTGCCCACATGACGATGGGAGCTGAGAGGGGTGGACGGTGTGTACTATGTAGGAACGGGCTCGACCTGGCCGCCGCCCTCGCCTATGTATCCCTTACCGGCTGCTACTCCATGCACTCTGTCCCCCGGGTGAGTGGCGGCGCATCTGATCACTTAGAATGAGTATGTGCCTTTTTTTTCGCGTCACCTCTGCTTCTAGCCCGAGTCTGCTCCCTTGCTGCTATTGGTCTGGTGCCGGCTTAGCTCAATTCCCAAATGCACTGTCGGATGCACCAAGGGTCTTTGCTTCTTTCTTCCCTTTGTTATCAAAATGGAACATCAGCATCCAAAGATAAGACTTCAAAAAAGACGACCAAGAAACTTGCGAGGTACGCAGTTTTGCCCCAAAATAAACATCTAGGGTACCCTTTCCTCACGCTTTCGTCCATCCTCCACTGGCCCCCTCTTTTATCAGGACGCTCTCTCACATTGTGTTCCACCCTTCTGTAGTCCCTACCCCATACACCCCTCCCACCCCTCCTTCTCCTCTATCAGAGACGGAGGGGTTGGTTCCTGACCTCACCTCCCGTCACGTCCGTGTCCCTGGCCAACCGGGATTCAATGATAAGAGATAACGCGATATCGGACTTGCGGCCGTCAACACGTTTCTTATGCGCCGTCTTTGGCATTGTACCATGCTTGCAGTGCAGTCACTTTGCGCATCACGAACGAATGGTTTGCGTTTCCGACAGACATGACGGGGGCCAGGCGGTTCTCGATCACGATCTCTGCGGATCTCGCGATATGAAGTTGGACAAGCCAACACATCCTCCCATTACTACTACTACGGCTTGCTACAGTCTGCTACAGTACAGTCTCCGGGGGTTTTTGGGTTCTTCATTCTTTAGACGGTAATCGGTCACGATGCGTCTCTGTCAGAATTATTCGGCCTGCTCGTCGCACTTGCTCTCTCAAGGGGTTCAAATCCGCCCGGGGAAGGCGAGGAGCGAGCTAATCGGGAGCTACTGTGAAGGAACGGCGAAGGCTTATATGTATCCCGATAAGTATCCAGGTCCGCTCCCGCACGCGCCTTCCCTTGTATCCAGTGCCCACTCCGTGTATGTTTCTGTGTCCACATCTCATTCGGAGCAGGAGCTAAGGCAAGAAAGAAGGAGGGTAGATACGGTGTATCATCTACTACTATCAGACTATCGTAAGCCATAAAAGTGGCAGGGGCGGGAGAGACGGTGGCCTGGACCCCAGATTTCCTTGACTCATCTGTTACCTACCTGACCAGAAGACCGTCCTTCCGTCTCTGCTTTCCTTTTTGCCGTCTCCATTCTACTAATCCAACCCCGTGCTGGTCTGCTTTAAACTGTTCTCTTCTTCGTGTCGTGGTGTTTATCGAATCTTCTTCCTCTTTTCATCTCAAGATCTTTCAAAAAAAGAAACCGATACCCCAACGCTGTCTTTGCCCTACGGACTTCGACTCATCCGTTTGCCACATCACATACTCACGACTTGCGATTTTACCACCACGATCAAAGCACCCTAAACAACCAGCCAAATGGGTTCCGTTCCTACTGAAATCGGCGGAAGACTCGCTGGCAAGAATGCCATCGTTACCGGTGCCGCAGGGTAAGCAAATTGTTCCTCTACCAAGTTGCGAATTCGCCTTATCGTGGGTGCCGAATGTCGGCAAGCCTAATGGCTGGGCATTCACGACTTGCAACGAAGAATACGAGATGCTGACTTTTTTTTTTCTCCCATGACAGTGGTATTGGCCTCGAGACGAGCATTCTCTTTGTGAAGGAGGGTGCCAACGTTATGATGGCCGACATTTCTGCTCCCGCGCTGGACAAGGCTAAGGCCAAAGTTATCCAGCTCGTCCCCTCGGCCCAGGTCGACACAAAGGTACGTTCGTCTGCGCCTCCGTCAACGGCAAGCGCACGTTCTCTCAGTGCGAATAAGATGCATTGGAAGATTCCATTCCCGCCCCTCCGATAATCCGCCGAGTCAACCACAAACACGTTGCACCACACCACGCCCAGAACAGAATTGTCTTGCATCCCGATAAAACTACCCCGCCATTGCCCCGCCATCCATCCGTCAATTGCGCCTTGTGACATCTTCCCGCCCCCCCGAAACATCGCGACACTACAGTGACTAGGGAAGAAAATCAATTGGACACATGGGCTAACTTGCCACCACCACCAACAGGTCTGTGATGTTTCCAAGGAGGACCAGGTTAAGGCCCTCGTCGAGTCGGTCGACCCCTGGGGCGGTGTTGATGTCATGTTCAACAACGCCGGCATCATGCACGCCCGCGACGATGATGCTGTCAACACCCCCGAGGAGATCTGGGACCTGACCCAGAACATCAACGTCAAGGGTGTCTGGTTCGGCAGCAAGCACGCCGTCCTCGCTCTTCGCCGCGCCGGCAAGAAGAAGGGCTCTATCATCAACACGGCCTCCGTCGTCGCTCTCGTCGGCGCCGCCACCCCGCAGCTCGCCTACACCGCCTCCAAGGGTGCTGTTCTCGCCCTCACCCGCGAGCTTGCCATGGTTCACGCCCGCGAGGGATACCGCTTCAACTCGCTCTGCCCGGCACCCCTCAACACTCCTCTCCTCCAGGACTGGCTCGGTGATGACGTTCCCAAGCGCATGCGCCGTGAGGTTCACTTCCCTACCGGCCGCTTTGGCGAGGCCATCGAGCAGGCTCAGGCTGTCCTCTTCCTTGCCAGCGATGAGGCAAGCTTCGTCAATGGCCACGACATGGTTGTCGATGGAGGCATGACCAAGGCCTACGTCACCCCCGAGGGTCCCCCGTTGGCCGCTCCTGTGAACAACGCCAGCCGCACCAGCCTCGAGTAAACAAGAGGATAGTGCACCGTTCCGATTTCGCATACATTTACAAGACACTGGAGTTTGTGGCGCTGGGTAAAGAGCTTAGGGGACACGCTTGATGGTCATGATGATGAAACTGTGAATAGAAAATTGAACTTATTTTTACACTTTGTGGGATTTCTCTGTGTTCGACAACGATTGTGATGCATCACGGGTCACACGCGCTAGGTAGGGCTTGGGAGAAGTTATCCAATTGATTTGGTATTCATCCAAAGTGGCTAGATAGATCCTCAACGCCGCCCAATGCTTCCTCTTTTCTCCTTCCCTTCCTCTCTCCCCCTAATGTCTCTCAGTGGAATTGGCTCTCCGTGTTGCCCTCGCCCATACTCTTGCTGCTCGAGCTACCACTTTGGATCGCCCCGAGGATGCCGTCAATGTAGCTGGCGCCACTCCACTTCTGGTGCGTCAATACATCGCAGCCGCCCTCCTTCTCGCGTCTCTGCACAAGGTTCACGTACGCCAACATGCCGTCGGTCTTGAACTCCCGCGCCAGCTCGTTCGTAATGGTTGCGTTGGAATGCAGACCAGCCAGCGAGATGAGCTGCAAAACGAATCCTTCCTTGGCGATGTCCCAGATGAAGCTCTTCAGCGTCTCGTCCGTGAAGCCGTGCGCCATCCAGTTGAACGACGGGCTGAGGTTGTACACCAGACCCTTCTTGGGGTAAACCTCACGGACGGCCCTGGCAAGCTTGGAAGCAACCTCGACGTTCGGGTCACCGGTCTCCACCCACAGGAGGTCTGCGTAGGGGCCGAAGGCAATGGCGCGCTTCGTCGCAGCCTCCATACCGGCGCGGAAGTGGTAGAAGCCCTCGCGCGTGCGGGGAATGTCCCAAGAAAAGAAAACGGGCGTCTTGGTGTGCTGGTTGGCGAGCTTGCGGCGCTGGGTGATGCCGAGGTCCCGCTGCTTACGGACCGTCTCAAGATACGCGTCGATCTTGTCTTGCGAGACGCCTTCCTTTTGCATGTGTGCGACCGCCGCCTCGTCAAAGGTCACAAGCTTGGTGCTCTTGACCCAGTTGGCCTCGAAAGTATCTATCTCAGCACCAGCTGCACCCTTGGCCTCCATGGCCTGGATAGTCTCGGCGAGGGGCTCGAGGGTCGGGTCGGCAACTCCGAGGATGAACTCGTGGTCACGCACGTCAATGGCACTGCTGATGAGCTTGCCGCTCTCGGAATCGGTTCGGGCGAGGACGAGATTTTCGCATCCCATGACGTCCCACTGGAAGCGGGCAGCGTTCAAGCGGTTGATGTGCTCTCCAGTGGGAACCAGGACCTTGCCGGCCAAGTGACCGCACTTCTTGCCGCCGTGAAGCTGGTCCTCGAAGTGCACGGCTGCAGCGCCGTTCTCCGCGAAGAGCTTGGCGAGCTTGAGGACGGCAGACAGGCCGCCGTGTCCCGTGTCGCCGTCAGCAACAATGGGGCGCAGGTAATCCGTATACGGCGTCTTTGCACGTTGCTCCGGTGTAAGCTTCCGTCGAGCATCCCACTGTTTGCGGTCGTGCATCGACTGTGCCTTTGCGAGACGCTGCACTTGGTTTGGTACGGTGTTGTAAGGGTAGTCGCCGAAGTCGGGGGAAACTTCGTTGGTGGATGTGAGAAGGGATGAGCAGGCCCAGCCTGAGATGTAAAGTACCTCTTGATGAGGTGCTTGTTGAGTCATCTGGACGGGGTCAATAGCGCCCACTATCACCACGCAGTTAGCATACGGCCACGTCGTAGCTACAAGTCGAGTATCTTACTTGTATGAATAGGTTTGCCCTCTGCTATGCGCTCCTGAACCAAGTTAAACAGCTTCCTTGCCATTACAGAGCTCGGATACGATTGTTGCTGAGATCCGCGTTTGGAGACGACGTCTGCAGCACTGTAGGGACGCTTGATGCCCTCGTATCTGGGTGATCGCCACCATGCCTCGACCTCCTTGATATGGGCCTCATAGAGCTCATCTTCGGCGGCGCCAGCTTTTTGAGATTCTGGCAGGAGCTGGAAGGCATCGCTGGACGGGGAGGCGGAGAAAGAATTCGTGGGGGCCTGAGCCATTCTGCGGGATGTTGAGATGCAGCGTACAGCGATAGCTGGGGTTGACGTCGGCCGGGGAAGGGGAAGCCTTCGGGAAACTGCTCGCGCAGCAGCTCTTCGCATCATTGTACTCAATTTCGGGGGGTTCGGGCTCGGGGAGGATGTTTGGTAATATCGAGGAGGGAAGGGATATTGGTCTGAGACTCAAGCTCTATAGGAATCTAAGTGATTCCAAGTACAAAAGTCAGCGTTTGCTGTCGTATCGCCGCAGCCGCAGGTCTAGCAGAAAACAAGTCCGAGCGGTACCGGTTCGGCGGTTCGGGACAGGAAACTTACATAAGAGACGGCTTGATGGCTCTGGCCGGCTGCAATGGAAATAACGTGGAAGATAGCAACGCAAAGCAGCGGGTGACAATTCAGTTAGCCGGGCAAAAGCGAGGTTTGGGCCTTGGTAAGCGGCGGCATCCAACCCACGTGCTAAAGGATTTACTATTGGCCAATTGACATCACCGCCCACCCACTCAGAGTTACTGGCTTCGGCTTGCCTCGGTCCAGGCTTTCCCCCTCAATTGCCCACAGTGTGTCAGTGCTTCAGGAATGGGAAAACAGTGCACAAGGGGAGGATATTGTGGGGGCTTCCGCCATTCCGCAGCCAACCAGAAGGTCCAGATAGGTGAGCAATTGCGTACCTTGCTATGGTCAACCCGCAAAGCCCGCACTTGCCCACACTGCCCGCTAATCGTGGAGGAGGAAGGTGGGAAAAGCTGGGGTTCCGCCCCCGTATCCCCCCACCAAGCACATTGTGTCTCTCCTCGCCTGGCAATAACGGCAGGGGAACATGTACCAAAGTACCTGCTGTTCTGTTACCGCCTCCAGGATCTGTAGTACGCTTTGTTGTCAGCGTTCAGCAGGGTAGAAGGTTGGCCATGAGCGCTGCGCTGGCTTACATCCCTTGGAGCGTCAGTGCTTTGCCCAGGCTTCTCCAACCTCGGGTTAAGATGTGTCTGGTCTCGGTCTAAGGTGGCCTAGGTCGGTAAGGTAGGCTGGCCGCAGACAGGCAGGTAGTTCATGCATCTTTTGTCTCTTTTCTCCCCCTCCGTTCTTCCAGTACTTTTCTTCTTCTTCTCCCATACTTTGCAGCCAAACGATTGTATCCATTGACCTTGCAAGCTCGAAGCAGCAGCCACAGCAGCTTAGACGACAATAAGAGCAGCTCATTGTAGTATTATCACTTTCTACCTGCTATTCTCGCCCCGCCATCTACCCCTCCTTTGCTACTGATCTCTCCCTGAACTCCTCCAGTCGCCTGTTACCATGGCCATGAACGTCACAAGAAGCACTAGAGCTCTGGGAGCTCTGCGGGTACGTGAGAAGCTCAGCTCGCGCCTCGAGTAATTCCGGATATATTTTGACTAACTCGTGCTAGCCTTTGGCAGCTCGCTCCGCACTCAATGCTCGTCAGTATTCATCCTCGTCCGAGCCGGACCTCAAGACCACTCTCAAGCAGGTCATCCCGGCCAAGCGGGAGCTGCTGAAGAAGGTTAAGGCGCACTCGTCCAAGGTCATTGGTGAGGTCAAGGTCGAGAACACACTTGGTGGTATGCGCGGCCTCAAGGCCATGGTCTGGGAGGGTTCCGTCCTGGACGCGAACGAGGGCATTCGTTTCCACGGCAGAACCATCAAGGATTGTCAAAAGGAGCTTCCCAAGGGCAAGACTGGTACGGAGATGCTGCCCGAGGCCATGTTCTGGCTTCTCCTCACTGGCCAGGTTCCCTCCACAAACCAGGTTCGCAAGTTCTCTCGCGAATTGGCCGAGCAGGCCCAACTGCCTACCTTCGTGAACAAGATGCTCGACGACTTCCCCAAGGACTTGCACCCCATGACACAGTTCGCCATTGCCGTGTCCGCCCTTAACTATACCTCCAAATTTGCTAAGGCCTATGAGCAGGGCCTTAACAAGGCCGATTACTGGGAGCCTACTTTTGACGACTCCATCTCCCTGCTGGCGAAGTTGCCCACCATCGCCGCCAAGATCTACCAAAACTCGTACCGCGGCGGTGGCGCACTCCCCGCAGAGGTCGACCTCGAGCAGGATTGGTCTTACAACTTCGCTGCCATGCTTGGAAAGGGTGGCAAGGAGAATGAGAACTTCCAGGATCTTCTGAGACTGTACCTTGCTCTCCACGGTGACCACGAGGGAGGCAACGTCTCTGCACACACTACCCACCTGGTCGGCAGCGCTCTTAGCGACCCCTTCCTCAGCTATAGTGCCGGTCTCCAGGGTCTTGCCGGTCCCCTGCACGGGTGAGTCCGTTAAAACATCGGGTTTATAATTTAAAAAAAAAAACAATAAGCTAACTCCACGACAGACTCGCTGCCCAGGAAGTCCTCCGATGGATTATTCAAATGAAGGACAACATCCCTAAGTCCTACTCTGACAAGGACGTCACAGACTACCTGTGGTCCACCCTCAACTCGGGCAGAGTTGTTCCCGGATACGGCCACGCCGTCCTCCGCAAGCCCGACCCCCGTTTCGAGGCCTTGATGGACTACGCCGCCGCGCGCCCTGAGATCGCTCAGGACCCGATCTTCCAGCTGGTCCAGAAGAACAGCCGCATCGCCCCCGAGGTTCTCAAGAAGCACGGCAAGACAAAGAACCCCTACCCCAACGTCGACTCCAGCTCCGGAGTTCTGTTCCACCACTACGGCTTCCATGAAACTCTCTACTACACCGCCACGTTCGGTGTCTCCCGCGGTCTGGGTCCTCTGGCCCAGCTCATCTGGGACCGAGCCTTGGGTCTGCCCATTGAGCGACCTAAGAGCATCAACCTTGAGGGTCTTCTCAAGCAGGCTGAGAGCGCATAAAGGTGAGCAAAGTAGGAACAAAAATGAGGGAGCGAATATTTTCTGCAAAAAAAAATCATGCCAAGTTATGTCGTCTAGATCTAGCCGGAGTTTACCAAGGAGTTTGAATAAAATAGTTACCAAATAGTATGACACGAGTTCAAAGATGCAAATAAGCTCGACGTTGTCCTCGGAGCCCGAGTGGCCACTCATCAGTCTACTACTTAAGAGAGGGCAGGCAGAAGGTAATTTGACAGATATAAAGGTTACAGTCGTGCCCTAGCTCCCTCGTGGTGAGACCTCGTGCTTGCATGCCAGGTGGAAACGGCGCCCTGTAATTAAGCTTGCCAGTAACAACATGTACCAAAAACGCAGAGGTTAGACCGAAAAGCTTGATCACTTAACTCCAGCTGATGCCACTCTATTTCTGAGCCAGTGGCCATTAGCAACACGACGGCATCATATGAATTCACCACCACAATTGTCATACTGGGCTGACTTGGTGCCAGGGTTGCGGTTTACGAGATGGCTCGATATTGCATGCATACCACGGATCAAACGAGAATGTATTTGGTCGATACTACTTCGGGTTGAGGGCCCGCACCACATTCGAATGGACATGCACAATATCTCCCATAATGGTCCTGTTCTTGGGTGCTGTGAATTCAGCCGGTGTCCACAGCCACCTAAATAAACGAATATGTAGCCCCCCCCCCCCGCAACACCAGCACCAGCAGCACCAGAAGCACTAGCAGCGCCGTGCAATGTCATGGGCTTTCAATTTAAGTATGCCTGAATTTTTAAAGCTTCCAATATTGTGATGAGCAGCTTCAAGTCATGTGAACAAGATGAACCCCGTGTTGGAGCTACAAAAGCGATTCGAGGGGTCCGGATTCAGGTCTGACATGCGAGAGCTGAGAAGCTGTTGACATTAACCGGTGTCGCCCAATAAGATCATATTTTCGGTACAGGCCGGATAATCAGATACTATATATCTATTCGGCATAGTCCCAAATAGCCAAGAAATTTGGATGGTTCTCGGGGCTGATGTATTCTTTTTCGTTTCTGCAGGAAATCTCTAGTGGCCTAGGTTAAAGTCGCTTGAGTTGTCAGCACATATATCCCGCAAACGAGAAAGGCCCAGCCTCATAGAACATCGACCTCGATGTTACATTAATGTAATGAAACTCTATTGACCCAGCATTTTGTCTATGAAACCCAGCCAAATACAACTTCCGTCGTCTTCTTTAAGTAAACGGGAGAGTACTAGCCGTGACTACCTCATGCAACAGCCTTCCGCCCAAAGAGCACATGAAGACTAGAAAACAGTCAACCGAGTATACGATATTTGAGTTTACACTTTCGATGCTGCAGGTATCATTCATAGACGCTTGAGAAACACGCTCATGGCATTGATTCCAATTTGACCCCATGACATATATGTTTAATGAATTGTAATGATTTAAGCATAAACTTGATATTTATAGCTCTCAAGTATGTTTTGTTAGTCTAGCACACACTCTTGGTATGCCTTTGAACAACAAGCCAAGCGTGTTCTGGCTTCACGAAAAAGGTCTTTGCTTGGTGAAAGCTTACAGATCAACAAACCGGGATGCTGGGACCAGATCACAATAACATGCTCAGTGATTCCATAAAAAGATTATATGCAGTCATGTACCCCGCATGGGACGATATTGTGGCTCTCTTCTGGATGGGTAGTCCGTAACAGCTGAGATCTCGCCATTAATATGTTTTCATTTACTTACTTTCAACCGCAAATTGCAAACATCACAACTCGTCCAGCCTCACCGAAGCGAGGTATAGCGACCCAGGGTAACAAGCACCGGGCAATACTATCCGGTTGCCCAGGTACTTCTAATTCTGCACGATTAGTTGGGAGAACGACTTTGTTCGCTGGTAGGTAGCGGCTGCGCTGCAGTCTACTTCGGATGTTCCCTTCCTGAAATCGGATCATCGAGGGAGCTGGGTCCAGAAACTCGGTAAGTCCGCAAGAATAGGATGCACGAACTGATCACACTTTAGACCGCCACATCTACAGAAGTGACTTGAATGCATTGTGAATATAAATATGGCATAGATGGTCGCGAACTTGAAGGCTTTGTTCCATCACCAGCCCACAGTTTAAGAGCTACGCCTCACTCCTGTACTCACTTGTTCCTCATTACCCGCTCAAAAGAGTCATCCCCACCATCAAAATGAAGAGTTTCTTCGCCTTGTTGCTTCCTGTCCTTGCTGTCGCCACGGCGATTCCCCGAGCTCCAACCGGCGCTTCTGACACTCCTGACCCCAAGGAGATCCAGATCGTCAGCGCGAGCTTCTCCGGCAGCGGCTGCCCCCAAGGCTCCGTCTCGACCACGATCTCGCCTGACCGTACTGTGATCACCTTCGGCTTTGATCGTTTCCAGACCTACATCGGCCCTGGTCTACCCGTGGCCGAGCGTACCAAGAACTGTGCTCTGCACCTGAGCCTCAAGTACCCGGGTGGCTTCCAGTTTGCCGTCGTGGAGAGCACCTACCACGGCTACGCTCAGCTCGAAGAGGGCGTTACTGGCGCCTTCTTCTCGACCTACTTCTTCTCTCAGGATGCCGGCTCCACCACCACAACGCAGACTTCCATCACTGGCGGTGGCATTTGGCTCGATGGCCAGGTCTACACCAAGCAGGACAGCATCCCGACTGCTTCGCTGATTTGGGCCCCCTGCGGTGCGACTGGCATCCTCAACATCAACAACCGCATTGCTCTCACCTCGAAAAACCCCAAGGCTTACGGTTCCATCACCGACGACGATGCTACCGTCGCCTTCACCCAGCAAATCAACGTCAAGTGGCAGACTTGCAAGAAATAGACACCTCTGGCGGGCGGCATACCCGAAGGTATTGGTTATGGGACCAAAAGCTAGCACTTTGTCTGCTATTGGTTCGCTTCCGTCGGGGATGCAGCGATACTGGGAGCTGTTTGGGAGACGCAACATGGTGGGAAGGTCTGGAGTGTTTTCCTTGGCAAATTCTCGTTTACTTTCATAGTCAAGACGCAAAGCATAAGTCAATCAAGCCATTACCCATACCATGAAGGCAATATGTTTGTCGAAAGTCCTAAGATTCAACTATTAAAATGTTTGCTCAATGTACTTTCCCAATCTCTCCAAGCCTTCCTTCAACACATCGGTACGGCAGACGTAACCGAAACGCATTTGTCCTTCGAACTCAACTCCGTCACCGAAACAGGTAGAGCCCGGCATGACGAGAACTCCCGTCTTCTCCAGAATCTCTAAGCAAAATTCGCTATCCTTGACGAGCTTGCCCTTTCTCTTGAAACCGATCATCGCGGTAGTTCCCGCAGTTGGCTTGATGACCCAGAAGCAAGCAGATTGGTACTTAGTGATGAATTCCTCCACCAAAACCAGATTTGACCTTGCAAGTTCAATGTTTCGCTTGAGCAAATTGGGTCTAACTGCATCTGAGAGGGCATATGCCGCCACTCTGTCGTCGAGCTGAGAGACGCTAATTGTTGTGTAGTTCCTGGCGCTCTTGACAGCCTCGATAATACTGGGGTCTCTAGACGCGATCCAGCCAAGTCGGATTCCTGCCAGTGAGAATGCCTTGGACATGCTCGAGGTAGAAACTGTCTTTTCATACCCAAAGGAAAGAATTGACGGAGGCGCCGATTCTCCGTCGCGCAAGCTGTGGAAAAGAGGGCGATAGACTTCGTCTGCCAGGACAATGATTCCTCTCGCCTTGGCAAACTCGATAATCTCGGAAAGAACAGACTTTGGCGTTGTGGCGCCCGTGGGGTTGTTTGGGTTGTTGATGATGATCATCTGGTAAGGAGTTAAACCACTGGAAATGAATGCTATTCATCTTGGATACACACCTTTGTATTCTTCTTGACGAGCCCCTCTAGCTCTTTGACGTCGGGGACGTACTGATTCTCTGCTTTCACCTTCCACAGACTTACCTCAGCCCCGAGGCTCTTAGGAACCTCGTATAGCTGTTGGTATGTTGGGTAAATGCAGACGACATGATCGCCCTGGCCGATAAGAGAGTACAGGAGAAGGAAATTGGCTACGATAGCTCCCTGGGTGATGACGACTTGATCACTTGGAAGCGGACCCGAAGTATCATTGTCATACAGGTTTGCAATATTTTGGCGGGTTTCTTCAGACCCGTAGATCGCTCCATATGTCAATCGCCTTGATGCGATGTCAAGCGGCGAGGGGGCTGTCGGGTCGGAGCACAGCTGAATAAGCTCGTCAATCGAGACTGATTCGCAGCAGGTTTCAGCAAGGTTTAGGGCCCCTGGAGTGGTCTCCAAACGGTCCATCCATTCCTCTACCTCGAACGGCTTGATCTGAACCATGATGTCGGCAGGGACTTGAAGTGATGAGTAGTGTAGAATGAAGACTTAGGGATAAGATAAGGGGGGAAGGTATAGAGATGTAGTGAAAAAGTCAAGGTGTGGAAGGATATTGGTTTGAGCCCGGACCGGACAATGTCATAATTGATCGGATGCATATTTAAGTAGGCGGTTGCGCTCCCTTATATAAGTCAGGTATCAAACCGCAAACGCAACCGATAGCTTCTGACCCTGGCATGTGCGCCCTTTGTGGACATCATCCAGACAGCCCCACTTGAGGCGTGTGGTGAAGCAAAGTGCTGAACGTAGGCATGTATTCAAAGTAGTAGATTGAGTGGCTTGTCTTCTCCTAACTACACTATGGAACGATATCGTGCCTAAATATGTTTTGTGGGCGAAGCGGAATAAAGATATTCCGGTCATTCCATTTCGGGATTATCCCCACAGGCGATATGTGGGTCACGTGATGGTGAGGCTGCGCACTTCGCCTCGAAGGCATCACGACAAGGCGTTAATTGGGAAAGAAAGTCGACACGAGACGAACTAAATACAATTACATGAGTCAACATATGCCTCGTCTAATCAAATCGGGGTGTAAAAACACGTAGGGACAAAAGAATTGTATGCAAAATATGGTGTGGAGTGTCTATGGACAACAGTGGAAATGGAGAATGAAACGCTCTGGTGTGTTTCCTTGCAGCTTCTAACTTTGCCTGGAGAGGAAAATTAGGCGTTCCCGCCAATGGCGAGGCCGCAGTGCCCCGCTTTTGGGGCATGAGTGGACTCCTTACTTTATGTTCTAGCCACCGGACTCTTACCGATTTTGGGAGACGGGTTTATCATACGGAAAGCAATCCTTTTGGCAATTGGAATGATCATCTGTATGCCTTACTGCTAACGTTATTAAAACACTAATCCTTTTCTGGTTCTAATCAATCACTTGGCCTTCTGGAACAGACGATGAAGACCAAAGAAATCCGCACTAATTGGGCGAGATTATCATCTTGCGACCCCAGCAGATAGAATAGTTTTGCACCATGAATCAACTTTCACTGACTTTAAGAGAGACTTTTATGTCACGCTACCTGGCTTGCATTCGATCATAATTGTGTACGGAGTTTATTTCGTCATACGTTAGCATCAGATAAAACTTTTGCATATTCTGAGAGACACTAGAAAGGAAAAAGTGACGAGTATCGTTCAACGTCTATCATTTGATATCACGTGCCACATCTCATAGGAGAACCTAAGTCATGGTGGCGATCGTACATGCTGAAAGCCTCAGTACACCTACTACCTTACCACAACAGACCTCTGTTTCGACTAAATATCAATTATATCCCGATAGATCGTAAGTAGTGAGATGAGCTGCTTGGATCAACATAACGTACAGACAAGTCCCTTGTTTAGTCAAACATAAGGTGGATAGAAAGAGATAGGGCTAGCCGTACCATATACTAAACGGGGCCACTGCAATCCTGTTGAGGCTTGAGAAAGCAAATACTAAAGCTAACTATGTTGACTCAGGCCTACGACCAACGGACTGTTAAAGCATATTTTCGAAGTTGAGTAAAGATCTGACCTTACCTCGGATGGCTCTTGCCAGACAGCTACTGCTGGTGTCTACTAGAAGACAATCTTATCTGGTAGATTGTTACATATGATACGTAACATGAGGAGAATTACCCAATTTCCTGTACTTTATGTCCCTGCTCAAACAGCCAGGATACCTCATGACCTTATTTTTGGCATCAAGGTACTCATAATTAGATGGTCTTGGTTTGGTCCTATTTCTTTCATTACCAACCCTGCGTCCCTAAACTGTCGAAGGTACATTCTAGCTTATGCCAAGATTAACAAGTACACAATGGCCGAATCACTCTATTTTCGTGCCGAGGGCCAAATGATTGTTCTTGTGATGTCACCAAAAGCCCTCGAATACCTTGTGTGAACGAAAGCAACGCCAGTTGCGTCAGTTGAATTCAGATTCAAGGAAGCCCCAAGAACCTCTTGGGGACAACCGCCGAGCTAACGAACTCAATCTCGTACTCCGCCGGGCCATATACGAATATGTTGAAAACCTTGAAGGTTTTCGTGAGTATTAATCTAATTTGAACCGCCACCCCAGTCTTGCTACATTACTCTCGTCTGATGGAAGAACAACAAGCCCATACTTTGGTCAAGGGTATGCATCAAAAACGACAAGCAACCGCTTCATTCACTAAAAGACAAGATGGAGAAACCTTCAGGGACTGGGCCGTGAGAACATCGCACCATTCTTCTTCTTTGCTTCTCTTATCGTCTAACTAAAGGTAGATCAAAGACTGGCTCAGACTTAGGCCTCGGTTTCGACACTATCACAGTCAGTCACCAAGAGTCTCAGCAGAGGTGCCATGAAAATGATAAGTCAATAGAAAAGTAGGATTCAGCTTTGCGTTTAAATTGCATTAAGCCATGTAAATCTGACAAGCTTTGGCTACAGTGTTAAGAATCCGTTCAATGGTATTTCCAAAAGTCGCCTGTTGAGCAACGTCTCACACTTTGTTGAAGAGATTGGCCAAAGAGACCATATTGAATACTTCCGCAAGGGCGCGCTGGCCGCTCAAAGTCCAGGTAATTACAGTGAAATAGATGAGCTGACTGACGATGACCGAACCACACTCCGCAACGAAGTTGAGCATCGATGGAAGCATCCCCCGGCACTGTACTTCACTATTCTCATGAACTCCATCAGCGCTGCAGTTCAAGGATGGGATCAAACTGGTTCCAATGGTGCCAATTTATCATTTCCACAGGCTTTTGGTATTTCTGACAGAGGCGACGCCTGTCTTGCGGCCGGTACCTGCGAAAGAAACTCATGGATAATTGGTGCCATAAATAGCGCGCCGTACATGGCGATTTGCCTTTTGTGGGTTATATGCCGCATAACTTGATGTTGAATTTACATGAACTAACTTACAATTAGTGCTTGTTGGCTGTCTGACCCCATCAATGACTGGCTCGGTCGACGTGGCGCCATCTTCCTCGGCGCTATTTTCAGTGTTGTCGCGCCCCTCGGTCAGGCCTTAAGCCAGAGCTGGCTACAAATCCTGATCTGCAGAATCCTTTTGGGAATTGGAATGGGGCTAAAAGAAGTCACCGTACCCGTATTCTCGGCTGAGAATGCACCTGCAAACATTCGTGGCGCCCTGGTCATGTCGTGGCAGCTTTTCGTCGCCTTTGGAATCATGTTAGGCTTCAGCGCTAACTTGGCTTTTGTCGACACTGGCGATATCGCTTGGAGGTTACAGCTTGGCTCGGCAATGATACCAGCTGTTCTCCTTGTTTTCGGCATTTACTTTACACCGGAATCACCAAGATGGCTTTTGAAGAAGGGAAGATACGCAGATGCTTACCAATCACTACTTAAGCTACGAGGAAACAACCTGCTTGCCGCTCGCGACTTGTACTACATCCACTGCCTGCTACAAGAGGAGAAAGTGTTGATTGTTTCGAATGGATTTGACAAGGGAAGCTTTTTCACAAGATGTTGGGAACTCTTTAGTGTTCCACGCATTCGTCGTGCGACTCAAGCATCAGGCATCATTATGGCAGCCCAGCAGTTTTGCGGCAGTATGTTCTCCCTTCTGATTGATATTGTTTCCAACTACTAAGTGTCTCAGTAAATATCATGTCTTTCTATTCATCGACAATTTTCGAACAAGCTGGAGCAAGCAATAAAGTTGCACTTCTAGCCTCGTGGGGATTTGGCATGGCCATGTTCATCTTCGCCATTCCCGCTTTGTGGACCATTGATACCTGGGGCCGGAGAACGTTGCTTCTTGCAACGTTTCCCAACATGTGCTGGACTTTAATGGCTGCCGGAATGGCGTTCTACATTTCGATGCAGAGCCCTGCACATCTTGGCGTTCTTGCTGCTTTCACCTATGTCTTTGCTGCCTTCTATGGTCCAGGAGAGGGCCCATGTGCTTTCGTCTACTCAGCGGAAGTTTTCCCATTATCTCACCGTGAGGTTGGCATGTCATGGGCAGTGGCTACTAACAACTTCTGGGCTGTCATTGTAGCACTTACTTGGCCACCTATGGTGCACATTCTAAAGCCTCAAGGCTCTTTTGCCTTCTTTGCGATTCTCAACATCGCCTGCTTCATAGCTATCTTTTTGTGCATGCCGGAGACTAAGCAGAGGTCACTGGAAGAGCTAGATGAGGTCTTCTCCATTTCTACACGACGTCACGCATCATACCAGTTGAAGGAGGTTCTGCCCTGGTGGTGTAAACGGTACATCCTACAACAGAAACAGGCACCTGAACCAAAGCTTTATCGATTTGAAATGGTAGAGAATATTGAGTCGGGTTAGGTGCTAAGAGTAGGCACAGATAAAGATACACTCAGGAGTAGCTTTTTTACTCTTTTCTCTTGGGATGCCTAATACATCACATTTAGTAGGCTGCTCTCTATTACATGTTACAGAAGAATTTAGCATCATACCGAGTAGTCTTGAACACTTATCAGATCTACTTCTAATGCCAATTCCGTCATGAAAACAAATGGTTGAATTAGTCTACAACAACATACAACATATTCATGTTGAAACTCAAATAAAGCCGATATACATAGCGGATAGCTCACCCTATGGGGTCTTTCACAGCCTGTAAACCTACAGCGTGAGCAGGTTCCGGGATGTCGGACATTGTTTAGTAACGACATGGTATTGAACAGGGCTATTCCACACACTTGCAGCAATGAATTGATTGAGATTCTCTAACTTAAGACTCTCTTTAAGAACCTTCTAGTGGCGCTCAAGGGCTTTACTCGGGGTGTGCTCAAAAGCAAGCCAGGAGTCAAAAACAAGACTTTGTTTTTCTACTAAACACCTTTGTATGTAACGTCCCACACCCACTTCTGGGCACCCCCCACATTTGGGCACCCCATTTACACCAAAAACGCCGTTTTTCGAAATTCTATATTAAACTAAATACTTTACTTATTAAAGAGAATAAATATATGTTAAATAGATTAAGACTTAATTATAATACTTAAGTAGCTATATACTAGTATTATTGATAATAAGTATTATAAATTCAAGGTTTAACATTTATAATACTAATTTACCTAGCCTATATCTTAATATATAAAATAGGTAGAGATATTTAACTAATATGATTAGAATTTTTAAGTAAGATATAGTAGATTTATATATTCTTATACTTAGTAAAAAATTCTTTAAGCTTAGAATAATATTTTAAAATTTCCCTTAAGAAAAGTTTCTATTATAGAATTTTAACCCTTAATTATACTATATTTACTAAAGTAATACTTTTAAATCTCTTTTAGATATAATTATATACTTTTAATAAGTATAAATATTAATTTCCTAGATTTTTTAAATAAGTATATATAAGCGAAAATATATTTTTCTAATGTTAAGGAATACTAGTAAGTTACTAGTATCTACTAACATTTTAAAGCTTTTAGTTTTAAACTTCTATATTATAACTATTATTATATTTAAACCTTTATAAAAAATTAGATGGCTATAATTATACTTAACATAGTTTATATATATTTTCTTTTCTTAGTAAGTATAGTAGTTAGTTTAATATAGAATTTCGAAAAACGGCGTTTTTGGTGTAAATGGGGTGCCCAAATGTGGGGGGTGCCCAGAAGTGGGTGTGGGACGTTATCGCAGAAATCAAGCACATGCAAAAAATCTAAATCAAATTCAACACTATTCAAGAGAATCATTTTCGTGGGGCTAGTGCATGAAGCAGAATGTAATATCCCAATAGACTTTCACATTTTCGCATCGGGAGATTTCAGTGACTGCTATTTCAGCCACTTAATCAGAGGAATCCAAGACAAAACAAATGGGTGGCCTGGGTATCTAAGATTTCGGCATGTTATACCAGCGCTGCACAGAGGCCAAATATGGAGAAAGGCTTGTCCCGAGACCTTCCGTTCATGGTGCGCGATATGGAATTTTAGGGACTTTGTGAAGATCTAATCTTGAACTGGTGCGTTTTCTCGAACAATCAAAGGGCTGAACAAGGTGAGACGGAACCGACACGACAGGGCATGATTGAACACCGTCGAAGACGCGATGTTGGAGGAAATTCCTCGGCCTTTCATCTTTGTGCAAGATTGTTCAAAATAAACAAATGAGGTAGACGTACAGCGAGGGGAATCCGATCATGCACCAGTAATTAAACGTCGTCTAGGAAAGCATAAATTGCTCACATCAATCACTTGGCGAATTCCTCTAAAATTCAGGATAGCACCAGGCCTGAGATAATTCAATCATAATAAGAAATGCATCTGACCTCTGTATTTCGTCATCTATCTTTTGGGCACCGACTATTATTTCCGAGCAATCTCTAAGAGAGCAGAAGGAGACTACTCTTAACCACACAATGTCGAAACTCGCTCGTGTAATCGGCTGGTACGCTCTGTTTGCTTGCTCTGCTCGAGCTGCTCCCACGCCAGATATACCCACAGTTGGCAACAATGGCTGCAGAAAGACCCAGGTGGCTGTACTTGGTGCGGGTGTCGCCGGGATTACAGCTGCGCAGGTTTTGTCCAACGCATCTATAACAGACTTCGTGATCGTGGAGTTCAACGACCAAATTGGTGGGCGCGTGCGCAACCATCCATTCGGTAAAACCCCCAGTGGAAATGGCACATATTTTGTTGAGCTTGGTGCGAACTGGTAATATGAGAAGAATACCCAGCGAAGCTTCTTACGGTGCGACTGACCAGATGAAAAGGGTACAAGGAACCAATAGTTCAACAGAAGAGAACCCCATTTGGACTCTCGCCAAAAAGAACCAATTAATCAACACCTACTCCGATTTCAGCAGCCGCAAAGTGTATAACGAGACAGGAGAAGTTAATATTGGAGATTTGGAAAAGGAGTTCTATCACGCGTTTGAAAGTTATGAAGAGGATGGACGCTATGGTTTGCTCCAGAATCTCCAGGATCGTAGTGCCCGTACAGGCTTCTCCATTGCTAAATGGAAACCTGGTAAAGACCCGCTCGCTCAAGTTATTGAATGGGCTGCAATGGATTTCGAATACGCCAACCCGCCTGAAAAAACGTCTCATCGGTATTCAGTAGTCAGCTACGACTCAACATTTCATCGCTGGGCTGACGAGAACAACTTTGTCCATGATCCTCGCGGCTTCTCTACGTTCGTGAAGAATGAAGCAGCAACATATCTGAAGGAGAACGATCCCCGATTACTGCTTAACACCGTTGTGGAAAACATCACCTACTCTTCTGAAGGAGTTGAGATTCACAATAACGATGGCAGCTGCATATCTGCTGAATATGCCGTTTGCACATTTTCATTGGGCGTTCTGCAGCAAGAAGTGGTAAAGTTCTCACCTGAATTGCCTGAGTGGAAACGTACAGCAATTCATTCCATGACTATGGGGACCTACACCAAAATCTTCCTGCAGTTTCGCCCAGAAGACGTTTTCTGGGATAAGAACACACAATTCTTTTTATACGCTGACCCCATCCAGCGGGGTTATTTCCCTCTTTTTCAGTCACTGGATCACCCCGACTTCGAACCCGGCTCCGGCATACTATTTGTTACTGTTGTCGACCAGCTGTCATTTGCGGTTGAGGCTCAGGACTTTGACACCACCAAAAAGCAAGTCATGGCTGTGCTGCGGCGTATGTTTGGCAATGGCATTGCTGACCCCATTGACTTCTATTATCCCCAGTGGAGCCTGAAGCCATGGGCTTTCGGCTCATTTTCAAATTGGCCACCTTCCCTATCCCTAGAGACGCACCAGAATTTGCGTGCCAACCTTGGCAATGTCTGGTTTGCGGGAGAAGCAACTCACCCGCAATATTTCGGTTTCTTGCAAGGTGCGTGGTTTGAAGGTAGGAATGCCGGCGAGTCTATTGCGGCATGTATAAAGGATAAGGCATCATGTTACAAAGAAAAGTCGTATGAAGTTTTGAATGGGACAACTCCTTCAATGCAATATTCGAAGGAAAACGGGTGGACTGCCAACAGCTTTTATAAGACGAAGAAAGAAGAATAACATGGGGGAAAGGAGTATATACGGTCCACTTGATAGAGCAGAACCAGCAAATGGAGAACTACAGCTCGTTAAAATATTTTCTCGGAAATGAAGGGGATGATTTGTTCTTGGTAACTGACCAAGTGTGCTTTCTTAATAATTTGTCGCAAGATTCAAGGCCCAGCTCGGCTAAGTAGACATGACAACTCATAATAATACTATGTCATCGTGAATAATTAGCTGCGGTATGTTTTTAATTAACAGGTCTTCAAGACAGCCTCGATTACTCATGTTCTGGCATTAAAAGTCCCGTTCATTGATGGCTTCAAAATTCAAGGCTACAACGTCCTAGGTAAACTGCTTCGGGCATCCAGATTATGAAAGGGTTAAATACACACGCCATTTCAGTGTCAACAACGGCATCAAGAAGAGGATTTTGAGACGAAGTTGCCATTTTCGTTAAAGAATTTGCGGGTCCAGCAAATGTAAACACTCAAACTTCTTTTTTTCTCCTGTCAATAATATTACACAACCTAGCATTCATCAGCTTAGACCAGTAAAGCGCTAATTCCTAGTCGCTCCATCGCACTTTTAGCAGCGTGTCTATCATGCCGGTGCCCATCTTGATGCTTCCAGCTTTCTTTTAATATTTCAAGTACTGTGCCACAATTTGTGAACCCGGTGCCGGATATTTCAAGGATTTCTTCGAGGAGACTTCTGAAAAATGGTTGTTGTTCATCTTTGGCCGGGGCCCCAGCCACACACAATGGCCATGTCACTCCTCTTAGAGATATGCCTTTCGGTACCCTCTGTATGGCGTCGATCACCTCCTCCACTGCTTCAAAAACCTCCTTTTCAAACTCATCATCAGTTGCTGATAGTGTCTGAAGTTGGACGAAAATGGCAGTTGCGTAAACGCGGGTGACTGCTTGGCATACTATGGCTGCCGGAGACTAGATTTCGTTAGCAACGACGCAGGTAGAAACAGCAGCATTACGTACCTCGTGGTCATATTTGTTCAAATCCTCGATGCCATGGCGAAGTCTGTGCATTATACCCGACACTTGCTGCGCTAAAATACCGGGGCTCATCTCTCTTAGTTGCGTTTCCAGCACGGCAACATCACCGAGAGCGAGCATGGCCCAGTTCTGGCTACCCATAACACAAGACATATCTAAATCCTCCAGATCCAACCATTCTCGATAAGGTAACTTGGGAGCTTTGCCAGTGGCTACGCAGGATGTTAATTCAAACCACAGTAGCTGCGCCATATGAAACCTTGTGGCGGCGTTTATCATTCTTGTCAGCCCTGGTTCTGCTCCAGGTGAATGAACATCTATTACACTAGCGGTTCCAAGATCTATCTGACTGGCAACCGACACAAGAGCATTGAGATGTGGCTCCCACTTCGACGTTCCTCCTTGGAAGATCTACATAATTCAGTGAGTAAGAATATAGGCGAATGTGGGGCATGGTTTGGGCACCTCAAAGCTGATCAGGAAGGTTCCGCACGTAAGGAATTCGACCCTGTGCTCAGGGTGGTTTGCAAATCCGTCTGGCTCACAGTGACTAAGAACCTGCCGAAGCTCTTGCATTGCGCTTGTATGATATCGTATGAGCTCTGACTCCATAGCTTCCGTTTTGCTATGGGACGTGCTGTGTTGATGGAGGGCGGATAATGTGAAGGCAGCATGGCGTAATGGGCCTCTCTTCGACAGTAGCCAGAATAGCCAGCCTCTGCCTCCAGTAGCCGGTTTGTCGACGTAATATGCATATTGAAGTGGAAATATGTAGTCGAGGTAATGCATAAGCAGTTCTGCTTCTCTGAACTCGTCGTTGGTCGTCGAAGGAGTTGCATTATCATCTTTAAGTGTATTCGCGGCGACGTTCAGGGCACTCTGCGGACTCCGTGCAGCTTGCAGCTTCCGGGTTTGTCGGAAATTCTGTTTTACAGCGTGCTTAATGCGCTGCAATTCTGCTCGGAGCTTGACTGAATCCTTGACCCAGTCTGGCTCTGGTCCATACCCGTGACATTTGATGTGTCGATCTGTGCATTCTTTACACGCTGGGGAACACTCATCGCACTTTCGGTGGCGGATGCGGCACGTCCAACAGCCACCGCTGCTGCGGGCGAATGGCCTAGACATCATCTATGGCTTGTCTGTGCGGGCAACGTCGGTTCTGAAGCCGTTTATGCCTGATTTCCTGATATCTCAATATTACAATTGACCAAAACGGCAGAACCCGCCTGTCTCATTGCATGGTTTCGTTTTCGTGTTTCCGCTGTGTTGTGTCGAGGATGTCGAGGTTCTAGTGCCGGCTATTCCTACCAACCCCGCATATTCTTAGCCCAGGAAACAAATTCTAGGAAGGAAGGTCGAGCCGAGACCCTGGGAAGGAAAGCCGAAACGAGACTTCAAGTGTAAGTCCAAATCCTGTCAACCAGAATTGTGAAGTTCTAGTTTCCGTGAGCTTTTTTCTGTGTCAAGAAGTATAGAATAAATAGGACTCGAATATCCAAATCTCTGCACCATAAAATCTTCCACAAAACGTTGCCAACGCCCGTCAGACTCTCTTTGTCTCCCGCATTTTCCTCCTCAGTTGCACAGCATGAAGTACCAACGTATGCCCATCGAAATAGAGTCGCCCGAGGAATATGGCTATGATAAGATTAAATACAACCTCTCCGAGAGCTCCATTTCCGATCAAAGCTTCAAGTCGCTTGGCTTAGAAGTTCCGAACCTGACACTTTTGTACAACGAACATCGAGGCAGCATACGGCTCAGAGAGTTGATTGCTGCCAACTCCGGTTTGGACAAGGATGACGTCCTAATCACTTCGGGCGCTGCCGGCGCACTCTTCATTATTTCGACTTCACAACTCAGTCAGGATGACCATCTTGTTGTCATTCGTCCCAACTATGCCACCAACCTTGAAACGCCCAAAGCCATTGGCTGTGACATTACTTTTGTTGACTTGGATTTTAACAAAGATTTCGAGATCGACGTCGACTTCATCGCCAAGTCAATTAAGAGCAATACCAAGATTGTATCTGTTACTTGCCCCCACAACCCGACCGGCACCGTTATGTCGAGAACCACTTTGGACCGTCTTGTCGCCGTTACCAAGGAAAAGGGCTGCTTGCTGTTAGTGGATGAGACCTACAAAGACATCCATTTTGGCAGTGAGCTCCCCATAGCGGCGTCTCTTGGGGATCACGTTCTTAGCGTTGCATCGCTCTCCAAATCGTACGGAGTTCCCGGCATTCGTATCGGATGGGTGGTCACGCAGAACAAACAACTGCAGGAAACCTTCCTCGCCGCAAAGGAGCAGATCAGTATTAGCGGCAGCGTCATTGATGAGTGGATTGCCGAGCAAATCCTGGCCGACAAGGCTTCCATTATCAGTAAAACGACCACCGAAATGAAGGCACGTTTGGACGTTGTGAGTGCATGGATTGAGAAAGAAGAATTGCTGGAATGGGTGCGACCAGCTGGCGGCGTTGTGTGTTTTCCGCGTATGAAAAAGGAACCTGTTGGAGGAACGGCGGTGTTCTATGAGCGATTGTTGAATAAATACCACACATACATAGGACCGGGACACTGGTTCGAGATGCCGGATACGTATTTTCGAATTGGCTTTGGGTGGCCTACAAGGGATGAACTGGAGGCTGGACTGAAGGCCATCTCTCAAGCTTTGAGGGACTCTTAGCTAGACTGTTTAAACACTCAGGGGGGGTTACCTTTACTTTCCCAGAGCAAAACATTTCATCTAACAGAAGCTTATTACAAACTCTTCCGATCTTCCAAGTTGAAGCATCCTGTCTATCCAGTGATCGCCTCATGAACCTTATTGGTTAATAGAAATATCAGGTTAAGCTGACGTTTTGATAATGGTGTTAGCTTTTGATCTTTGAGATGAAAAAGTAGGCAATGCCTAGCCACTGTAATCATAATCTTACTGTCATATGTCCAAGACACAGGGCAAATCACAATTTAAAGACTACTGTCCGCGAAGTAAGTCGCAAACATGCCAAAATTCTCAGACGATGTTGTGTGCCATTTCTGTTCACTGCCCAGCCTTGACTTGACCATCATCAAACACCTTACTAGATTATTGCACCACATAGAACCCTTCGAGTAGCTTGTCAACCACTCGACCCAAGCAAATTCACACCAAATTCAAAGTTACCGTCATCCAAATACAAAATACCAAACATTGACAATCGAGTTGTGAATCAAGCAGCCTTCTTGTTGAAGTGGTCTCTCGCCTTCTCCCTGGCTCTGCCTCGCTCGGGGCTGGCACAGAAGACGTAGTTTCCGCGGTCCCTCAGGCACAAGGTATTCTCCCGCTCTGTTCCAAATGTCAGGCTTTTTTTTTTTTTGGTAGAGGGTTCAATCTGGGCGAAGCTTACCAAAGGTGATGATATCGTTCTCGTTTGCAGCACAGAACGCAATATCTCCATTCTTGCAGTTAGGCGCATCACGCTCACGGCCTCGATCGCCATCGCGACCGTCATTTCGGTCATCATCTCGGTTGCCATCTCGGCCACCACGGTCTCCATCACGTCCATCACGCTCTCCGTCACGGTCACGGTCGCTCTCGCCGCGGCGGCGACGGCATTCTCTATCTCTGTCTCGGTCCCCCTAATTCAACGAGTCAGCAGCGCGATCGTTTGCTAGTGTTTTAGATTGCACGCCACACTTACGTCTCGGCCTCTGTAGCATTCGCATCGGCGTCTTCTGACGTCCCAGTATTCGTCTCGGTCACAAATTTCAATGCTGAGCCACTCCTCAGCCAGCTGCCGAGCGAATTCCTGCTGGTTGCGGTAGGCACAGAAGATTCTGTTGACATTGTCGCTACGACAATACCTGTTGCTAGCGTCTAAAGTCCCATTAGCATCGACTCTAACTTTTATTCCAGTGAAGTTCATACCATAGCGACAGAACTCATTAACACCCCTACCGCAGTAGAGGTCATCCCCCTCGTCACGGCATTCACCCCGGGGGAAGACGTCATAGCGGTCGCGGTCACGGTCGCGGTCGGCGGCTTCAGCCGGCATGGCGGAGACGGAAGAAATAGCCGCAATGGCAGTAACGAAGAACGTGGTATAGTGCATGTTTACGATTGAAAAGGTGCAAATATTATTGTCTGAGACAACTTTGGGTATATGGGTATAGTGTGCTAATGTGAAGGGATTGCTTGCGAGGCTGTCTGGTTGAACGAAATCTGGGAATGTCAAGGGACAGCGTGTCGTACTTTATAGGCAAAGTCTTGGAGAGGCAAGAAGCCCTCTCACCACATAAACTTCTGCCAAGATGGCTCTAGCTGCCAGTGTTCTGCCTGTCTCGACGAGTTCGCCGGATCATTCAGTGACATACTCAAAGGTTGTTCAGTAAGCCAGAGCTCAAGGATGTCTGCTCTTGCCGAAGCATCCGCTGACTATTCCTCTCAATGATTATCCTCTACAAGCCGAAATCTATCGTCATCGGCTTTGATCCGACACTTTTCATTGTGGCCCTCTGGAATCAGACGGCATGGATTGGGAATAAAGTGCGGACTGTAAACCTCTTTGCTGTTACCTCAGCACACATCTGATTGTCCTCAAGATGTAGTTAAGCCGTCCTTCCAATGCGAACATTTTCTGATAAGCGAAGTCAGGCTGAAGCAGTGGTATGCTTGGATTATAGTGACGTTGAGAGAAACAAGCCATGGATTCCCAGCGGACTTGCTAAAGCTTCACGCTTGAAAGGGTTGCCTCGTAGGAAAGAGATGGTGTGCAACACAACTTAAAAATACGCCATCGGGAGTAAGCAGCCACTTCGAGCTTACCCAATACATAGTAAGGCAGTTCCCAACCACCGGAGGCGACAAACACGTGAAACCTTGCCGTAAGGGAGGGGCGGCGGTGACGGCGGGAGTGTTGCCTCCTGTTCTGCCATTACATTATGGAACCATGCACTTGGCAGGTGGGTTACCCTTTCGAATCGGGACACACAGTCATGCAGTTTGCAAGTACAAAGCTAACTGGTGCTTTAACCTCGCATCTTTTAGCATCTTACTCGATGAAAACAGCCTCAGCACTTGCTTTGGTCTCATCACACTAATCGCAGAAATTGCCCTGCCTTATTTTGAAATGAAGTTTTGATTAGACCTTCTCACCATTAGCTTCTAGGTTCTTGACGAGTTGATTAAATAACGAAGATCAACCCAGCAATGCCGACGGGGGCCTTCCAAGGGATTAAGAACACAGGCCGACCAAACATAGGGATGCAACCGGTCGTGGATAGGTAGTCACACCAGCCGATAAGCTGCTTTACATTGTATGGTTGAATCAAGATTCGGCCCAGCTTAAACAAAGCATCGTGTGATTGAACACCACCAACTGAGCTGGTGGTAGGTTCTGACGGAAAAGAGGAGGGATGCGAAGCAGGAAAATCAGATTGTCATGTGGTGATAGCTTACCTCCGGAAGAGCCGCAAACTTTACTTGGCGACGCTTCCAGCTCCCCGAAAATGCTAATCGCAATTAAGCTTCACATTTGATCCGTCGGTAACGGCCCTTTTTAATCTATCTCCTACCTGGCAGAAAGCGAATGCTTGGCAATTTTGGCCATGGAGTAGGCCAGGCCAGTCGAAATTACTGCGCGGTCGTGAAGACAACGTTATTTTGAGTTATTCAAACTTCAAACAAACCATGTGTTTACAGAAGGATTCTCTTGAGAAGTAGCATGCTGCCTGCTCTGGTATAGTACACTGGTTCTCTCAATGAAGCTTTTATGGTAGCGTCCTAGGGATGACCATGTACCTTGTGACTCTCAGAAACGATGCGTCCCAGTAAGCCGAGCCCTATTTTGGAAGAATGGCAGCAGTTACCTAACAAACTGAATATTCGGGGTCACTCCACCCTACACAAGACTTCCTGCCGCAGGGTTGTGGAAAGACTTAAGTTGTGCTCAGACGTGCGCACCGTTGCTCAACAGCCCCATGGTGAGCCCTGCGGGCAACCGTTCCTCCCGAATGCCAGCGCACGCCACACCTTTGCTAAGTGAGTTCGCATGGCAATACTACCGGGGAGTAATCGATAACGCCGGGTAAAGTTTAGCTCGCCGAGTAAGCATGATAATGCAATGACCTAGGTAGATCATCGTATCGATGGACCTCATTTTGGAGCCAATGGCCCAGTTGGCCAAGTTATTACACCCCGTTTCCCATACAAAAGTACATGAACTACGCGACAATGCTGGTGGCTCACCGATAAGGTACTTTCATGCTTGGAGCAAGGAATGAACCGTTCCACGTGGGCCTGCATGAGCATAGCTTCACAGTCGACCGAACGGCATTCCGCCTTGTGTAGTTCCGCTGCCGCCGGCTCAGAGCCCCAAAGCGCAATTAAGGTTGTACAGCAGTGAGAAAGCAGCACCTTGCCTGTTCATGCCAAACGTCTCGCAATCGCTGCATGAATGGCAAGCATTGTTTATGTGCAGTACTGGGTCATGGATCGCCATCGAATGCCATCTTCGAGTTCAGTCGCAATGCAAAGCCATTAGTGGACAGCCTTGTGAAGAAAATGCATGCCTCACAACGTCGGCTGGAAGTAGCCGCATTTTCATCTTAGCGACCTCTCAACGCCAAGTTCCGTCACCTAAAATGGTACATATTTTGAACAAGCCAATCATTTATTGAAGTTCGTTAAGAGTCCCAACAGCGGGACATAATGTGTATGTTGGAACCGATATTGGACAGAGTAAATCGCGCCCCTCAAGGACGGAATCCTCCATATCCTTTCATGTTGTTCGCTTGAAGCGCAGAACGAAAAATCGCTCAAAGATTCATGCAAGATGGGTTAGTGATGGTGAAAAAGTGGCCTAAGAGCGGCTGGTCGAGAATCGAAGACATTTAGGAAATCAGAAAAAGCTATCCAACACTACCGGAAGCCACCCTGGGAGCCACCATTGTTCCAGTACCCTTGATTTGCGCCTCCAAATCCATTGTTGCCGTAGTTTTGTTGGTTGCCGAACGCATTGTCACTGTAACCGCCATGAGGAGGGCTCATGGGCGGAGGACTATGCTGGTCAGGTGAGCCGAGTCTCGAGTAGCCGCCGTGGGAAGCAGTACGGGCTGGCGCCATCGGCAGAGGGCCCGAGGGAGGCACGCTGGGGCTCTGCGTTCTCAACGGAGGGAGAGTAGGTGTCTGGCCGTTCGGAGCATTGGTGTACGAGGGCATGCCACCTGCGGCGCCGGCAGTGATCGCTGGTGCGGTATCCCAAACGGCGCGGTCCTGAGTTGCGGGGACGCTGTAGGAGTTCTCCTGGACCATACCATTCTTGCTGAAATCCTTGGCGTTGTACTCCGTTCCTGTTGCGCCGTTGAATGAATCGGGGTCAATGCCGCTCTTCTGGAAACGCTCCATCTCGAGACGCTCCTCCTCGGCTCTGCGAGCTGCCAAGGCAGCCTCGGCGGCACCACGTCTACGTTGGCGGAAAAAGTACCACAATCCAAAGGCGATGAGGGCACAACCAACACCAACGCTAGATGCGGCCACGGCCGTCTTGGCAGTAGGGCTGAGAGTTTCGAACTTTTCTTTCATGGACTTGCTAGGCTCCTCCAAAAGGGCCTCCTTGACGGTTGAGTTACCCCTGCGAAAAGCGTCAGCCTGGTTGTGACAAGGTGAATGCAATCAGCCAAACTTACTCAGTGATCTTGATGCTCTCCCATGAGCCTGACTTGTCGCCAAAAGAGTACTCCTTTCCAGAGCTGTAATCGGTAACCTGTGCAGACTTGACATACATCGTGTAGGGGCCAGCAGCGTAGTCGGTATCTCCTCCAGCCCACTCCCTTGTACCGGGAGCCATGCGAGGGTCACCACCGGCCCAAATACCGAGACTGAGCCGCATGGGGGTCTGAGGGTACGACTGGCCGTTGTTGGCCTGCGCCGGGAGAAGCGTGCGCACAAGGGCGCCATCCACCCACCACTCAAGCTTGTCCTTGGTCCAGACGGTGGTGTAATTGTGGAAGTCGGAGTGAATGCTTCCTGAAACGGCATGCTCGGCGCCGTTCTTAAAGTCCTCGACACCCTTTCCAAAGAAGTTACTCAAGGCATCATTCTTCACGCCGAGAAATTCCCAGTCGACCTCATCCAGCGTATCACTAAGCCACATCATGGAGCTCACGATTCCCTTACCGGTGGCCGCCCTCAAATGGATCTCGGTACGACCGAAAAAGAAGTAGAACTTGGTGCGGATCGTGGGGGATTCACCCTGCTTGCTGATCGTGAACTCGGCGCCGTTTTCAGCCGTGTACTTGACCGGGCGAACGGTTGTCTCCCAGGCATCAGTCGACGGGGTGGCATTAAAGTTGAAGTTGTAGTCCATTCCGAAGGCCGGGTCGGCAGGGCAAGTGGTGTTCATCGGGTTACATTTAGTTGAAACCTGAGCGACGGCAGGCTGGGCAAGCGACGCCAACAGCGCCACCGCCGAAAGAGTGTATCGCGACAACATGGCTAGTTGAAGTCGCAAATGGGCGAATCGTGGGGAATATGAAGCCAAAGATTCGGGGGTCGAACTTGAGAGATTGAAAAGCCGGGGCAATTCAAATTGTACCGTATACGCGGGGAATCGCAAAAGTCAATTGACCAAAAGCAACACGTCTAGTATCGCAAGAAAAAAAGATAGGCTTGGAACACAGCGCGCTCGAAGCAATTTGGAATCGGTCAAGGAGTGACGAGAGTGAGAGACAGAGAGAGCGTGGGGTCCGTCGTGGACGGCGAAAGGAGTGTTGCAAAGCGCAAAGTCACGGACAAAGGCGCCGGTATTGCCTATTGAAAAACAATATGTAAAGAGAGGAATGAAGGATCTCTCGACGCAACGACCAATTTCTCAAGGAACGGCAATGGTGGGGGTTCAAAATTGAGTTTAAAAGGCGTCCATGGTAAAAGGAGAGTGGATAGATAAAGCGCCAGCCAGATAGCATAGCAGGCTCACTTTTGGATGGGCACATTGGGAAAGTCGAAGCACAGACGATCGATTTGAGTTGAAGGCAAACTCGAGCAATGATAGGAGGCAAACCTCATCTAACATGGGTGAAGTGGAGCAAAAGGGACAAGACGAGCCAGGGGTAGCTGGGGAATGTGACAAGCAAACGTCGTGATTTAAGGGGGTGCCAATGTCTGTTGCTCCTCTCTGGGCTCTTGGAGTTGCATCTGCAACGGGCAGCGTTTCCGCACCAGAGCCAGCTGGGACTAGCGCTATAACTATCGGTTGAACCAAAGAGGGGCATCTCCCCCCATTGCCTGTGTCCTTGGGTGCAGGGTGATCAGAAAGGAAATTATTCCACCGTTCGTTAAGTGACGAGATGGGCAAATGTGAAGACTATCCCGAGATTGATAGTGGACCGCCCCCGTCAAACGCGGCCCTACTGGCCCGAGGGGGGCACCAGAAAATGCTTCCACTCTTGTTGGACACAACTGCGTCATTGGCAAACTTGCATGTACGAAAAGAAAACTTCCGTGGGTTTTGTGGTTCGGATTTGTGCTTGAAACCCCATCAGTTGCCGCCATTCGCCGCTTAGGATGAAAAAGGAATCTGTATCACTGCAACCATAGTAGGAGAAGTGTGGGTGAAAGCGGGGGTGGTTCAGGAGTCGCAGTTTGGATATTTTAATCACCTGCCTGACACAGGCACTTGAGACATCTTCTGCCAAGATGGACGTTGAATCCGCCGGAATCCTCAAAGTTGAATCCGAGAAGCAATGAACATATACTATTGAGCGGTGAAGGCAGATTGAGGCGGAGGCAAATTTCTGGCAACTTGGAGTCAGCTCGCATTGTGCTACTGACTCGGGTTGTTGAGGTTTGCTTGGTCCAAAAATACGACTTGGCAGAATCATTTTTGGTTATCCACGTGATGATCATCGGATGAAGGCCGGAGATACATGCACGAGCCCAGATAAGAACCTGCCTCAGCCTTGTTGTATGAGGGATCCCAAGCTCAGCTTTGGCACATTAGATGGCGCTCGACATAAGGCATCCAATCATGAACCAATACAGAGGTAAACCCTTCACTCGACTGTGGGTAAGCCTCGTGTTGTCGAGAAGCTGGAGAAGATCAGCAGGTTGCAAGGCGCAAAATTGGAGGCCCGGAAGCATGTTGGCGAAACCAGCCGTGAATGGGAGTCAGAGTCGTTAAAATTGCGGAGAAAAACGGCTTAGTAGAGCAGGGTTTGCTTTTATGATATCCATAGTAATCATCGCAATCCATTACGGGTGCTGGATGAAAAAATCTCAACTCATTGCAGATATGAGTTTCATGAGCTGCCACGTGAAGCAACAAGAATGTGGATACCCAAGGGAACGAAGAAATTATACGCCTCAAACTTCAGGGTGACTGCTTGTCGCGCAATGCGACGGAGAAATCTAGATTATAGGGATCAAAAACAAATAAGAAAGGTCGATATTTCGGTATTAGGTAAGCGCTCAATGAAGGTCTGAACAGTGGATAAGTAGTACTAAATCAGCAATATGAGAGAGAGAAGAGATTGTAAAAGAGTGCCATCAACGGGTGTCATGGAAGCTCAGTCATATCAGGGGCTTCAATCGCAACATCATCCGGCGTTAGCGACCATCACGCTCAAGAGCGCAGTTGACCAAGGGGGGCTTCGGGCTGAGGTTCAAGTAAGGTAAACAGGCGAGGTAAGAAATTCTTTCTCTTCTCAAGTAAGTGAATAAGGCAGAGGCAAATCCTCGGGTAACCGGCCCAGCGCGGCCCAAAATTCCGGGCCACCGCTCGGCCAAAGACCCGCATTCTTAAATGGTTGAACTTCCGCTAAAATGCAGGTTTTTCGGCCATAGCCGCTGCTGACACCGCGACAGGCGCCTTGGCTGGGCCGATCTCGGTCCATAGTCAAGCCACGACAAGCCCTTTTCCTGTTTTGCTGTCTCGGCGCGCGCTGTAGTTTAGGGTGGCAGTCAGCCAGCACAATGATGGGGGAAAAGAACATTTCAATGGGTTTGGGACTCGCTGTATGAAAAGAGAAAAAAGCTTGATATTCTTTGGAGAAGTTGGGCAGTTGAAAACAAAGTTAGCTATCCTGCACAATGCCAACACCAATCTCGGCAATCTATCCGGCCAAAGTCCCCATCGTCCCCGAACTTCACCAAACAGAACGTGACTCACGGCACCCAGCGCGCTTGAGGGTGTAGTCAAGGCGACCATTGGGGGGGGGGGGGGATAACCTGACCAATTACCTACTTATTTAAATAAATTATAGGTCTATCTGACTAATTTTATGATTAGCTATATTAAGGTAAAGTAGGTCTACCTAACCATGGAATTTTTAATCGATTAGATATATGGACTAGTTACTAATTACGTCTTACTACTAATTAAGGTATATACCCTATATTAATATTTAAATCCTTATTCTATTCTAATTCTCTTCCTTTTCCCTTTGTAACCTTTTTAAATTATATACGCCTTCCCCCCCCCCCCCCCCCCCCCCTTAGCATACCGATTCCTAATTACTTCCGAATTAGTTTAGAAATCCGATATTATGCCTTTATATAAGGATTTTGTAAGTATAATAGAATCGGTTTAGGATCGATTTAGAACTAATTTAGAATTAGGATGATTATAAGACTTATAAAGAAGGTCTTCTTTAAGGCGGTAAAAATTACTATATAGAAGATCTTCCTCCCTTCGAGTTTAATAAGGTAAGTAATTTAGAAGCGATTTTATAACGATTTAGAAATAGTTTTAAATCGATTTAGGCTAATAAAGTTAAGCTTACCCTTAGCAAACTCTACTACCGCTAAGGTAGTAGATCTAGTAGTATTATATATACTAAGGTAATTTAGAATTAGTTCCGGATTAGTTTAGAACTAATTTCGAATCGATTAGATAAAGTAGTTCTTAAGCAAGTCGAACCTTAAGAACTATATTAAGAAGTATAAGCTTAATAAAGTCCTAGCTAAAGTTAAAAGCTATAAGTCTAGCGTAAACTCTATTAAAAAGAATAATAATATAGCTAGTAAGTAATTCTAAACTAATTCTATACTAATTCTAAACTAATTTTAAACTAATTATAAATAGAATTTTATAACTATATCTACGGTATCGCTATTAGCGCTTATAATAATAGTAAGCTATAGACTTTTTCTAAGAAATAGAAGGCGTAAACCCTTCCCTTCCTTCTTACTATGCCTATACGTAAGCAAGGTAACTAAACTATAGTAAGTAATTCTTAATTAATCTAAAATCTTTTAAAACCTATTCTAAATCGATTTTATAATAGATTAACTTTACTAAAATACGTCGTACTACTAGCTTCCTTACTAAAGGTAAGTATACTTACTATATTACTATTTATAATATTAGTAAGTTTAGAATTAGTTTTAAAATAGTTTAAAACTAATTATAAATCGATTTAGAATATCCTCCCGCCTTTCGCGATTAGGAATATAAGGTCTAGGCTTGCTTTAAAGATAATAAAGAAGATAAAGCTTAAATTAATTTAGGATCGGTTTAGAACTAGTTTAAGACTTCTTTTAAGACCGATTTAGAACTACTTTAGAATCAATTCTTTATAAATACCTAAGGCGTTCGGTTTTTAAGCTTTTTTTTAAAAAAAAAGCATTTCTAAATCAATATAGAAATAATTTAGAATCGATTCTCTACCTATCCTATATGCTATCAAAGTCCTAACCTTCTCCGCCGCTCTGCTAACTCTAGTTCCTTTTCTTATAGTTCAAGCTTCTGTTTTTCAACTAGAAGTTTTCTTACTTCTAATTCTAATCGCTTTTCTTCTAATTCTAGACTTTGCTTCTATAAGTCAAAGTTATCTTATTATCCCTGTCTGATTTCGTTTCTTAAGTTAGAAATAGATGTTCTTTGGAGAGTATTTGACCTAATAACCCCAGAAGATGAAGCATGGGAAAGACGAGGGGATCGATTCCGAATCGCTTCTAAAAGACTTCGGGATCGATTCGGAATTGAGGATGGACTTCTTGAATTAGTACCCCTTGAGGGACTAGACGTAAAGAGTCGGGTTGATAAAAGCCTTTCAACACGTTCATTATCTAGTTGCTCACGGGATTCCCTCTGGCGTTGGCGTTTAAGTTCTAAAATAATTTAGAAATAATTATTAATAAATATTAAAGTATTTTTAACTTACGTAAACGGCTTGCAGCTGTATTATAACGGCTAATAATAGAAACATCTTTCTAGGAAAGCTAGATTCTTAGTATTATAAATACTATATCCTGTTTTAAAAGATAGCGATCGTATTTATATATCTAAGTACTTTTAAATTAGTTCTTAACGTATTCTAAACTAATTCCGAATTAATTTAGAAAGGATTCTAAACTTACTTCTAGATATATATAAGTAAAGTATTACGGCTAGCTATCTAATAGTAGGGTTTTGCTAATAGAAGGTATAGTAAGAGACTAATACTAGTTCGTAGAGGTCGTTCTAGTAGATCGTAGGGTTAGGGTAAGGTAATC